CCCCCCCCCCAGCGTCTGCTCGGCGGGCGCGGCCTGCTCATTCGCTCGCTCCCGCGGGAAGGTTACAGCATGCTGGGATCCCGTTTTTCTAGGGTCGGCGGCAAAGGAATCACGCCGCTTTAACGAGGGGTAGGGCCAGCAAAACAGGGCCATGCACCCATGCAAACGCCGCCTCTTTGCCTCCCCTTCCCACCTCTTTCCTGGCCTTTCCCATAGGCAGCAAAGCGTGGTGGATACAATAATGTGTGTGTGTTGTATCCAGACCAGCAGCCGGCCCCCTCCCATCGGACACCGTTCCGTGAGCTGACTCCTCTTTTCCCTCGTTCGCCTTCTCCTTCCATCAGCGCTGCACACCACCGAGCGATTCTGAACATAGCGTTTCTTGTCATGTTGTAAATTTCCAGTTTTATTTCTGTTTCCGACTTCGTGTTCGTCCTCTCCTCTCTTCGTCCCCTACCCCCGTCTGCACAACCACCCTCAGTGTGGCCACTTATGTTTGAGCCGTGTACACAAGCAATATGTATCCCAGAATAAAGGCAATAAGAAAAAATGACGCCCCCAAGTTACCCACATCTCGCCACTGCGCCCGGCGCTAGAACCAAGGAAAAAGGCCGAATAGACTGTGTGATCAGACACCCAACGGTTGTAACAACAAGCCAATGGCACCACCCTATGCAACTCATACGGCAGGAAAGTCGGATGTGTGCCGTGTCGTGGTCTCGCGCCCAATAGGACGGAAGGAAATAGAGCCAAGAAGCAGAGTGCTGAAGAAGTAGTATGCCGCTTGCGTGAAATGTCGAACTTCATTCGAGCAGATTTTGTTGTTCAGCAAAAGTTCGTCAGAGCCATTACGTCGTAGAAAGATCTCCTCCCCCTCATAAAGCAGAGGTGGCGCCTCGGCGGAGGAGCCCAAAAAAAGAAAAAAGGATTATGGAGAAGGCGATGAGCGACAAAGGAAGAGGCGAAGCGAGGGTCAAGGTCCCGAGTAGCGCAGCTGGCTCGACCACAGCGGCTTCATGCGCATAGGCGCAGGAGAGATCCCGAGTGGTATAGCGTGCTGGCTGGCGGAAAGATAGCGGTCAGCCGCTCGCCAATGGCGGCAAAGTGGATAGAATAGGCGGTGGACCGGGTGGAGCAGCGCGGCGTGAGCAGAGCATGCGCAACGCACGCGTGCGGCACGGTACCGTCTGCGCCGCGGCCATCTACTTGATTCGTCTTCTCTTGCCCTTGGGCGCAGGGTCCAGAGGGGCGACATGTGCCGCGTCGACTGGGGAGCGGGTGTAGGTAACCGTGCGAGTAACGACCTGGCGCACGCTGACAGCGCGCGTATCCTTGGTCTTGCCGTCCAAACTCCATGGGCCGGGGCTCATGGTTGCGCTGTAGGGCGAGTGCAGCGAGCGAGCGCTCAGCGGGGTGCGCAGCGCGGGAGAGAAGGGGCTCTGCGGGATGAGGAGGCGTGGGGTCCGCGCAGACATGGGCCGAACGAAAGGTGACGGCGGAGGAATGGTGACCCGCATTTCAGGCGCCGCCGTCTTCGCCGCATCGCTCGATGCGGCAGCGTCGCCCGCCTTGGTCTCCTCAGCAGCAGCAAGGGCCGGGTCGGCGGCAGCAGGCGGCGGCGGCGGCGAGCCGCTGGAGGAGGCGGGCGAGGCAGGCTTGTCGGCGGCAGACGAGGACGAGGTGAAGGTGGTTGCGGACGAGGCCGACGATGTCCGTGACGTAGGTGGTCGCTCCTCAAATGTAAACTTGGTGCTCGTGCCGGTGGGCATGGGGCTCATGAGGGCGGGAGACAGGGCCTTGAGGAAGTCGACATAGGCGGCGGGCGGGGTGATGGGCGTCTTCTCGCCCTCCTCGCGCTTGACCAAGGACGGCGTGGCAACCTGCGGGCTGCGCAGCTCCGACGGGTAGGTGGCCGAGACGGGCGTCTTGAGGGCCGGCAGGGTTGGCTTCGCAGAGGTGGCAGCCATGGCGGGCGACGTGGGTGCGGCAGTGGACGGCTTGTCGACGGGCACGCTCATGCGGCTGGCGAGCGAGGACGACGGGTGGGCTGGGCGGATGGTGATATTTGGGGGCAGTTGGAGGTCAGGCGTGCCGCCGGGGCGGGTGTTTGGGCGCGTAGCTGAGGGTTAAAACAGCGAGGGGTGTGATGCAAGCCGAACAGGCCCTTGTAGGCTAGCAGCGGGGCGGCGACCAGCAGCGAGGCGAACGGCCGGCCAGTGCGAGCGTGACCGGTGAGGTGCGGCGCTTATGGGCGCCGCGCAGCTGTGACTTGCGGGCGTCCTTGCAGCCAGCGCAACGGCGGGCGTGCCTGGCGGGGCGGGGTGGGCGGGCTGGCGGGCTGGCGGGCTGGCGGGCTGGCGGGCGGGCGAGCGAGCGAGCGATGGAGCGATGGAGCGAGCGGACAAACGGCGAGCGCGCGGGTGCGATGGTGCCGACTCAACTGCAGGGCGTGCGGCGCGGTCGATTTTAAGTCGTCTGTTGCTGCCGTGGGTGATGCTGGCGCCGGCCGCTGCTGAAGCGCGCGACTCCAGCGACGGCGGCTGCAGCTGGCTGGCGGCGGAGCGGGTCCAGGCGGGCGCCAACCGCCCGGCCTGCACCAGCGAATGAAGCTCACGTGGCTGCGGCGTAGCGACACGCCCAGCGCGTTCGTCTCAGCGCTCGACTGCTCGACTGCTCGTCCGCTCGTCCTCCGGCTGGCGGTGCTGCGGCGGTTGGTGCCACAGCTGCCGGCAAGCCGTCGTGCTGCCGTCCAATCGCTATCAATTCGTATCTCACTCTCACTCCGGCACCACCGCGTCGCCGACGGAGATGGTGGGCTGCTGCGCCCACGCCGTCTCCCACGGCACATGGCACGCGTGCTGGCCAAAGTACACCTTGCCCTCCCTGCGCCGCGTCTTTGCCAGCGTCACGAACGGCTCCTCGTTCTTGGTCCCCGACTGCTGGTCGATGCACACCATCTGGCACCGCCGGCAGGCTCCCAGCAGCTGGAACCGCTGCTGCCCCACCGCCATCGCCCGCCACGAGTCCTCGGCGTAGGGCTGCTCGCTGCCCGGCCGGCTGTAGAGCCTCTCTGCCACCACCACGTTGGCCCGGAACACCTCGGCCTCGGCCGCCTTGCCGCCGCCGGCCTTGATCTGCTCGTTGAGCCGGTTGACGCTGGAGCGCGAGATGACCAGGATCGGGCTCTCGTTCGACAGCAGGATTGGGCGCGGCACATGGCCGTGCGTGTCTGGAAACGCGCCCGGCATCTGCGCTTGTGCCGGCCCGCGAGGCTGCTGGAGGTGCGCCTTCGCGTGCCTCGCCGAAGCGCCTGTGCCACCGGCGGCTGGGAACCGCGCCAGCGTGCAGTCGACCCCCAACGCCTGGCTGAAGAAGCCAGAAACCCTGTCCGACGAGTATCGCTGCGCGGCCACCATGTCTCCGCACACACGTGTTGAGATCGCCGACTTGTGTCCGTTGGGCCCGGCAAAATACGAAGGATCTGCGGAGAGAGGGACGCAGATCTCTGAAGCCGTGTCCGATGACGCACTGCCGCTCAGTCGCACACGGAGGCATCCCTGCTCCAGATCGATACTCGGTCGAATCAATGCCATCCGCGGGTATCTCTTCTGGCTCAACGCCGCTCCGCTGCCTCGGTGGACCAGGCACCACTCACGATCCCACGCGAGCCCTTCCTTGCGCACCTCCCAGGCCTTGCCTGCCGGTATCTTCCACCCGGCACAGCTCTTGATTGGGTAGATGGTCAGGCTCTCGACGTAGAATCGGCTGTCCTGCACCCCCACCCCTGCATCGGACAGAGCCAATGGCAGCCCTGCGCTCGAAGTTTCCACAAAGAACTCCCGCACAAACTCCAGAAAGCGGTCGACGTCCGTCGCGGTGCTTGATGCTCCCATGCTCACGCGTATCATGCCTGTCGGCTTGCCGCCCATAACGTCGTTTTCGCTGCCGCAGCGCTGCCCAGCCGAGAAGTTCTCCTTCATCTCCCACGGCGACAGCTCCAACGCTGCGGCCATGCCACCTGGGTTACAGAGGCTTCCCGTCCTCAATTGGATGTTCTTGATGGATGCTAGCCGCTCGACTTCGAAGTTGCTGGCCCATGCGCCCTGGCTGTTGCGAATGTTAAACGCGACGATTGGACCCTGCCTTTCGCAGTCGTCGTATGTAGTCGACGCGTCAGCGTATATGTGACACACCGACAACCCGTTCCCGTGACGAAGCGAGGACAGCCCGTCGAAGAGCCGCTTTGCAAGGAACATGGCATGGCGCGAGACGCGCTCCAGGCTCCCAAACAGCTTCTGGTGCACGTCCATGGCAGAATGAAGCGCCATGATGCTGTGGATGGGCAGCGTTCCGTCTTCGAGGTGGTCATGCAGGGACTCTTCTTTCTTCGCGTGCCACTGTTCTCTCAAGCAGACGACCATGTCCACCGTCCCACCACCGAAATACCGCCGCTTTTCAAAGATGCCGGCGGTCGTCTTGCGGACAATCATCGCGCCAAGGTCCGGGAAGCCAAAAATCTTGTACAGGCTGAGAACGGTGAAGTCCGGAGCCATCTCAGACTCGCGAAAGTCCAGCGGCGAGGTCGAGACAAACGCCGCCGCATCCAGCAGGCTGAACGTGGTCTGCTCCGAGCCCGTTCGAGAAAGGCGCGCCTTGCCGCACCAATCCAAGGGCAGGCGGCGTCCGTTCATGTTCGACTGCGCGGGATAGGCGAAGAGTTCCACCGGCGTGTCGGGCGAGTGGTTGGGCGGCCAATCTTTGTGTTCCAGCCATTGATCCACCTCGGCATCAGAGGAGAAGCACCGGTGTTGTCTGGCCAGCTCCCGCACTCCCACCAGACTCGTATGGCATTCCCGGTGGTAGGCGTACGCGAACCCCCCGGGCTGATCGCGAAACGCCTCCAGCACCAGCTTGACGCCTGCCGTCGCGTTCGCCACGAACACGACGTCGAAGTCTTCCGGATCGGCGTGGAACATGCGCAGGAGGCGCAGACGGGCGTCCTCGATGCGCCGCGCCGACAGCTGCGACGCGCTGGAGGCCGAGTGCGGATTTCCGTACAGGTTGCCGACCATGTCGGCGGAGAAGCGGTCGATCAGGGATTTCGGATAAAGCGTGGTGCCGGCATGGTCAAGGTAGACAGAGTCTGTAGCACCCAGGTGTAAGCAAGCGTGGAATCCGTGGGCATTGGGCTGCCGGTACCTTTGAGCATGGGATACTCCCTTGCACGAATGTCGTCGACCTCGTGGTTGTAGGCGGCTGCCATGGCGCTGCGCTGGGGGCTCGACTGCGAAAACATGGTCACTGCACTCCGCTTCTCAACCGCAGTCAGACAATGGAGGCAGGCGAGGTGGAAATAAGTCCATCTATGGGCAGGGACGACGGTGGGGAGGCCGTCGGCAGCGAGATACAGGTGCTGGCAGGGAGGCGGCGGGCGCCGAAGGGTCGCCTCCGCAATCAGCAACGCGGCACCGGCAATCCTTCCTACCGGTGAGGCCGCGAGCGACTCGGGCGGGACGGAGCGGAACGCAGCGTTGCGTCCTTGAACACGCCAAAGAAATGTGCAGGCCAACAAAGGGCTGACGGCGCAGCGTTCCGCAGCTCAGGCACTCAGGGCGGCAGGAGTGGCGGCCATCCCCGGCCACCCCCGGCCCCGGCTTCGGCAAGGGTGGGGGCTCACGGCCCTCGCTAGCGCCCTGCATTAGGAAACTATACACCTCCACCTTTCCCAATGATCCCACCCTTTTCTTGACCGCTATGGGACGATACACCGTGACCGAAATTTCAGCCGTGGCTCAAACAGTCTATTTCTGTCGCTGAAACTAGCTGAACCTCCCCCCATTCCGGCCACCACCTATATCTATAGAAATCCCCTGCTGTCCGAGACTTCTCTGCATTGTGCTACGCGCGGCACTCTTCAACCTTAATGCCTACCTTTGCGCAAGTGGAGCACTCGTGCGGTCCTTCAGGCCTCATCTGTGGCGACTCTCAGTGCCGTAGAGCGGTAGACGCTGCTGCCCAAGATCGACCCGCTGGTCTCTTGATCGCCATCTTCGGCCGAGAGAGGGATGTTGTCAAAGTTGTAGTTGCGTTTGCCGGGGTGAGAACCGTTGCGACGACCATTCTGGCCGCCGCGTGGCGAAGAGCCACCCTCAGCAATGCCGTGAAGGTACTTGCAGCTGACACCGTTGCGGCAGTGGCCCGAACGCCAGTAACGGCAGGTAGCCACCTTGCCAGCACCCCTAATCCACATGTCAGTTGAGCGTAGATGCTGAGATACTTCGAGATGGACTTACTCTTCCATGCTGGGCCTCTCGTGAGCCAGCATCGACGTAGCCGAGCCTGTCTCAAGTAGCTTATCGACAACGTCTACAACACAGATTAACCAGTGCCAACCCTCAAGAAAAGGAGATCTTATTGATAACTGCATCTCAGGACAGACACTATATCTATGTGCGCCGCGGCGACTAGCAAGCGCTAAAGGGTACGCTGAGAGAGCTTACCCTTGTTCAGGTCGTGCGCCATGCGCACGTTGATTGGCCAGCCGAAAAGGCGTTCATCCGTCATCCACTTGACGATGTGCGAGGCATCCATGCGCATGAATACGTCTACCAGAGCATAGCCAGGCTGACCCTTGGGACGATGGAAGATCGTAATGCTTTCACTGTGGTAATAGAGTTGTTAGAAAGGGCCAACACATTCTGGTGAGTTTTATGAAGCTTACATGGACTCTCCTGCGTTGGCCTTAGTTTCGATGAGCTGACGAATATCCTTATCAGTGGCGCTAACAGGGAGGTTGCTGATGCAGATGCGGCGGCCCTCATTGCTAAGGAAGTCACTGGGCTTGGCATTCAACGCGTTCTTCGCTGATGAGGGCTTCTTAGCAACATGTTCCTCGCCAGACTGACTGTCACCATTGCTGAGGTTAGTAGCGAGTTTCGTGCCCTTGCCGACAGCGGGAACTTGATTGCTCTGATCGGCAAGCTTCTGACTGCCCTTTTCGCTCTGGACAGCGTTTCCGTCGGCCATCTTGATTTCAGTGTCTCCACAGCGGCGAGACTCCGCTTCAGGCTCTTTTTTAGCATTTTCGCCGCCAGGACGAACCTCTTGCTTGACCTTGTTTGCTTCCTTGTGCTTGGACTCGTGCTTCTCGGGCTGCCTGGCAGCTTCAGATTCAACCTTAGCCTTAGCTCCCTTGTCTTCAGCCAGCACCATCTTGACGGCGCCGCGCTTGACAAGCTTTTCCTTCGTGGGCGGCTTGTAGTCCTGACCCAGAAGAGACTTGTTCGCCTGCTGAAAACCAGTGCGAGGAACGAACGAATTGCCATTGGTCCGATTTCCATTGATGTTGCTGCTGCCGGGAGGGGCACGAAGAGCGGTGGTCGCCGAGGCGGTGGTGGCCAAGTGAGAGTTCTCTACGGAGGCGACCTTGCCATGCGCAACAATATCATTGCTAACTGTTGCGGATGATGGAGTAGACGCATCCGTCGTAGATGCGTACCTAGCTCCGCGGAGGCCGCCAGAACCAGAGGTACTCTTCGGGGCGGAAGCAGTCAGGGCAGAAGCAGCCGGAGCAGAAGCGGCCGGAGCAGAAGCAGTTAGGGCAGAAGAAGTCGGAGCAGAAGCAGTCTTTGAGACAACAGCAGCTTCTAAAAGTAAATCTGTCAGCGCGTTTAAAGGTTTGAGAAGTGAAAAGTGAGAGCAACTACCTGTAGAGTGTTCCGGGGTCTTCTGTCCAATGCTCAGCTTAAGTTCAGCAAGTTCAGCACGGAGCCGCGCAAGTTCCTCGGTCTGATCCATGTTGTTCTGCTGTTCAGTGGTGGTCTTTCGCGTCACTGGCTCTGGGCGCAGGCGTGTAGATAGAGCCGGGCCGGAGCCTCCCTGATCGACGTGGGTCGGCAGAGGGCGCGAATGGTGTAGAGCTAGGAAGAGAACGCAATGTCAGCGCGGATCGAGGTTTGACGGAGAAGCAGCTTGCTTTCCGTACCAGATTTGGCAGGCTGCGCAAACGAAACCGCCTCGGTGCCTGCAGCCACCCGCGGACGATTGCCGTGTGGGATCTGAGAGCGCGGCATATTGCCTCTGCGGAGGACTGTGCGAGTGCTCCACAGCGGGCTGGAAGAAGATGTGCTTACCGTTGGGCTTCGGCTAGGTTGTCTGCAGTTGGAAAGCCCTGCGCGGGGGGGATGGTGAAGAGAGAAGCGGAAGGAAGCGCGCAGGTCGACGCAAGGCATACAAGCAAGGCAGAGCTGCCCGACAGCCACATCGGGAAGTCGCGCCCCCGGCCGTACCTTCCTCATGCTTTGCAGCAGATTCCACGCCAACCCCTCGCCAACGGCGGCTCCTAGTTGGGAGGGCCTTGGAATGCGATTCTGCCACGTAAAAGGGAAACGCCATGGTATTGTGCAAGACCGCAGTACTTCAAGTGCGCTGCGCATCTGCTTTATGCACGTGGATAGGCTTTCGCCAGCTCGGGAAGATGCAGGTGCTGCCAACAACCTATCTCCTCATCGATGTGGCCGAAGACTGAGGAACCCAGCGCCTGTGGTGGAGCGGTGATCGTATCAGTCTTGAGCGCGTGGGCACAGACACTAGCGGTTCTTTCTGTTCCATAAGAATGGCCCGCTCAATTATCTAGAGGCAAGATAGGTAAGAGCTTAAGCCTCACTCTAAGCGTATCCTCACTTTATCAAGCCAACGCCACATGAGTATGCGTTAGTCGCCTCGCGGTGTTTTCGCGCAGACAGTTTGTGCAGACACGACATCTCATGCAAATACGGAAACGTCAAAGCGCGACCAGCGCCTTCGATGGGGACGGACACTTGTTGAGAGAAGTTGGGAACTTGCAAGAGGGCCCTCGAGCTCTGTTCCTAGACCCGAAGAGAGCGTCACGACGAAAAACGCATCTCAATGAACTAACAAGCGCATAGCCTGTCGAGGCAAAAGGTCCTCACGAAAAGAAAAAAAAACACCGGGATATAGTCGCAAATTCAGGAGCAAGCGCGAAATCTTTCTAGCAATGCGCACGACTACGGGGCAGCTCAGCTTGTCTACTGCTTCTTCTTGCCCTCCTTGCCCTTGCGTTTCTCCCCAGCAACCCTGTCCATCTCGGCAATCTCGGCATCCTCCTTCCTCTGGGCGTACCACTGGCCGGCCTGGAGGACCAGAACACCAACGAGGACGAGGCCAAGGATTGTATTGCTCGCGGCAAGCACGCGGAGACTATCCTCCCGGCCAATATACTCGACCTCGCTGGGGGCACCGGCAGCGGGGTCGGAGTCGACGATCTCGCCCTGGCCATAGTTGCCCGAGGTGACGATGCGCAGGCCCTTGACGATGTTTGTGAGATAGACAATGACGCCGCACATGTATAGCACCAGACTGGCGCCATCAAAGAGCATGTTCGCCTCGGAAGGCTTATACAGCTTGGTTACGAAGCCCAGCAGGCCGGTGCCAATGACGATGTGGAGGATGCGGCTGATGAGCGGCGGCGAGGCGTGCAGAAATTTCAAGTGATTCTCCAGCAGGTCGAAGTAGAGCTCGCGGGTGTCGGGCGGCTGGGGGGCGTGCCAGAGGACATTGTAGTCGTAGGGAAAGGAGGAGAAGATGATGCCCAGGAAGAAGCAGGTGGCTAGGCAGGCGGCAGGTCAGCAGGAGGGAACAGGGCGGAGGCCGTGGGGTGCGGGAGTACTCACGGCCGACGATGAGGAAGGTCGCGAAGGAGTTAGCTCGGGCGACCATGGTTGCTGTCGACGCGCACGCGATAGGGGCGGGTTCGGGGTTGATGATGGAGGAGCAGGGCGGTTGGGGAGCGCAAGATGACGGCTAGTGTGCGCCTGCGGGCCTTGGGCGGCGCTGTGCGGCGGCGTGCAGACGACGTTCGGATAAGCAACGAATGCAGCGAGCGCACAAGCGCAGGGCTAGGCCGCCAAGGCTGGGGGGCGGTGAATGCCGGGCTGGCGCTCGCGCAGTCGGAGTGCCACGGTGCCACGGTGCAGCTCCCGAGTCATCCTCACCACTGCCGCGATCGGCGTCGCTCTCTGCTCGGCCACCCGGCTCCCTGCGCCCATCTCCCGCGCGCGGCCGCGGATCTCGACGTGCCCCTGCGCCGGCCCTGCGGTCGGCAGGCCGCGAGGCCGCAGGGCCGCAGGTTGTGAGGGCGTGGTGCGCCGAGCCAACTCCGCCGCAGCGGCAACCGGTGGTGCTGGTGCTGTAATGTCCGGCGGGCGCTGGCGGCGCTGGCGGCGCTGGAAGGTGCCGGGCGGCCGTGGAAGCGACGCGCAGTGAATCCATGCATCATTCACATGCCCGCAGCCCACACGTGGGCCCACATGGCGTGCCGGGGGAGGGCTTCCCCAGTGCTTCTCCCCGTCTGTGTGCTCCCGACGGCCGACGACCCACCCCGCGACCGCAACACGCTGCGGGCCTCAAGCGCAGGCCGTGGGCCCCGGCGCGGCTGCTGCGGTGTCGGTGGCTGCGGCCGCAACTGCCGCGCTCACGTACCCGGCCGCGTTCCTGGCGGGAGGATCTCGAACGGCGCTCGCGTGTCGCCATGGCCCTAGAAGGCCGCTAAGTGTCACATAGCGGGCTCCGGCGTTCCTACGGGCCTTCGATGCCGCTGCACAGCCTATCGGCCCCCGTTCCTCAGCCTCGCCCTATGCCCCGGAACGTCTGTGCTGCGGGAATTGCAAGCTGCTCAAATATGGCCTCACAGTCGACCTGGCGGCGTGTTCCGAGCCGCCCTGCTCCATATTATCCCCGGCCTGCCTGGGACCCCGTCTGCTTCTCATGCTCGTCTTCGCCCAACTCAATCCCCTCTTTCGTCTGAACCGCCATCATGTCCGCCCTTGCGGCTGAATCCTGGACCTGGTTCGCCTTGTGTCTCTTCATAGTCGGCTGCCGGCTGTATGTGCAACACTCCCCGCCGCGCCCGTTGCGTGCCGAGCTAACCAGCACTCAGGGTGTCGCGCATTCTCCTCCTGGGCTCGCCCCGCCAGCTCCAAGCAGACGATGGCTTGATACTGGTTGCCATGGTCCGCCCCCGTCTCTCCCGTGCCCGTATTTGGCAGCCGCTGACCTCTCCGCCCAGGGCACCTACACGGCGCTGATTGTCTGCATCAACACCGTCGCCAGAAGCAGCAGCAACCTCATCAACCCCGCCGACGGGCCCATACAGTTCACCCCGGACGTAGTGGAGCAGCGGTCCTTTGGCAGCAAGATGGTCGTCGTGTCCGAGCAGATGCAGCTCATCACCATCTGGCTGATCAAAGGCTGCTTGCTGATCATGTACGGCCGCCTGACGTGAGTTTCCCCGCTGGCCCCTGAGCGAGGCCTCGCTCGCTAAACTGGAGATGCAGGACGAGCACCAAGCAGAGCCTGGCCGTCAAGCTCGTTGCTGCCTACGTCGTCATTGGCTTCATAGTCATGGAGATCCTTTACCTTGGAGTGTGGTGCCGGCCGTTCGACCAGTACTGGGCCGTTCCGACATCCAACGGTGAGTCCTCCGGCCTCCATCTTGCCGCCGTCGTGCTGAGTGCTTGCAGTCCAGTGCTCCGCAGCGACCAACCACCTGATAATCAACGCCATCCTCAACATCTCGTCGGACATCTTCATCATGGCCATCCCGATGCCCATCTTCCTAGCAGCCCGGCTCCCGCTCAAGAGGAAAATCATCCTCTGCGGTGTCTTTGGCCTGGGTACCTTCAGTGTAAGCGCCAGAAGACCCCCACCTGAAGTGTTGCCAGGCATGTGGCTGACAGCCCGCAGATCCTGTCGGCCATCTTGAACAAGTTCTACAGCTTCACTGAGCCGTTCGGCTCTGCATGGGTGTTTTGGTATGTCCGTGAATCCTCGACTGCAATCCTGACGGCGAACATCCCCTTCACCTGGACACTTCTCCAGCGCACCTTCAACATCGGCTCCTTCGCCGGCTCTTCCCGTGGACGGTCCCGCACCACATACCACCAGTTCAATCATTCCCACAGCACCAAAAACGCCACCATGTCCCGCAAGGCGACCCGCCCGGACGACCTGGAGAGGAACGAGAGCCAGGAACAGATTGTGCCGCTGGAAATCTGGCAGAACGTGCAGCTCAGCGTGCAGACCAGCGCCGCCGTCGACGACAAGAAACCCACCGCAACAGTCACCGAGACCGGAGCCGAGTCCATCAGCGATGCCAAAAGCGACACGAGCAAGGGAAGCAACAGTGACGATCTCGGCGTTCCCAACCCAGGCGCAGCCCGGGTGACGACCACGTGTGTCCACGGGCCTGAATGATTGATTGACCGACCGTTTGAATTTTTCATTACTCGTCATGGCGATGCATTTCCTTTGTTGGTGCGAAAAAAACAATGTAACCCCAAACGCGACCTAATCGATGACCAATCTCTCTGCAAATTTTTGACAGCATACGGGCACCGGATCTTGGCGTGGGGGGTGGACCATGACGCTAATGATCTCTGCCGACTTGCAGCACAAGCCGCGAGGCAGGACAGGTTGTGCAAGGTCTTCCAACGAATAACACCCGAGCCTCCTCTCACCGATTCTCCGCCAGCTTCGATTGCTGAAGTTCAAAGACGTCGGCTCCAACTTTCGCTAGACGTGAGTATGATCAGACACTGGGGTCAGCCAGGGTGAAGCCTGGTCGGCACAGTATACTTGAGTAAACGTCATAGCTAAACGCCGGTTCCCTAATCGGCAATGCGAGCCGATGACACCTTCCAAATAGGTCGCTTTTTTTTTTTAACTTGCAGGGATGAAACTCCCTCAAAAAAAGAATAAAATCAGATGAAACCACTACTGCGAAAGCCTAAAAGCGAAGGAAGTGAAGGGAAAGGAGGTGGAGAAAGAAGAGGCAACAGACTCTTCTGACATAGGTGCTGACGTAGCTAGGGCAAAATGACTACCTGGTGACCAAGTTTTGAAAAGAACAGAGGAGCAAGGAGTCCGGGGAGTCAAGCGAAAAATCATTCTTATTTTCAATCTTTCCGCCCCCAACCTTCTTTCTCGGATTCGGCATCTCCTGCAGATTCGGCATAGATCTTGCATAGGTAGACGCTTGAAATGCGGTTGGTCGTTGTAAGAGCGATATCGTTACCTATGTAGCAAGCCGCCGAAGTAAATTGCATTCACCCTTCACTACTTGATTTTCTTCCTACTGGGAAGTTCATAGATGGAGATGGACACTACCATCGACTGTCGATTTGGGGTTCCATGTGCGAGACCTGCCGTAGGGGCGATGGAAGAACATTCACGTTACTATACTGTTTGCACTCGCGGGGGATGGGCCACTTCACCCAACGCGCCACACAGCGCTCAAGGCAATTATACAAATCGACACCACAATGCATACATGCACACTACAGCATCCATCCTGCAAACCCAATCCCTCCTCCTGTGCTAATGCCAGCCAAATCCTTCGTCCCCCGCGTCCATCGTTAAAACAGCACCTAAAAGAAAAGAACAACAACGCTTACCCCCCCTAGTCCAAAACCCTACCCGCAACGGACGACGAGCTCTTGTCCTTTGTCTCGACCTTCCTTAGACCCCTACCCATCTGGATCTGGCTTAGCAGGGCACCTCTATCACCTGCACCTGCGGGTGGAGCAGCCGGTGCGGCGGCGGGGCCTGGCGGCGGCGGCGGCGGCGGCGGTGGCGGCGGGGCACCGGGAGCGCCTGCGCCAGGCATGGGAGGTGGCGGCGGCGGCGGAGCGCCAGGGGCGCCTGCGCCGGGCATGGGCGGCGGTGGCGGAGGAGCAGAGGGACCTGGAGAGCCAACAGCAGGGCTGTCGTTGCGCGAGCCACCAAGCGGCGAATCCTTGTTGTCCATGGCCGAGAGCGGGCGAGGCGGACCCATGGTGCCGAACAGGATAGAGGCAAGCTGCTTGGCAGAGCCACCGCCCGGACGGTCGTCATCCGAATCGGAAGAGCTGTCATCATCGGAATCAACCACGCTCCAATCATCCTCTTCGGAACGCGCACGCATGCGGGCAGGTGCGGCAGTTGGCTCAGGCAGTGCCGCCTTGTTGCTATCCTGCTGCGTGAGGCGGTGGAAGGGGTTGGTCGAGACCTCAGTAGAGCTTGCAGGAGTAGAAATGGAGGGAACGCTGGGCGCAGCGTGGGATTCGCTGGCCTGAGCCATCTTCTTCAAGAAGGGGTTCTTCGTCTCTGTGGTGGCACCAGGGCTGGTGACAGCGGAGGCTTGAGGGCTAGTGACGGAAGATGGCGGAGTGTTCGCGGAGGGTTCCGCAGGGGCAGGCGCTGGTGGAGCTGGTGGAGCAGCTGGAGGCTCGGCCTTCGGGAGTTCCTGGCTGGCGGTAGGTGTGGTTTCTTGAGGAGTTATCTCTTGAGGACCCTCGTCGTCCGACGAAGAGGAGTCATCATCCATTCCCTCGAGCTGAAGCTGGAGCTGACGTTCGCGTTCCTTGGCGGCCTCAATCTCGGCACGCTGAGCAGCCAAACGAGCCTCCTTCTCCTTGGACTCCCGCTGGGCCTCCTTCTTCTTGCGCTTCTCCTCCTCCTTCTTCAGCTTGCCAGCCTTGACTTGTTCCTCCAAAGCACGCAAGCGAGCAGCGGCGGCATCCTGCTCTTTAGCAAGGTCTTCTTCCTGTCGCTTCTCCTCGTCCCTGTGAAGAACGTTAGTTTCATGACTCGCTCTGTCTAATCTCATCGATACTCACTCCAAAGCCTTTGTCTCCGCTTCTTGAGCCTCCTGCTCCTCACGAAGAGCACGCTCCGCCGCCTCTTGCTCAGCCTTCTTTGCCTCAGCATCGGCGTCGTATGTTTCGGCCTTCTTGTTCCGTGACGGGGGAGCCGGGGGAGGCTTCTTGCCCGTCGCCTTAGGAGCTGGCGGCGGGATACCTTGCTCTTCGTTGAGCCTGCGCTGCCTCTCCTGTTCGCGGCGGGCGTCTTCCTCCTCGGACTTGCGAATACGCTCCTCCTTCTCACGCTGCTCACGCTCTGCCTTCTGTTGAGGCGTCTCTCCAGAAGGTTTCGAGGGGGCGCGGAGACCAAGAGCAGCCAGACGCTCAGCCATACGCTGTTCAGCCTGCTGCTTGATGAAGGCAGCACGCTCTTCAGCGGTCTTGTACGAAGAGTAAGAGGCGCCGCTTGACGAGGCAGGGCGCGCCATGGGCGACTCGGGGCGTGCCGGAGATCCAAGACCCCTGGCACTGCTGGGCCTTGCTGGCTCCTCGATACGGGGGACCGGCGACTGGTACCTGTTCCGTGCGCTGTCCCTGACGTCGCTGCTTTCACGTTAGCTTGGAATATCCCACGAAATGCATGCTTTTACTGACTCTTCCTTTCGAACTCTAGCCGCACGGCTCTGCCTTTGCAATTCGTAGATGAAGTCCTTGACTTCGTCCTCAACGCCAAGGCCGTCTTGCCACCTACGGCGCTCATGTTCGCTGGATTCAGGTTGGGATCCCTCCTTGAGGCTGAGCTCTAGAGCCTTGCTGAACTCGGTCACACTCTCTTCGACATCGCGCACCATGCGCTCGTTGCCCTCCCTCTCATTACGGATACGCGTCTGCTCCTCCTCAAGGCGTTTGGCTGCGTCGCCCGAGTCATCGGCAGATGCAGGCGCAGGCTTGCCGGTAAGAGCGGCGGAACGTGCCTGCATCATTGCCTTCGCGCGGGCTTTCAGCCTATCGGATTCAGTGACGGCACCACCAGGACCAGTGCCAACAATCGCAGCAGACGAGCCAGGGTGTGCTTTAGCATCCTTCAATCTAAATAGCTCGAGCTGGGCCTCCGCAATAGCACGCTCGGTTCGGCGCACCTTTGATGCCAATTCCGGAAGCCTGTCAGTCAGACGACGCAGCTCACGCTGAAGAGCGCGCCGTTCCGCGTCTGAGCCTCCAGACAACATAGAGTGAGCATTGGGATGGGTGTCGATATCTTCCTGAAGGCGTCTAATCCGGCGGTACAGATCCTCGGCATCCTTTCGGTCCTTACGGTCCAGGAGATCCTCCTGCTCGGCACGATTTTCATCGCGGAAGTCCATGGCATCCAACAATACCTGCTTTTCCTTGATCTCCTTCTTGAGCTGCTCGATCGACTTTTCGTCGCTAGACCTCTCAGATCCAGGGGAAGGAGGCCCGGCTGGTGAGGGAGAACGCCCGCCATTTCCGATCCTACGCCGAGCACTCGATCTATAGCCAATGTCATCATCATTGTTTTTGAAGACAGTGGCGTCCTTGCGGCCTGCGGAAACGGGACTTCCACCACGGAGTGAGTGATTCTTTAGGTAGCTGACACCGGTCTTCTGAGGTTGAAGGAAAGCGCCAGAGTGCTTCCTTTCCTCGGCATCACGGGCAATCAAGCTCTTCATGGTGCCAATGGAGTCATTAAGGTTCCTAGTGGACGGCGGGACAAGCTCCGGAGGAAGAGTGTTTGGCACTGGGTAGCCGTTCAGCTTACGATAGATCAGATGCATAGCAACGGCGAACTCATCCAGATTGAGACGGCCGCGGTTGTGGGGATCCGAAAGAGTCCAGATCTTCTCCAGGTCGGATTTGTCAAGGCCAGACTGTCCCATGATCTCAATGGCTTGGCTTCCTGTAATGTAACCCTTGCTAAGGCCATCCCAGGCCTTGAACAGCTGATCGTAGATCTTCTTCTCGTCCTTCGTGATGGCCCAGGGAACTGTTGCGTTACCACGGAGCCCCTGTGCACTGAAGGAACCGCCTTCTCTTCCAGGCTGAGGCATCAACTGCTGCATCATGTTTTGAATATTAGGCAATCCTCCAGCGGGTGTGTTTACAAGTCCCCATTGCCCGGGCATTCCCGTAGGCTGGGCATTGAGCGGAGCGACCATGCCTGGACCAAACCCAGTAGGCTGGGGTTGCAGACCAGTCATCTGGGGCTGGAGACCACCGAGCATTCCCTGGTTCATACCAAAACCGGTGGGCTGGGGTTGTAGACCGGTAGGCTGAGGCTGGAAGCCTCCCTGCTGACCAGGGAAGCCAGTCATCTGCGGGGCCAGACCGGTGGGCTGCGGTTGCAGGCTAGACAGTAACTGAGAGTTGGAAGGTTGTTGAGGCTGGGGCTGTTGAATGGTCGGAGCAGACTGCGAGCTGGATGCTGCAGGTTTCATGTCGGGAACACCAAAAGAAATGATGTCGACCATGCTTGAGACCTCGTTCCTAACGCGCTCGGGCAGTTCACTAGGAAGGTCCTTGCCGACGAGCTTCAAGTTGCAAAGATACATTGCGAGGGCAAACTCGGGAAACAGCAGCTGGCCTGATTTGGTCGTGTCAGAGAGCGTCCTGAAGCGTGGTGTTAGCGGACAGCATCATAACCGCCAGATGGCCCGAGGGGCCCTACCAAATGTGTGCGAGGGCATCGCCAGTCAGCTTCGATCGCATGAGCAGGTCCCTCGCCTGGTCGCCGGACATGGCCTGGCCACCCCCCACTGCCGACTTGAACAATTGTTCGAACTTAGCCTGGTCCTGTACCGTTATAAAGCTAAGTCTAATGCTCGGGATCTTCGAGCCGGTGGGCTGGGCGGCCTGAGGCTGCGGCGGTTGAGACGAGGGTCCGCGAAAGGAGTCAGCCATCTGCGACGAGGTCAAGCCAGTGAGCTGGGGTTGCTGAGGCTGCGCAGGCGGCGGCATGCTCTGCTGGCCGGTCGGGAATGGCTGCTGCTGCGGTGGCTGCTGGAACGACTGCTGCGGCTGGTGTTGCTGCTGCTGCTGGCCGGGGAAGCCGGTGAACTGGGGCTGGAGCTGCGGCGGCTGCTGTTGCTGGAAGCCCTGCTGCTGTTGGAAGCCCTGCTGTTGACCCGGGTTGAAGCCGGTGAATTGCGGCTGCAGTGGAGCGCCGCCAAAGCCGGTGGGCTGCGGCTGCAGTCCGCCGAAGCCCTGAGGGGCGTACTGCTGGCCATATTGCTGCTGCTGCTGCTGTTGCTGCTGGCCGGGGGGGCCGCGAGCAGAGTTGGCGCCTCCGAGGAAGCTCTGGCTCCCCGAGAACATGGTGACAAGCGCGAGGCGGGGGCGCGCAGAACGGTGGGGGTTGGTAAGAGAGTGAAAAGGGTGGGTGGGTATGGATATGGGGAACGGAGGGCAAGATGCGGGAGGTGACAGCCCCGTGCTGGCTCTCGAGATGACGACGGCGCCCAATGCGAGGCCCGTGCCACACGCCCCCCAGCCGCCGCTGCAGCTCCTTGCCCTTGCCCTCGCTATCACCACCAACTTGCATTCCGTTCGTCATCATGGCTGCGCCGCAGAACGGAGACGCCCCGCAGGACCGCGCCGGCGATGCCGATCTGGCTCAGGTACGCCTCGTCGCCGCCGCTCTGTCCCCGCGCTGCTGCCCGCCCGGAGGCTTATTTTGCACAGGCTTTCAAAGATCTCGCCCGTGGCGAGCAAACCGCGTCCGCCCTCGAGAATCACCTGGATGCTCTGGAAGCTAGGATCGAGGAGCTTCTGGCGGCTGCAGATGCCCAACAGGACGCGGCCCCTTCCGGCGCAGCAAGCCAGCAGCCGCAGTCGAAAGATCCTGCCGCCGGTGGTGCGCAGCGGAGGTCTTGACCTGGGCTCTGTCGACTACGCGTGTCTTCGGGCACTGCGATCATGATACGGGAGGGCTCGTTTGAAGCACAGATCAAGCATCGCGGCGAAGCGGGAGCGACATCCTCTCATTCCAAGTGCCCCAGCGGGTTGCAAACGAATCGAGCCTACTACCTACACCTGTCTCACGAAACTTAGATGGGTAGTCGACTGCCATGCCTGGACGTGTTCGTCCAGTTTGAACGTCGTATCTGCGCCCGCATGTTCACTTCAGCTGCCCGCGGAGGAAGGGTGTAGCGTCCTCCGCGGAACACAGAAGGATTAAATATTTCTGCAATCCGCCATGACAAGGCAGGTTCTGCCCATTACAGGCATGATGGCCGGATCCGCGTTCGTGCCTCCTTCTGGTCAAACCCGTATGTGAAGACGCCCGCTTCCGCTGCAGCGGGGCCAATTTAAAGCTCAAAGAAACCCGTTGACCAGCTCACCACTTGAATACTGTTTCCATGTGGAAGGCACCGTCGCTGTCTTTTTCCAACACGCCAACCTCGGTGATGATGCCATCGATCAACTCGGCAGGAGTAACGTCGAACGCAGGGTTCCAAACGTTGATGCCGTTGGCAGCGATGCTCACCGTCTCGACCACGTTCAGGTCCAGGGACACGCCATCAAATCGCGGTCCCTTGACAAGCGTCATCTCCTTGCCTGGGCGCTCCTCGATCACAATGTCCTGGCCACTCTTGGTGTGCAAATCTATCGTTGTCCGCGGGGCTGCGACGAGGAACTTGACTCCATGATGCTTCGCGTTGACCGCGAGCGAGTACGTGCCAATCTTGTTTGCGGTGTCCCCGTTGGCAGCAACCCTGTCAGCACCGACGACAATCGCTGCTATCCTCTTGGATTGACCCTTCAGGTGCAGCAGCGCCGCCGCCATGGAATCCGTCACCAGCGTCGCTGGGATCTTATCGTGTACGAGCTCAAATGCCGTCAGGCGAGAGCCCTGGTTATATGGCCTCGTTTCGGTGCAGAAGGCGTGCATGAGATCACCGTTGGCATGGAGCGAGCGGATAACGCCCAGAGCGGTCCCATAGCCGGCGGTGGCGAGCGACCTGCAGCAATTAGATTGCGCTTATCAGACGATAAACCACAGACAGCCGCATACCCGGTGTTGCAGTGCGTGATGACACTGACCTGGCCGCTCTTGCCGGCCTCGGTGTTCTTCATGATCCACTCGGCGCCGTGCTTGCCAATGTTCTCGTTGTCCGACACGTCGTCAACCAGCATCTTCTCCGCAGCTTGGACGTAGGCATCCTTGACGGACGTCCCAGAAGCGCCCTGTGCGGCGGCAGCCTCATCCACCGTCTTCTTCAGCTTGCGAGCGGCGTCTGCGAGGTTGACGGCTGTTGGCCTGCTCGTCACCAAGTAGTTGAGCTTCTCCTCTATGAAGACATTGACTTCCTCGGCAACGGAGGACAGCTCGTTCTTGGAAGCAATGGCCTCGAGTTCGACGGCCAAGCCAAGGGCGGCGACAATGGCGATGGCGGGAGCGCCGCGGGTGCGCATCTCCTTGATGGCGTGCCACGCATCCTGGGCGGAGCGCGCTTGGTCATAGACCTCCTCGTGAGGCAGACGCAACTGGTCGAGGACTTGGAGCGAGCCGCGCTCGTACTTGATCGCTTGGAGGACCATGGTGGGCGTGTTTTGGCGGGGCAGGATTGCGGGCGAGTAGGTAGCACGACGCGAACTTTTTCCCTGGGTGCAGGGGCTGCGTGGCGGGGCGCTCACGTCATGATTGCCCGCCGCTCGACCAGGGCTCCCCGGCCAACACCCGACAGCTCCCCCACAGCTCTCTTGACTACCTCATCACTCGACTCCCCGCTCACGACCATGGCCTCCAAGCTTTCAATCTCGTCCACGCTTCCGCTTCCTGACAGCCCCGCCCAGATCCCGCGGCTCGGGTTCGGCGTGTACAAGTCCACCGCTGAAACATGCATCCGGTCGTGCCTGACAGCCCTCAAGGCCGGCTACCGCCACATCGACACGGCCCAGTTCTACGCGAATGAGGAACAGGTCGGCCAGGCGGTCAAGGAGTCGGGCATCCCGCGCTCGGAAATCTACATCACGACCAAGATCATGACCGCGTCGTCCGATGTGCCCGCCACATACCAGAGGATTGCGGACAGCGTCAGGAAGTTGGACGATAGGCCCGATGGCTACGTGGACCTGTTCCTGATCCACAACGCCTCGACTTCGCCCGAAGGAAACAAGATCATGTGGTTGGCGTTGGAGCAGGCCAAGACTGAAGGTAAAGTCAGGGACATTGGCGTAAGCAACGCCGGCAAGCAGCACATTGAAGCTATGAAGGACTACGCCAAGGTCTGGCCACCGGCCGTGAATCAGATTGAGGTAAGCGTTGACTTCTCTCACGGGTCGTGTCATGGGACGCTGATGATCTTGCTAGCTGCACCCGTGGAACCAGCAGCGCGAGGCTGTGAAGTATTCCCAGTCGCAGGGCATTGTCGTCGAGGCATACTGCCCGCTCGTCAGGAACATGAAGGCAGACGATAAGACGCTGCTTTCTGTTGCTGAAAAGCACAACAAGACGGCCGCGCAGGTCCTCATCCGGTACTGCTTGCAGAAGGACTGGGTCCCGCTGCCGAAGAGCGACACGCCCAGCAGGATTGAGGCCAATGCTGATGTCTTCTGCTTCGAGCTCGATGCTAAGGACATGGAGACTTTGGATAACCTAGACGAGGGTCCTTGGGGGGCAATTGTCAAGGCTGTGGATAACTGATCGACGGGCGACGGGGATGGTTGCCCCTAGCCGGGCGTACCGAATCGTGAGCCAGGGCTGGATATTCATCGCTAGAGCTGTATCGAAAATGTATAAAACCCCGTGGTCCTGACTTTGCATGTTGCAAACTACTCGTCAAGATGCTGGGGGAAGATCCCGTGCATATCCACCCTTGCGTGCCTGTCAACATGAGATTGTAAAATGCACAGCCACCGAGCAATACTGTCTAAATTTTGCTTTTACGCACCGACTTGGTAGCATCACAAGACACTACTGATCGTAGAGTGTACGAGATTAGACGCGATCTGATCCCAATCTCCCTTGACTTTCCCGTTCAGAAATCCGCGGATGATAATAGTTCAGCCTTGTATTTCTCAAACGATGATGACCTGCGAAGAAAAGACACTTGGGCCGATCTCACTCCATACTCGTTCGGACGAGGTCTCTACCTTTTACCGTGGAACCTAGTGAGAGGTTGAGCAATGTGAGCTGCTTTTTAGTCATTGGCCAAATACAACGTGTACATCGTTTGTAACTGGTTTCACTGCGACCTTCTTCACATGTGCTCCATCATTATGGGACATTGATGGACAAGAGCATGCAACCAAAAAAACAAATCAAACAAAAATCGATTGCTTCAATTCATAGACTCCAAGCCCCATTTTTAATCCTGTGAAAGCCAAGTTACCTTTTTTTATCGATTTTTTATCGATGCTGACTCAAAGAACCAAGCCGCCCTGCGCAGTCATACAAGTCATATCACATAGCTTCGTCCCCCATCCTGCTACACCTTCCGTTCCCCTGTAGACGATAATGAAAGATTGCGAAAGACGCAAGGGGAAATGGCGTTTTGGAAGTGGCGGGCTTCCGTCTAAGAATTGGCGGGCTCAAAGTAGGTTCTGAAGCCGGCTTCCTGATCAAAGCCACAGTCTACGACCACCTCGTAGCAAGCCATAAGAAGCTTCGGAAATCTCGTCGTCCAGTATCTGAGGTACCCGTCTGGAAGGGGGCCCACCTTGGCCTGAACGTCGGGCGGCATATCGTAGTAGTGATTCTTCTTGTTGCGCAACGCCCGCAGCAAATCCAGCATCTTGTCGCCATTGTATTTACGCTGCTTACCAAGCGTATCGATGAATTTGCGGTCGAGCTTGGATAGGAAGTCAGGGAACTTGCTATACGCGTGGTTCGAGTTCTGGCCCTTGGGAGCGGGGCACATGACTTCAACATTCCGCGCTTCCAGTCTGCAGAGAGACGCCGATGGCGGATCACGTGGCTCGAACTCGAATCGATCCGATACTTGGCAGAGGAAAGTAAGCCGTTTCTCAGGCGACCAGAAAAAGGGATGTTGCATGACTTGCATGGCAGTCGGACGGTCGACCGGGTTGTTGGAAAGCATGCGGGAGATGAGATGGATCGGCTCCTCCGAATCGTCGCCCAGATACTCAAGCTTACTGAAGTTGAACTTGTTTTTCTTGATATTAAGCTCACGGATCTGCATCCAGCCTTCCTCGTCATCGAACGGGTGGGAGCCATTGGTCAGGACGTAGAAGAAGACGCAGCCAAGGGAGAAAATGTCCACTGATCTCTTAACGCCTTGGGTGACAGGGTCATTGGACGTTGATGAATCCCGCTGGCTTGAGCTCATACGCCCTTCGGATTCTTTCGGCTTGAGGATAAGCTCCGGTGCTTTCCAGCCAATGGTACCCGCGTTGTTCGTCGTACCGACGAGAGTGCTGACGTTGTCCGGGAGAGTCTTACAGAGTCCGAAGTCCGAGATGACGAAACGGGGTCCTCCGGTCTGGTTCTTTTTTGGATAGGCGACCAAGATGTTCTGCGGCTTGATGTCGCGGTGGATGATTCTCAGACCATGCAGGTGGTTCAAGCCAGCTGCGAGTTGGTAGAGTGCTCTTGGAACATCGGCATTGATCTCATTGACCAACCCGATCTGTTGATCCGTCCACGGATCGTCCGCCCGACCGTCTTTGTAGAGGTCCCAAAGACTGGCTTGGCAGAGTTCCACTGCAATGTACAGAAAGTTCTCGTCCTTTTGCTTGCAAAAATAGCGGATGACGTTCGGATGATCGTCACTCTGGGTAAGAAGACTGACTTCCTGGTCGGCGAGCTCGTAGTATTGTGGGAGCATTCGCTTGACCGCAACATCACGACCTTCAAACTTTCCTGCGAAGACGAAAGTGCCTCCGCTTCCGCTACCAAGCACCTTGTCGGTAATGGTCAGATTATGGATTCTAGGACAATTAGCAGAAGCACCCAACAGTCTTAGCCAGCTCTCGGTACTTACTGCTTCGCGGAGGAGATGTCCGACATGCTTTGTCCGTTGGTAGAGCTACCGTCAACACCGTCGTCTTGATCCTCACCAAACTTTTTGACGTTCGCAACGACCTTCTCCGTCTCTTCGCCTTCAGACTCGGCATTGTTGTTTTTTCTGTTCTTATTGCGCTTCCTACCACCGCGTTGGCCACGGTGGGCTTTCTTCTTCTTTGGCGTCTCCTGTCCGTTGTCGCCCTCTTCCGTAGGCTGAGGCGAATCAACTCGTGCAGGAGCTTGGCCAGCCTGCGGGCTACTTTCGATGCCATTACTCGGCGCATCCTCACCCGGAACGGTGATCTCCTCACCACCCATCTGGAACCTGACCTTCCGCTCCTCTGGTGGTTGTTCGGCTGATGGCTCATCCTTTAGCGATTCTGCTACCTCAATTTGTGGCACGCTTGGAGATACTTGAGGAGGATGAGGCGCATTAAACCTGAAGTTTTCAAGCGGTCTGTGCAAGGTTTTCTTCCAGTCACCGCTCAGCGAAGCGCCGAGAATGAGGAAGAGGGTCGCTACCAGGAAGGTCCAGATCGACAAATGCCACACAGGAGCCTGAGCAATAGACGGTTTTGGAAGGGGAATTTCAGTCTGAACAGGCTCCTGGCCCAGCTCCTCCGAGGCGCCGATGGGAAGGACATCCTCGGCACCTCCAATCATCGGTATGGGATGAGCAGTGTGCGTCAAAGAGTGAACACCTACCAGCAAAGGCCTGAGCGAGCCCTGCTGCGTGTGCCAATTGACCGCGGAAAAGTCGTTCCAGTTGAGCGTGTAGCACAATGCTGGCGAGGCACCGTCGGTAACTGCGGGGTAGCTGATCTCAGACATAGCGAACCAGCTACCATTTTCGGTGCAGTTCAAGAAGACGTCCTGCTGGAATTCTTGAACCGTAGCAGGGCCGGGAGGTTGGGGTAGAAGAACCAGAGAGGTGTCACGAGAGTTGGCATGGAACGGCCGCACGATATCGTACACGCGGACGACCGGAGAATCGAACTTGTTGTGATAGACGTTTCTTTCCTTGTCCTTGGTGTGGTCCAACGCATAGATGTTTCCGTCGTACTTGCTGTAGATATACTTGTTGTCCATGGTCGATGAATACTGGAGCTGGAGGTCGCGGTCCCTGTTGTTAGGGGCCCATTCGAAATACTTGATTGTGCAGATCGGCGTGCCCGTGTCTCTGTTAGCAATTCCGACCGTGTACTCCGTGCGACCGAGAGCCAGCGTTCCGATGGACTCGCACTCATCCTCGTCGATGCCCTCGAGCCCGCTGATGCGACGACAGCTGCCCTCATCGATGACGGACGAGCCTCCGGAGCTGAACTGCTTCAAGATTCGGCCGGTAGCGGCGTCGACCGTGTAGAGAGTGTTCTTCTTCTCTGCCGTGTACACCACGGGCGGATCGTCGCTTGCGTAGGGCGATAGCTCTTCGGCAAGCTGCCTCACCGTCAGGTTCAGCTTGTGGATGCCGATGTTTGGAGCCGGAGTAGCAACGTAAAGGTCCCCGTCCTGATTCGGCTCGACGATCCACTCCGGGCCATCGTCCAGGACGTCGCTTTCTTCGGACTTGTTCCGCTGGTGGTAGACCATGTCGACCATTGGACGGTCGGCGAAGAGGGTCCATCTCTCCTCGCCGGTATTCCTATCTCTCGCGTGAATCTTGCCATCAACGGTCGCCAGAAGGACAAAATCCTCGACTTCCCAATCCTGCAGGGACCGCGCACGATGTCGCGAGGAGAGGCCGCCGGAAGGGCCGGCGGCCGACCTGGCAGGAGGTGCTCGAACAGCGAACTCGGGGTCTGCTGGAGCCAAAGTCGCAATGGCGCGCTCGTTCTTGGGAATGAAGGGCACGTTGCGGTGTCGGTTGTTGTTATTGTTGTTGTTGATGTTGTGCTTGATGCTGTTGCTGTTGCTGTTGGGGTTGCGGTTGGGGTTGCGCTGGTTGGACGCTGGAGCGGCGGACTCGGACAGGGCGTCTAGATGGGCGGACGACCACGGCCGATGGTCCGCAGTGTCGCGGAGGAGCTCCTCGCGAGGAGAGTTGCGGACGGCATGGTGTTGGTGGCCGGGCTGCTGCTGCTGAGCGGAGGCCACAAAAGGAAACACGAGCAGTAGGGCGATCAGGGTCGAGCTCAAAGCGGCAGAGGTCCTGCCGGGAGGCCGACGGCGCGGCATGAAGGTGGTTTAGACGATGGAGGACTCAGCCCGGCGTAGGCCTTTTAGCGGGGAGCAGGTAGGCATGAGAAGGGATGGACGGTCGAGGGTGGACGGTCGAGGCTGGCGGGAGAATGTGAAAGAAAGGTCGAGGTCAGCACACGAGGAGGTGTGGTGTGCGGGCCAAGCGCTGAAAGGCGAGAGCACCAGGCGTGAGACGGGCGGCAGGGGTTGGCTCGAACGAGGGAGGGGCCCGCCCTTGGCCGCCCCCCAGAAGCCAACCACCACGGCGGCCCGCTGCGTGCGTGCCACGGTGCCTGGCGCCGCCTGCCTGCTAGAGTAGTGATGCACCCTCCATCGGGCGACGCGAGGACGCAGCTAGCAGCTGGTAGCCCTGCCGCTGCCGTCATCCCTTCTTCCAGTCTGCCGTCTCCGACTCGGTATGGCCTTCGCATCTGCCCAGCGAGCCCTTGCGAGCTCCGCACAGAAAAAAGCGTGCGTATCAGGCCGTGCGTGCGGCCGTCGGACGCATTGCGTGTCGCCAGGCCCTTGCGGCGCACGCAAGAATGCCACAGCCTCCCACGCCTTGCGACCGTCGTCCGCGCCAGAGCGGCAACAGCGAGAAGGTCGGCGCTCCAGGGGCGCGCTTCTTGCCACCACGAGCGCTGCTGCGCAAAAGGCCCGCAGCTGTCAGTGACGACCGCTGCACGAGCGGCCCCGGCCAGCTTCGGGCGCACTAATTGCTTCCCCGCGGGGCTGAGGATCGTCCTCTATCTAGCGCGCTGCAGCCCGCCGCGCAACAAGGAAAAGAAAAAAAACTCCACAGCCTGAGGCCATCGCGAGCTCCCGCCCTTTGCCATGTAAGGCGCGCAAACAGGAGAAGGCGCCCTGGCATGCAAAAGCTTGATGGTATTGCCCGCCCTGCCGGCTCCCTCATTTGGAGCATTTGCAACCGACAAGCGGCGGAGAAAAGCCCGCAAGGCAGGTGGCCAATGAGCATTGCCACCTTCTCCAGCGGCTGGGCCTTGTCATTGCACTGCTTTGCCTCTGTTGCCCAAATTTCGACATACATTGTGGCATTCAGTCTATGTGGCGCGGCGCTGAGTTGGCCATCCTCACACCAACCCGGGCCCCCGACTCCGATGCACCAAGCTAGATCGTTTGATATTCTTTGAGCTGCCGTGATTTCTACTAGTACAACATCCCGTTTATGGTTTTTGCGTGCCCATGGCCTCCGCCTCCGCCATTACTAGCGCCTCCTGTTTCCCTGCCTCCTCACATGCGGGTCCTCTGCCTCGGTGCGCTCCGGATGATGTTGTCAACTCTCAGCAACAGCTGCCATCGTGTCAGTCATGTCAAATGTGTAGTTTGTGGGGACGGCGGCCCATGTACTTACCTCGGCGGCCTCACTTGCCGACGAAACAACCGCACGCTTGAGCTTGTAGCTTTCGATGACGCCAAGCTCCCTCATGTCCGCAATACCTCCACCAGGAGTCAGGAGGTCGAGTCCGGAGCTCGTCATACCCGAGTACACAGCCTTTCTTAGCCTGGCAACGAGGTCGCTGGAGTCGTAACCAGCGTTGTCAGCCAGGATGGTCGGCAGTTGCCGCAGCGCCTTGGCGAAGGCCTCGACAGCGAGGGCCTTCTTGCCGGCGACGTTTTGCGAGGCCTGCTCAACGGCCTTGGCCATGTTGATCTCTGCGCAGCCACCTCCCAGCGTTGTCCTGGGCTCCTTGACCGTCTGCGACAGTACGGCAAGAGCGTCGTGAAGGGACCTGTCGGCTTCATCCAGGAGCTGCTCAGTGGCGCCGCGCAGGACGATCGTGCAAGCCTTGCCTGCCGCGACGCCAGAGAATCGAATGAGGGTGTCCTCGCCGATGATGATCTCCTCAATAAGGTCGCAGTGGCCAAGCTTGACGTTCTCGGGGTGGTCAAAAGTAGAGGTGATTTCGCCTCCGGTGACGAGGGCCAGTCGCTCCACACCGTCGAAATCGGCATGCTCAATGGAGCAGACACCAGCGTCGGCAAACAGCTGCTCCGGCCAGTTGTAGATGAGCTGCCTGTTGACGAAGCAGTTGATGCCGTGAGACTTGATCTTGTCCACCTTGGTCTTCATCTTCTCTCGCTCGGCCTTTTCTAGCTCAGCAAGTTTGCCAGTGCCATCAACCTTCACTCTCGCGCCAAAAATTTTGATCTTGTCCGTGTCCATGGCGGTGTTGGCAATCAGAATGTTCGCATTCTCGATCCTCTTGGGCTGGTTCACGCCGAACTTCTTGTCCAAGATGAAGCCCTCCTCAAGGTACGAGTCCTTGAGCTTTCCGCCTGCCTTCTTGATGATCTGGATGTGGGTCAGGTCACTGGAGCCCTGGAGCCTAAGCACAGCGTCGACGGCAAGCTCAGCGAACTGCTCGCGGTCCTGGCTCAGCACCTTGGAGCTCAGGGTGGTCCTGGCGATGGCGATGAGGTCCTTGCGGAAAGCCTGGGCATCGTTGCTGTTGTTCACGGCAGTCTTCTCCAATGCCTCAAGTGCAGCACGGCTTGCTATCCGGTAGCCCTCAATGATGGTCTGAGGGTGGATTTTCTGGTTGACCAGCTGTTCGGCCTCGCGCAGCAGCTCCGCAGCCAGGACGGCCACGGACGTGGTGCCGTCTCCGACCTCGTCATCCTGAACCTTGGAGATGTTGACCAGGACCTTGGCAGCGGCGTTGTCGAGGGCAATAGACTTGAGGATGGTAGCGCCGTCGTTGGTGACCATGATCTCGCCGGTGGAGCTGAGGGGCAGCTGTTAGCGGGGAGTCCAAGGCAGGCGATGGCAGTACGCACGCAGATTGTAATATCTTGTCCATTCCCTTGGGTCCCAAGGTGCTCTTCACCAGGTCGCCAACGGCGATGGCGCCAACAAAGGCGGAGAGACGAGCATTCTCGCCCCTCTCTTCTTGCACGTCTTCCGCGAAGATCTGCGTGGGGTTCTGAGAAGACTAGGGGGGCGCGTCAGCGGGAGCTGCAGGACTGCAATATAAAAAGGAGACGAACCATCGTGAAGGTTGTGGCAGAGGCAGACGGCGACTCGCAGGGGGGAAGTGGAGTGGGCCGTGTGCGCTTCTGGTGTTGCTCCCAAAAGGACCCCGACGCGTTGGTCGGCGTGAAATCTGCGGGCAGGGCAGCGGCAACGTCTTGGCGCCGACTCCCGCGGCGAGCTGTGGACCAGGCAACTCCACCCGCTCGTTGCCCGCAACCCACCACCCAGCATCCTCTGCCTTGCACTGGCACCATGTCCAAGCGGCAGGCCGACTCGCTCGATGATGCAGCACAGAGTGACTCGCCCGCAGCCAAACGCGCCCGCACCGAAGAGCTCGCCGACGACAACGAGGCGGCTTCCGCCAATGGCCTGCCCATTCGCCAGAACGGCCGCACTACGTCGCCTCGGCCTGGGGAGGGGGTAGACGACGCAGGTGCTACGGAGGAAACGCACCAGGGGCGGGAAGATACAGGCGCCCCAGGCGACGAGGACGATGAGCCCGCTGTCACAGCTCCAACGCGCCAGGCAGCTCCAGCCGAGGGCTACAACGACCTCTACCTGGACACAATTGATAGGAAGGTCTTGGACTTCGACTTTGAGAAGCTATGCTCCGTCACGCTGTCGAATATCAACGTCTATGCATGCTTGGTGTGCGGACGATACTACCAAGGCCGTGGGCCCAAATCGCAGGCATACTTCCACGCATTGGATGAGGGCCACCACGTGTACATCAACTTGGAGACAAAGAAGGTCTACGTCTTGCCCGAGGGCTACGAGGTGACGAGTAAGTCGCTCGAGGACATCAAGTTCGTGGCGGATCCGAGACTGTCCAAAGAGGAAGTGATGAAGCTCGACAAGGAACAGAAAACCGCCTGGGATCTCGTCGGCCGCAAGTACATACCCGGCTTTGTTGGTATGAACAACATCAAGGCCAACGACTATTTCAACGTCGCCATACACGCGCTCGCCCATGTCACCCCTCTCCGCAATTTCTTCATGATCGAAGGCCTCTCCTCTAGACCCCAGCTTGCACAGCGCTTCAGCACACTGGTACGCAAGATATGGAATCCTCGTGCGTTCAAGGCACACGTCTCGCCCCACGAGCTTCTACAAGAAATTGCGTTACGTTCGTCCAAACGCTTCACCCTTACAGAGCAGTCCGACCCTGTGGACTTCCTCCAGTGGTTTCTCAACAACCTGCACCTTTCCCTGGGGGGAAGCAGAAGCAAACCCGGCTCCAGCATCGTGCAGCGCGTCTTTCAAGGCAGTCTGAAGATCGAGTCTCAGCTCATCACGGCGCGTGCCGACGCGGCAGATCGCCTCCGGTTTGAGGACTCTGACGTGCAGTCTGAGAAGAGTCATTTCATGATCCTCACTCTTGACCTCCCGCCTCGGCCGGTCTTCCAGGATGAACTGGAGAAGAACATCATCCCCCAAGTGCCGCTGACCCGGATCCTGTCCAAGTATGATGGCGTTTCGGCGCAGGAGCATCTCAACTACCGCAAGCGCTACCGCTTGCTACACCCGCTACCGCCGTACCTGCTCTTCCATATCAAGCGCTTCAGTAAAAACAAGTTTGTCTCGGAACGAAATCCTACCATCGTCACTTTCCCTACGCGAAGCCTCGACTTGAGTCCTTACGTTGAGCCTAACCCTGCGATCCACCCACCAGGCGAGCCCATCTGGTATGATCTCGTCGCGAACATCACGCACGAAGCCGTCCGGATTCGTGACGATAGTGTTGAAGGTGAGTCGGAGAAGAAAGTGTGGAGGGTGCAGCTGAGGGACAAAAGTCGGGAAGACTGGCTCGAGGTGCAGGATTTATTCGTGGAGAAGGCACGTGCGGAGACGCTGTTCACAAAGGAGAGCTACGTGCAGGTCTGGGAGAGGCGCAGAGAACCGAGAAAGGGAAAGGCCAAGGCGTGAGACTAGCGGCGTGTGGCAGGGCCGGGCTGCAGGGTCGCATGTGGCGTTCGAAAAAGGAAAAAAAGGAAAAAAGGAACGCGAGATTTCGCCAGTTGGATATTTTATCCCTGCACCTCTGCAGGATGAGTCTTATGATCAGTAAAGTCATGCGGCCAAACCTCAATAGAGACAAGCTCCAAGGAACCTGGATTTGCCAAACGGCGTGAAAAAACTATACAGAATGTTCCAGATGTGCTCCTGGGCCCAGCAGCCGGAGGATGCATTGCAGGGCTAAAGACGCACGAAAGAAGATGATGTGCTTTAGCTCAACCCCACATTTGCGTTGCTTGTGACACTGGCAACGATGACTTTGCATACCCACCCCTGCAACCTTATTTCGTCCGTACCGGATTGCACCCAGCTAGAGTGACCATTCATGTAGCAGGTGATAACGCGGTGCAGGTATGGGCGAGTCGGATGGCTTAGGTAGTCTCTTCGCATTGTGCGTAATAGTTTGGCTGAGACGGCTGCCTACGATTCCAGGCCATTGGTTCTCCAGAAAATTCCCCGACCACGCCCGTCGTACCTGGGCAGAAGCAGGCAGTTGGTGTAAAGATGCATCGCGGCTCCAGTATAAAGCTAGGTAATCATGGGTGCACGCCAAGAGCGATCAAACGCATTATTGATAGGTCACAAAGCAGAAGGCGGTCTGCCTGAACGGAAGCAGCACCAAGTCCACCGTCGAACGTCTAAATGATCAGCTTTTTGGTGTAACACAGGCAATCATGGTAGCATACGGACGTCGCTACCAAAAGTCTCTTCCGCCCTCGATCGGCGCCCCCCCTGTCACCGCTCCTTTTACCCTAGTCAATTCACACCGCTGTTCACACCGCCAATTCCCTTGCTTGCGCATAAATGCTGTTGACAATGCTTGCGCAGGTACCGGCCACGCCGACCACGGCAGTCACGGCAACGCAACGTCATGCCGCCTCTTCAGCTTGCCCAACGGGCCCAGGCGGTCTCTCTCAAATCTTGTGGTGTTTCAAACGCCCTCATTGCCGCCCGGGTTGGTACAACCGATCGCAACGTTCGCCGCCTCTATTCTATTGCTCATAAGCGTGGCTGGAACGATAATAAGCCGCTCCTGGACGAATATCTGCTCGACAAGCCTCGTTCTGGCCGGCCAACCAAGCGCACGCGCTCCGTTAAGAAGAAGGTGGTGGAGGCTGTTAAGAAGAACCGTAATAGCCGCGAGAAGACGTGTCAGTTCATCGCCAACGAGGTTGGTGTTTCGGCCATAACGGTTTGGCGTATCTTAAAGAGCCTCTATATAAGTAAGACGAAACCAACACGCAAGCCGGGTCTTACGAAGGAGGCACGATATGCACGCCTTCAATTCGCTCTTGCACACAGACATTGGGAGTTAGAGGACTGGAAGAACGTCATCTGGAGTAATAAAACGAGCGTCATCCTCGGCCACCGCCGTAGCGGCCACCGGGTGTGGCGAACACCAGCCGATCGCTATAACATCTCATACATCCGCCCACGGTAGAAGAACGCCTCAAAGTTCATGTTCTGGGGCTGTTATTCATACGACAAGAAGGGACCGTGTCACATTTAGAAGCGAGAGACGGCCAAAGAGAAGGAGAGGGCGAAGAAGATTATCGCTGAAATCAACGCACGGAACGAGCCAGAAGCCCGCCAGCGATGGGAGCTTAAAACAGGCATGCGACGCATAGGGTTACGCAATAAGCCGGGCACCAAGCCCGTCTGGAAGTTCACCCAAGAACACGGTGCCTTGAGCAGAAGAGAGGGTGGTAAGGGAGGTATCGATTGGTGGCGCTATAAAGAGGTAATCTTAGAGGGCAAGCTACTCCCATTCGCGCAAGAATGTATAAAGGTCCGGCCAAACACTATTATACAGGAAGATGGAGCACCAGCGCATACGCATTGGTACCAGAAGCAGGTATATTCTATGCACAACGTGCAGAGATTGCTCTGGCCTGGTAACTCACCGGATTTAAACATGATTAAGCCGGCCTGGAAGTGGATGAAGTAGAGGACTACGGCAAAGGGACCACCGGAAGCACGGCTGCTAGCAGAGCAGCAGTGGTATAAGGCATGGGACCAACTGCCGCAGCAGCGAATTCAGGCATGAATTAAGCGTATTATACGCCACATCCATCAGGTGTGCGACTTAGACGGCGGCAATGAGTATAATAAGGGCGCATATGACGATGAAGAAGCAGGCGGCGGAGTAGTGCGAAGGCGGCGGCGGCGAGGTCATCCAGGTGTGAAGAAGGAGGCCAGAGACGTGATTAAACTGCTCGATATTTAAGAACTCAACACCATGACATTATCTTGTTGTTTTGAAAAACCCCTTCCTGCTGGGCCCAGAATACTGCCGGCAGAATTGCTGCCTTGCGCGATTTTTGTACTGCCAAGCGAAAGACCGGGGGCCCCCTGCAGGGTGGAGGGCGGAAGAGACTTTTGGTAGCGACATCCGTAGAGGATTGGTTGTCGGTGGTGGTGGGGTCGGGGTCGAGATTGAGCCCGAGCCACATCAAACAACCGGTGAACGGATCCATCCCTACTCCCGACTTGCCTCACCCCTGCTTCGACATGTGGCATAGGGAAGGCAGTGCCAGGCGCTAAGTCTACCCTCGAACGTCGCGCCACCCCGGTCTACTTATGTCATGCGTGCAAGACTGCAAAGCGTGTGGCTGTGGTTGGGTTCGTGTGGTCGGTCAGCTACTCTACTACTTGAGCCATGAGAGACCAGGGAGGCTGCCATGACGGCGCCGCTACAAACACCCGCGGTATACACTAAGTCCGTGGTCGAACGTCGCATCTGGCCAGATCTTGGTAAATGGGGTCGTGCTATACACCCACCACCGCTTTTGCTTTTCATGCTTCTGATATTCACCCATCACCGCCGGATTCGGTAGGCGGTGAGGCCTCGTAGCTCGTGGCTTCGTAGCTTTGCAAACGCCCGACTGTGCTACGATCTTGTTGCAGCGTCGTCCATGGTCCTCGGATGGTGGGGATCGCGTGGCGCAGTCGGTGGGTTCTTGGGGTAGCCATGAGCTTGATGAAGCTCCCCGGCACCAACACTGGTCCCGGGGTTTGCTTTGGGGACCCGGTACTCCTGCGAGGAACAACGACTGCATTTCTACTCTTTCTTCATGTTGCCTCTTCTTTCGGCGCTGGCGGCGGGCTTGCTGAGTCTTGCATCAGACATCTGAGACGCATGGAATGCTGTGCTCCCACGGATGCACAGGCTCGAGGCGTGCAGCGGCGGAAGCCTGTAAGTAAGCGCAGAGGCTAGATGAGGCAGAAGGGAGGAGCTTCACGACAACTTCGGACGTCTGGAGTTTTTGGGTTTTGTGTAACTTTACTCGACTATTCAGGGCGGTGGTTGATTGGCCGGCAAAAAGGGGGCGGCTTGACGGAAGCGGCCAGGCCATAGGATGATGAGGCGACAAGCTGGTAGAGGCCGCGATCCTTGGCTACGGCTCTGGTCGTCGGCCCAGAGGCTCATTAGCGGCCCATACAGCGGAAGCAAGCGTTGAGGTGCTCTGGCAGAACACGCTCTGGATGCGCGAAGCGTTGGGAGCAGGGCCCGGAGAGAGCAGAGATGGCACGACGCAAGTCGAGGGCGGTATTGCGGCATCGGGGCGCCGATGGTGCAAGCTGGACGGCTGTACCTTGGGCGAGGCAGGGCGAGGCAGGGCGAGGCAGGGCATAGCAAGGCCAGCGACCCACCGCGCGGCCGGGAGATGAGGGCGCGTACATAAGAGCGCCGGGCGAGTCGGGCTGCACGCGCAATAGGAAGGTCGGAGGAGGGCGTTATACCCGCGGAGGTCGCTGGGTGCGTGTGTAATTGTGAAACGTCTGATGGCAGAGCGGGCGGAGGCCGAGCACGCGGCGCCGACTGCCCGATCTCGGTGGGCCGGGTTACCTACTAGCAGGCGATAAGGATAAGCTAGCTACTCATCTATCCACGAGCCCGCCAGCCCACACGCCCACCAACCGCTTGCCTACTGACTCACCCGCCGATCGCTCATCTCGCTGTCGTCATGTTCCCTGCCGCTACCATGCCGTCTTCTACCCGTATTCGCGACTCCGAGCGCCGCACGACGACACGTCGCCCGCCCGAGCGATTTTATATATTCTTCTCGCGCTAGCCCGCTGCCGCTCCTCGAGTGCCGTCCTGTAAGCCCGCCCAACCTCTCCCTTATCGCCAAGGCCCCGCCGGTAACATGCCGTCCTGGAAGCTCACGATGCCCCCGCTGGCCGGGCTCTTTACCGCCCTCCTGTCCTCGCAGTCGGTTCTTGCCCACCCCCAGCCGCGCTACGAGTCGACAGAGCCGCGCCTGGGTGCTGTGGCTTCCGAGTCCTCGGAATGCAGCTCCATCGGCACCGACCTGCTCAAGGCCGGCGGCACTGCTGCCGATGCTCTCGTTGGCTCCGTCCTGTGCGTCGGTGTCATCGGCATGTATCATTCAGGTAGTTTCCGCTCACGCCGAGAACGTGCGTGCCCCCCCCCTTGCTGATAGCTTCCTAGGAATCGGCGGCGGCGGCTTCATGACGGTGCGCAGCTCGAACGGCTCCTACGAGTTCATCGACTTCCGGGAGACTGCGCCGGCTGCTGCTTTTGAGGACATGTACACCAACGACACCGACCTCTCTATCTACGGCGGTCTGGCAAGGTCAGTCTACTTGGCTCCGCGCTTTTGCCAGCCGCAATGCTGATCATAGCCTAACAGTGGTGTTCCTGGCGAGCTTCGTGGTCTCGAGTACCTCCACAAGCACTACGGCAAGCTTCCGTGGAAGAATCTGGTCATGCCCGCCGTCGAGGTCGCGAGGAACGGATTCCGCGTCACCGAGGATCTTGTCAAGTACATGGATTCGGCAACCGCGGGCCAGGACGACTTCCTTGTCAACAACCCGACGTGGGCCATTGACTTTGCTCCTCATGGCTACCGTGTCAAGCTCAACGAAACCATTACGCGCAAGCGCTATGCGGATACGCTGGAGGTCATCGCCAACGAGGGTCCGGATGCTTTCTACACTGGCGCGATCGCCAGCGCCACCATTGCTGCTCTGCAGGCGGCGAACGGTACCATGACCCTGGACGATCTCAAAAACTACACTGCTAGGATTCGGGACCCAGTCTCCATCAATTACAGAGGCTACAAATTGACCTCTGGTGGTGCGCCGTCCGGTGGCGTTGTTGCTCTTAGTGCGCTGAAGATCGTCGAGGGTTACACGGATTTCGGCGACCCTGCAAACATCAACCTTACGACCCATAGGTTGGATGAGGCAATTAGATTTGCTTATGGCGAGGTGAGTGCTGCTAGTCGAGGCGCAACAAGTTTCGGTTCAGCTAACAGGCTTTCACAGAGGACGGCGCTCGGTGACCCAGACTTTGTCGATGGCATGTATGAGTACATGGATCAGATGCTGAGCAAGAACACCACTTCTTTGATCCGTAATAAGATCTCCGACTTCCACACGCAGAATTTGTCGGCCTATGACCCTGCTGGAATCGAGAGCCTGGAGACTCCCGGCACTTCTCACATCGTCACAGCTGACAAGTCTGGAATGGCCATTTCCCTAACGACGACCATCAACTTGCTCTTCGGCTCTCAGCTCATGGTTCCTGAGACGGGTGTCATTATGAATGATGAAATGAACGACTTCTCCATCCCCGGCGCGTCGAACGCCTTCGGCTACATTCCCAGCCCAGCCAACTACGTCCGTCCTGGCAAGCGGCCTCTGTCCTCCATTGCCCCCGTCATCGTCGAATATCCCAATGGCACTCTCTACATTTCTGTCGGCGCAGCTGGCGGGTCTCGCATCATCACCTCCACCATTCAGAACATCCATCACATGTTGGATGAAGGCATGACTGCACCTGAGGCACTTGCCGAGCCCAGACTTCACGACCAGCTCGTTCCGTACTATGTCAGCTTCGAGTATACTTACGACAACTCAACCGTTGAATTTATGAAGGAGCGCGGCCATAATGTCACTTGGGTCGCCCCGGGACAGAGCACTGCTCAAGCTCTAAGGCTTCTGGGCAACGGTACTTTCGAGGCTGCCGGCGAGCCTAGGCAGAAGAATTCTGGTGGTTTTGCTGTATAGAAAAATCTGGCAGGATAAAGGGCGTAGGATGAAAGTGTCAATAATTAGAAGGGGGGAGGGTAGAGGAGTTAATAATTAGAAGAGAGGAAACACTTAGGACCTCTGTTGGATTATAGACGGCAGTCGTTGGATATACCGATGATTCTTTCTCAGTCTAAGGTTTTTTTTTTTTTAAGTATGGCGACACTACATCAATATGCATTGTCAGGTCCTTGAACACATTCAGGTAACGTCCTGCGAACATGAATAACAACACGGCTGGTCCACACCACATATGTCCAGCGTGTTAACTATAGATGCAGCCAACGGCATCCACATTACAATGACATGCACCATCTAGTTCATTCCATTTTCGTCATCGTCTTGGCTTCTGCAAAGAAAAAGTGTAGCATACTTGTCGAAACCACTGACCCCGTGACTCTTATGCATGTCCGAGTCCAGTTGGCCATGGGGAGTTAGAATTTGGACGGACAAACTGCCATTAATCCCCATCAAAGGGAGCTAAATTGCGAGCAGTTAATTAACCGCCAAACTCGAACCCATGCATGCACACGCAGGGATGCGCGAAGCCGCCATGCAGGAACTCGCAATAATAAACGACACGATACGTATCGGGCGAACACGAGAGGAAGGACGGGCAGAGCGGCCGAGCAACGACCTAGACGGGGAGCTGACGCGGGGTCGCGAATCGGAATCGGCGCACCAGCCTTCGTTCGGCTCTGACGCGTGTTGTGGACAGGCTATGGCTGTACATACGTACATGGCACCCCTGCTTTGAGTGTATGTACGTATGTATGTACACGGCACGGTGCCGGTCACCTTGGTATCCTTGCTTGACTCACGGAGGGGCTCCATTCAACTGTGGGTCCTGGCTGAGGGGGGAAGAAAAAAAAAAAGAAAAGAAAATGGGGCTTCCGGGGAAAGCAGAGTGCACTTGCATGATAGAACCAGGCGCTCGGAAAATGGATGGACTTGGCATCGTGTTGATCGGAAAAGCGCGAGAGTTGACGCGCAAGCCCAGTCACATTCAGACCTGGGCGCAGATGCTTGTTCCGAAGCTGACACGTACGTAGATGGTGACTCCCGTAGGTGGTGGCAGTCAGAAGTGTACATGCGCGAGAAAGTACGGTCGGATTTAATTCCTCCTATCTTCCGCCCCGCCAATCGAGGATCATTCGTCGAGCAGTGGGTCGGCACCAATATTGATTCGCTGCTTTCAGCCAGCTCCTCCGTTTCTGCAGCGGTCGTGATAGGGCGGAGGGTGTGACTGAGCGAGACGGGGCTTACGCTCATGCACGGGGGCCGGCTGGCTGCTTGTCAACCCAGCGGTTCGGCTCGCGGCGCCAGGGATCCGCCTCCGATGAGGCTGCCAAAGGCCGCTCCAGACCTGTGTGACCATGCACCTCCGCCTTCACCTTTCCCAATGCCGTTCCGCGTATCGTCTGGGCACACCATCTTGGTCCAGAGCCTGCCGTCCGTATCTTGCCCATGCATGAGGCTGTTGATGAACAGACTCAAAAGGCGGTGGCATCAGTTGACTACATTGGCAACCCAATGCCCCACTACTTCGTCATTGGTCGCGCCGTCCGCCCCCGGCACAACGGCCGTTTGACCGTGATCACAAGGTCATGAAATGGTCAAGCCGGTAGCTTTTCGTGCTGCTTTCCGTCCCTGTACCTTGTAAGAGCTGGGCCCTTCATTCATTGATTGCGCCATGGCTGTCTCTCACTGGGCCAAGTCACGCTTCAGCAACACCCACAAAACCCAAGCGTGAGCCTTTTTTATTTTATTTTATACAAAGCTGCACGATCCGGTTGCATAAGCAGTTGAGCAGAGTTGACGTACCATGGTCCTTGACATGTTTTCAGCTCAGCTCGTCGATCTCCAGAGGAGGGAATAGCACAGTCTTGGCCAGATCAACTTTGCTAAAGCCAATGCCGTATTCGAGGTCTTTGCAAACCTCTGCAAACTGGAAGCTCCGTCTTCCTTCATCTACACCGAGCATGTCCAGCAGCTCCGCGGCTTTGCCGGGAATATATGGCTGTAACAGGATGGCTGATATTCTCAGCGATTCGGCGCAGAGGAAAATGGTTCGGTCCACGTGAGGGCGATGCTGTTCGGGGACAGCCGCAATGGAATGATTGGCTGCGGGGCGCTTGTCCTTGGGTATGCAGTCCCACGGAGCAGCGTCTTGGAGGAAGCGGTTGGTCTTGAGAAACACGGTGTCAGCAATTGGATTTCGATACCAGAAGGTCAAAGCAGACGCACCTCGTAGACGGCTTCCATGATCGTCTTCAAGCCACCGCTCACATCGAGATCCTGCAACTTGCGTTGCACGGCACCTGGAAGATTTTGCAGGACATCAAAATGCTCTCGCGCCTTTTTTTGCTTTTCCGTTCTCCCTTTGGGCGTGTTCTCTTTGCCCGAAGCCACTGCTCTCCTGACATTCCAGCCCTTCCCCTTCACGATTCTACTGGCCAGGTTACCCAGGCCGCGATGCAGCCCTTTCTTGTAGCGTTCGACAATATAGTAGTTGCTGTAGTTCGCGTCTTGGGTGATGCCTCCGTCGTGGGCGAGGTAGTAACGCATTGCGTCGGTTCCGAACCGGTCGAGAGCAAAGAAGGGATCCACGACATTTCCTACGGATTTGGACATTTTTTGGCTGTTCATGGTCCAATGGCCGGTCGTGAGGATGCGTTTGGGAAGGGGGAGTGACAAGGCCATGAGGAAGGCGGGCCAGTAGATGCAGTGGAAACTGCGACGTCATGAGCGTAATGCTTCGAGGAGGGCCAGCCGTCTATGCTCACCGCGTGATATCCTTGCCAATGACATGGCAATCGGCCGGCCAGCCACTGGATTCCATTTTGCCCGGGGGCCAAGGATAGCCAATTTTGGCCGCATAGTTGAGCAGTGCATCCAGCCACACGTACACGGTCTGAGAGTCGTCATCGGGCACAGGAATTCCCCAGGTGAGACGAGAAGTGGGGCGTGAGACGGAGAGGTCCTCCAGGCCGGAGGAAACGGCGTTGACGACGTCGTCCATGCGGAATTGCGGGATGATCCAACCGGGGTTCTCGCGGTAAAAGTCCAGAAGCCGGTCCTTAAAAGCAGAAAGGCGAAAGTGGTAGTTGATCTCGGTGCTCCACTCGACCTCTTTGCCCGTCTCCACGGAGGCCTGGTTCCGCTCAGTCAAGTGCGCAGCAAAAGTCTATGAATGCCATATACCATGATCTTCCGGCCGGTGGCAGGCTCCACGATGAGATGGACTCCCGAGTCAGGGTAGTACGTCTCGTCGCTAACGGAGTACCAGCCTTCGTGCTTGGAGCTGTATATGTATCCCCTCGATTTCAGCAAGTGCTTCGACCTGATCAGCTAAGGTGCCAAGTGGTGTTGCGGCCAGTGGTGACGTACCCATGCATACTGCACGGCATCTTTGTGGGCTTGGTCGGTCGTGCGCACGAAATGGTCATTCGATATTAGGCCCTTGGCAGCCAGGTTCTTTGGCCGTCAGCTCTGGCAGTCGGTGCAGACGGTGGCGGCAAGTACCTTGAAAACGTCTGCGCCTTTGTCGCAGAATGTGAGCGGCTCGCTGCCAGCTTTAGCCGCGGCCTGCTGGATCTACACAAAGGAGACGTGAGCATGTGCAGGCATGAGAGCGGCAGCAATGGCCCAACCTTCAAGCCGTGTTCGTCGGTGCCGGTGCTCAGCAGGGCGCTTTTCCCTTCCAGGAGTTGCCAGCGCTTGATAATGTCGGCAAGGACCATGGCGGACAGATGGCCGACATGGGGCGCTGTTTGCGCGAGACGTCAGTGCCGAGGAGCAGGCCATTGGGGTGAGCGGAGAGCAATACCGGCATTGACGTAGAAGATGGGAGTGGTGACATAGTACGGCTTTTCGCCCGCGGTGGTGAGGCGACGGGTGGTTCTAAGCCTGCATGGTGCGCATGTCCAGCTCGAGGCGGGGGCGAGGACTGGGCGCACGCCGGCGCGGTAGAGTAAGGGTGGCATTGGGCGTGGGAGAGGTCGTGTCGCGACGCGAAGAGCAACCGGAGCTGGCGTTCGGGTGACGCGGGACACACGCCTCGGCCCGCAACCTCCGCCGCCTCCGCCGCCTCCGGCTCGCCCGACCCACCCGACCTCCGTCTCAACTCTCAACACCGTCCGCCCAGCTCCACCGCCTTCGCCCGGCACAGCACGACTGCAGCATCACCTACTCCTCTCGAATGCCGACAACTTCCCACTCTTGTTCTCGCCCTGTCGATGCTTATCGGACCCCCCATTGAGTCCGATCCGCGCTAAGCCTGTTCTGGCAATGTCGTCTTATTGAGCACCCCATCCGGCCGACCTCGTGCCCGCCAGCCGGACTTCTCGCCTGGACAGAATGCCTGCTATCCCACCTCTTTGTCACTGGAGCCATTGCGTCGATGAGAATGGCTCGGCCGGTGGCCTCCAGATGGCCATTTTTGACACTGTTCACGACGGCCTTGTGTGCTATGAATTGTTCGGCATGCCACACGCAGGGAGATTTGCCCAATGCCATCGAGCCAGCGGCGCTCCATAGGCTATTCCGTTGGACGGGGTCTAGCAAAGGGCTTCTTGCCGAACAAACCGGGACACGCTTGGACTGCATCTCCCCTTTCTGCATCCTTTCAACAGCTGTGCTTATTGACGCATATACAAGCCCACGACACCCTATTGAGGCCGGAACCTCCTATTGAGGCCTATTAATGGGATGCGGCTCGCCACCGCCATGTCCACAGATGGTAGTATATAATGTCGCGTCGCCAGCCTTCCGGCCCTCTTTGCCGCTATCAACCGACCAGGTCGTTCATTCTACATCGCCACGTTTTTCTACGAAACTTCAACATGAAATCATTTGCTATCCTCTTCGCCTCGGCTATCGCCGTCTCCGCCAGTGCTGCCGTCGATTTCCCCCAAGTCAAACGCGCCGCCGAAGCTGCCGCCGTTGCTCTTGCCGCTCCTGAGGCTGAGCCATGCTCCGGCCCTGCCGACCTTTGCACCATGGCCAAGCGCGCCAACGACCTGCTCCTTGAGAAGGTCGGCGAGCTCTACTCCAACTACACCACTGAGCTCGACCACGGTAAGCGACTGTTTCCTATCCCCGTTCCTTTGTCTTCGGACAGACCTCGCTGACTTAGACACTTGCAGATATCTTCGTTGTCAAGCGTGACCCTGAGCCAGGCTTTTGTGGTCGTATCAGGGGCCAGCCTTGCCACAAGAAGCGCGAGGCCGAGGCGGGCTTCTGTGGTCGTATCAGGGGGCAGCCCTGCCACAAGAAGCGTGAAGCCGAAGCCGAAGCCGAAGCCGACCCTGGCTTCTGCGGTCGTATCAGGGGCCAGCCCTGCCACAAGAAGCGCGAGGCCATTGCAAAGGCCCAGCCCGGTTTCTGCGGCCGTATCAGGGGCCAGCCATGCCACAAGCTCAAGCGTGCCGCCGAGGCTCTCGCCGACGCCGCGGCGATGCCCGGTTTCTGCGGTAACGTCAGGGGCCAGCCTTGCCACAAGGCTCGCCGCGACGTTGAGGAGGTAACAAACTACGCCAACGAGCTGGTTGACTTCGCCGAGAGAAGCGACTAAGCGACTATCTGCTACTCCCTTGCCTTGCCGGCGACTGTACAGCCTCCTGGAAGCTAATTCATTTCGACGCACTTCAACTCTCTTCTACTTCAAGAACAGGAACGAATCATCGACTACCATCGGTACGACGCGGATTCGTTTTTACCCGATTGGAAAACTTTACTTCATTTCTCCCTTATATCTTTGAATGAGGCCCAACAGGTTATTTATGGATCTCGCCCTCACGTTTCGAGCACAGTTTGACATATCGTTTGTCCTTGCCATCATCTTGGCGATCAAACAGATCTATGTTAGATTTGGGCTTTTCAGAGGGATGAGATCCATGGGCGAGGCCGGTGCATATACATACCATATATTTGTGTAAATAGTGTGACTGGCCTAGATAGATCTCAGAAACTACATGTTGCGTATTCTACTAGTCCTTGCTACTCCCCGTAAAATATAGCCATGCATCGCAATCCATCGAGAATCCTGTTCTAGCGACTGGTGTTGTCCGATCGGTGTATGTGTTGTTTTGGGCAATCCTGGTATACGAAACCGCCGCCGAGTGCCTCACGCTTTCTCACAAGCGATTGTCGCCCTTTGCTGGTCATCTTCAAACGGCCAATCGTGAGCCCCTGAACTGGTGAATTGTCCGCTGGTCAATTGAGCCTCTTTCATCTCTCTAGCGATATTTGTCGGGTGTAGTATGATGGGCTGCCTCGTTCACACCGGAAATCAAAGGCAAAGGAACTTTTCACGCACAGACCCTCGACAGAACCTGAAGGTAATTTGATAACAACGCCAACATAATACAAAGCTAGCAATGGGAAGATCGTATCGCTACCCTGGCAAAGCTGCCTGAGCTTTCTAATTCTTGCCCGCTTTGCCGCCGATGGCCAGGTGGCGGCCGCACCACGCGTCATTGAGGAAGATGGCTCGTCTCCATGCTTGTGCACGCCCGAGCGGTCCGTGGACAGAGCCCATACATCTATATCCCATTGCACCTCTCAACCTCCCCACAATCGGCCCTTTGCCGAAGCCTGGTTTATACATGAGCAGTTAGTTGGCCAACCCCCCTAGGAACTCCAAGTGAACGACCCGAGGTTAATGATATAGTTTACTGTTGCTTCTTCTGTGCAGCAGGGCCCATTTCTTTGCTGAAAGCAAAATAGGAAACCTCGAGGCCGGCAACGGCAGTGACGCCGACGTAGAGGATGAGGAAGAGCAGGATGCTGACAGAAAGACCCATAAAAATGCCTGACAGCACGTGATCAGCAAGGGTAGTGGCAGCGGAAACGTGCGCCGTGATGCTTACCTGGGGAGAGGAACTGGTACTTCTCAAAGAGAGCCACATCGTCATCATCCACGGCGCGGTCGGCCAAAGCACGTTTCATCTCGGTGTGGAGAGGGAACGTCTCCTCCATCTCGTAGCCTTGGACCGGGTGCTGTTGCTTGGGAGCCGGGACATGGTCGACGGCGGGCGGGGTGGTGGTATAGATGAGGGTGTAGCTCTTCTCCTGGACGCTGGACATCAAGGCGTCGAGGAACGAGTCTGTTGCCCGTCAGATGTCGCGCTTCTTGACCAGCGGCGGGGATTCATACCGTTCTCGGTCAGTTCAGAAGCCCTCTCAGGAGCAGCGCTGGGGGGAGCGGTGAAGTCAAGCTTGATGACGCGCGGGGAAGCATCGCCGAGGGAGATGTAACCATCTGAATGGACGTGTCAGACCGGTGTTCGTCAACAGTGCACGGATGGACCTACTCGAGGCGTCGATGTTCATCCGGGTGGCCTTGCACTGATCCTCGAGGTATTTGATCACATGGTCGGCGCTGGTGCCGCCAACAACCTCGTTGATGGATGCGGTAGTGGTGGCGGCGTCGGCATTGTGGAACTTGGAGCGCAGCCAAGGCGCAGACCACTTGTCTTCGAAGTCGGTGGGCGAGACGCCGGGCTGGTTGACGACGACATAGGACTCGGAGGGGCAGCCGGCGAGGAGCTGCTCGACGGAGCGGGCGGCGGCGGCGGAGGAGATGATGTTCTTGTCGGCGAACTCGGGGAGGGCGCTGGGGAGGAGGTTAGCTTGCGCAGTTGGCGAGCTTGGGCGTGCGATTCAACTCACTCGGCCGAGGAGACGACAAAGAGCGGGGAGGTGCCCTGGAAGGCGGCGGCGGCGGAGATAGACAGAGCTATCGCGCCAACGGTTCGGAGAGCCATGATGGAAGTGGGCGGGGAATCTGGGGTGCTTGCTGCGGTTCCAGCTTGGGATGACCGTCCATGGATGGCGCTGGCCGCCCGGCCCGTGGTTTTTCCCGGCGCCCGGCGATAAGACGGCCACAACTACTACGTAGTAGGCCGATCGCAGCTACCTCCCCGGCCGGTGATTGAGAGTGACTCAGCGGGCCGTGCGTCATCTGTTCCGCCTCAGCTCGCGACTTTTCTGGCGCCGATAAAGACGTGAAGCCTCCAGTCCACCGCACTTCCCTTCCATCCTTCTTCACTTTGTTCCAGTGGGCTGTTTTTTTGAAGCCCACCCCGCGCCGCTCCCTTTGCGCTTTCCTCAATTCTTTTCCCGCGCCACCCTCGCCCACAAACCTGGCCCTTTGCCCTCCGGCTTCCACCCTGCACCCACGCGCGACCAGTCCTCCCTCCGCTGCGCCCGCTATGCCTGCCGAGGTTGCGCCTGCGCCTCAAGCTCTATCGTCAAACGACGCGCCCCGACGCCACCGCAACAGACGGAGGCCCCAGCGAGGAGGCAACCAGGCAAACGCCGACCAACCGGACAACAACCAGCCGCCTGAGCAATCTACCTCTCAGGCCAGAGGTGCCCGTGGCGGAAGGGCTGGCCGAGGTGGACGGGCGCAGCCTGCGAGGGATGCGGCCCTGGCTTTGAGTGCAGCCGCAGTGCCACCCTCCCAACAGCCATCTTCAGCGCATACGTCGTCGGGCCCGGGGCCAAACAATAGCAACGACTCCAATCAGTCCAGGCGCGGTCGTAGGGGCGGCCGCGGAGGCGCTGGCACACCGAGGGGAACTTCGGGGAGGCAAAATGTCAGGACGTTCCAGGGAAGACAATTCGGTGGTCAACTGACAACAGCCGAAGATGCTGTCGGTCAGACAGATTCTCCCCAGTTGCAGGGAGACGCTCCGGAATTCACCCCAGGCCAGATGACCGCTCCCAATCCTCCAAGGGGCCCTCAGCAGCCCCGCAAACGCCGCCTTTCACGATCCACTGCTCCTGATATTGCTACCCGGGTCCATGAAGACATCGACAATGGTCTCTACGAGTGTGCGATTTGCACAAACGAAGTCCAAAGAAACTCGAAGAGCTGGTCTTGCCGGACATGCTGGACGGTCTTTCATCTTGGCTGTGTCAAAAAGTGGGCTACAAACGAGGGCTCTGCTGCAGCCCGCCGGCAGGCGCAAAACGGCGACCTGCCACCCCCTCGCCAATGGAGGTGTCCGGGTTGCAACTTGCCCCAGGATGTGATTCCAAAGACGTTCACATGCTGGTGTGCAAAAGAAGCCGATCCCAAGCCCCTTCCCGGACTGCCGCCGTTTTCGTGCGGAAACACTTGCTCAAGAAATCGTGTGATTCCAAAGAAATGCCCACATCCGTGCCCTGAGTTGTGCCATGCTGGACCTTGCCCTCCCTGCGCTCAAATGGGCCCCACGCAGCTCTGCTTTTGCGGCAAGGAACAAAAGACCAGGAAATGTCTCGACACTGACTACGACAACGGCTGGAGCTGTGGGCAGGTTTGTGGAGAGCTCATGCCTTGCGGCGAGCACTTCTGCGATCGGCCGTGCCACGAGGGTCTTTGCGGCGCCTGCGAGGTCCGCGTGGAGGCTCGATGTTACTGTGGCCAGGTTGAGAAGATGATCTTGTGCTGTGACAAGAACGACGAAAGAGACAGCAAGCGTACACATCAGAGCGAGATAGGAGAAGACGTTGTTGAGTCATGGACCGGGCTTTTCGAATGCAGCAACATCTGCTACCGTCACTTCGATTGTGGCAAGCACCAATGTGCACGGACTTGCCATCCACAGGGCGCAAAGCCGACTCACTGCCCACGCTCCCCAGACCTTGTCACGCACTGTGGCTGTGGAAAGACCCCTCTCGGAGACATCACCACAAAGACACGGACCGACTGCGAAGACCGCATACCCAGCTGCGACAAGCCTTGCCTTAAGCCACTCGCATGCCGTCACCCCTGTCAGCAGATCTGCCATTCTGGCGACTGCTTGCCGTGCGCCATGACAGTCCCCATCTCATGTCGCTGCGGAAGGATCTCGCTCAAGACAGTTTGCCACCAGGGAGTTGAGGAGAAGCCTCAGTGTACAAGGACATGTCGCGTCACCCTTAACTGTGGACGCCACGAATGCGGCGAGCGATGTTGCCCCGGAGAATCGAAGGCCGCGCAACGCGCTGCAAACCGCAGAAAACCTCGACCGCTTGATGCAGCCCCTCAAATCCGAGAGGATAACTTTGAGGCCGAACACATCTGCACGCGTCCTTGCGGCCGCCTCTTGAAGTGCGGCAACCATCACTGTCAAGAGTTGTGTCATAAAGGACCCTGTGGCAGTTGCCGTGAAGCCATCTTCGACGAGATCGGTTGCAATTGTGGCAGAACCGTTCTACAGCCTCCATTGCCGTGCGGGACTAAGCCACCACCGTGCCGATTCCAATGCGAGCGCCCGAAGGCCTGCGGGCACCCACAGGTCGCTCACAATTGCCATCAAGACGACGAAGACTGCCCGAAATGCCCCTTTCTCGTCATCAAGCCATGCTTGTGCGGGAAGAACCAGCTCAAGAACCAACCCTGTTGGCTAGCGGAGCCGCGGTGTGGAGAGATCTGCGGCAAAAAGCTGAAGTGTGGTGCCCACCGCTGCCGCAAGACCTGCCACAAGCCTGGGGACTGTGAGGACACCGGAACGGCGTGCAAGCAGGCTTGTGGCAAGGAAAAGCTCTGCTGTGGCCATCCTTGCTCGAACCAGTGCCATTCGCCTTATGCTTGTGACGAGAGCAAACCCTGTCAGTACAAGATCCTGATCACTTGCCCATGCCAGCACAACAAGCAAGAAGCGAAGTGCTTGGCCACCAAGGACGGTGAAGGAAGTCTGAAGAAGACGCTGAAGTGCGACGACGAATGCGCGAGGCTTGAGCGCAATCGCAAGCTCGCCTTGGCTCTTAATGTGGACTCTGAAGCTCATAAGGATGACCACATCCCTTACTCTGCAGAGACGCTGTCCCTATATCAGCAGAATGTCCAATGGGCTCAGACACAGGAGAGAGAGTTCCGTGTCTTCGCCACCAGCACCGAAGAGAAGAGGCTCCGGTTCAAGCCTATGTCTTCTCAGCAGCGCGCATTTGTCCATGCTTTGGCTGAGGACTTTGGCTTAGATTCAGAGAGCATGGACCCTGAGCCGCACCGCCATGTAGTGGTTTATAAGACCCCCAGGTTCGTCTCAGCGCCGACAAAGACTGTAGGCGAGTGCGTCCGCATCCGCTACAACCAGCGTGTAGCTACCACCGTCACGGCTCCGGCCACTGCCACCGATGCAGCAAAAAGGCTCAAGGCCAGCAATGTCGTTGGAGATCCTTACAACGGCTTCCTACTTTCAACCCCTCGATTTGCTCTTACCATCGAGGAGCTACGCACCGCCATTCGCCCCGTCATTGACTCCGCACCGATGGTCCAGCTCGACATCTCTTTCCTCCCCAGCGACGAGGTTGTCCTGAAAGCCAACGCCACCCTCTCAGAGCGCGATCTCGAGGCTGTTCTCAAGAACATCAAGGCAGGCCTCGCCCGTGAGGTCCGCTCACACTCTCTCGGTAGCATTCAACTCTGTCGAGTCGACGCAAGTTTGAACATCCTTCGCCGCGAGACGGACAGCGCTGCCAATGGAGGGTGGAGTCAGGTTGCAGCAAAAGCGGCAGCTCCGGCAAGGATGCGTCCGCAGCAGTCTGCAAGGGTCGGCTCGAACAGCTTCACGGTGTTGAGCCTGAGCAATAAGAGCAAGGAGAGCAGAGATAAGGAAAAGAGTAAGAAGAAAGCGGTCGAAGAGGCGGTTGATGATTGGGAGGCGGCCGAGACCATGGAGGAAGAGAAGGAGAAGCTGGAGAGCGGAGACGCAAGCAAGGTGGCGAGCGGTGCGGTTACGGAGGACGAGGCGGAAACAACCAAGACCGAGGCAGACAATGGGGCGGGGGTTGGGGTTTCGGATGCTGGTGAGCAGGCTGCAGGTCTTGAGGGGGAAAATGAGGCGAAAAACTATGGGGACGTCCCCGTTTAATCATGGCTTGCGAGGAGCTGGGTTCGAGAGCTGGTATCCACGGCAGGGGTTTCCTCACTAAAATATCCATAGTGTGAGAAAAGGACCCTAGTACTCGGCTTTCTTTAATATCTCAGCCCAAAGTCCGGCTACGCTAATAGATGGACCGATCGTGGATTTGGGAGGGCAAAAAAACAACGATTCACGGCTTAGAAAAGTTAGTAGGGCACCTTTGCAAACTTGCTTACTTAGACTACAAGAACATCATCACTATTTTGACGTCCTTTTGGGATATCCACCCCATCTCTGCTTTTTGCTCCCACAATGGGCGCAGAAAGAAAGTAATCTCACCTACAATCGTAGCAAATACGTGGTAGGATCCTATATCTGGATGCATTTGTATAGCACCTACGCCCATACATCCACTTCATTTATGAAGAGAGGCTGCTTAAACCCACACCTACGTCGGGATATCTGCCTCGGTTGCCTACACAAAAGGTTGCCGCAAGTCAGTTCCTTTCTGTACCCACTGTGCGCCCGATGCCCATAGTAAAATCTGGAGGACTCATCCGCATCTCACAACCAAAGGACTCACCTATCGACGCCTGAGTACCTATGCGTCACTACGGATGCTTTAGCACCGCCCCATCACTCTTAGGCACCTCATATGACCGTTGGAGGCACTCCTTCATTGCATGATGCAGCCATATCTTTCACCTGATCTATTTATTTTTTTCGCATTTGGTACATTTCCTACCCTACTCGAAAGAGCAAGAGAAAAAAAATAGAGAGAAAGAAGCCCACCGCTCCCGTTGTGCATTGGCTTCGGATGTTCGGTTGCCAAAAGATCTCATGCACGCATGCAAGCAAGCAGAAACTCAATGATGACAGTCAAATCAAGCCTTCCGGCCCTCCTCGGGGGGACGTCTACGCCAAAGCGGACTCCACTGCTGTCCGGCAGAAGAAAACGTGGGAGAAGTTGGGACATGAGACAAAAAGTGCAACCAACCATCGCGACCACCCAAAAAAAAAAAAAAGACACAGCTCTCTTTATGCTTTTATTTTCTGTCGGTCTGTGCTGGTGAAAGCGAGGATCGACATGACAAACGAGTGATGAAAACAAGAAAAGCCAAAAGCCGCTTTCAAAGAACGCCGTCGTCCATGGGAGTGTGTGCTGCAGTGGTTCGATGGTATCAAAGGCGCATGACTTATTTGAAGACTCGGGCATGTTTGCGAGTCAACGCTGTGCTCGACTGTAGGGTAGGGAAACGGAATACGCCGGGGAGAAGCTCGAGTGACAAAGGGTCGCAAAGGTTTCCGTGGCCGAAGTCTGAAGGAACAGAGACCGTATGCTAGCGGAGGGCCTGCGAGCTGTTAGAATTCTCAGAGGTTCGTAGTCCAGGGATTGTTGTCGACACTCACCAAGCTATTCAGCGTCAGCTGTTGTTGCTTGCCGAAGACGCCCATGAGCTCCGGAACGGCGCCATCCTTCGCGCCCGCTGCACCATGAGCAGCGTTTCCTGGAAGCGATGCTCCGGCACCCTCGGCGACTTGATCCAAGCGGAAGAACTCCTTTGCCATGTCCCTATCGCCATTCTCCATAAGATAGATCATGAAGTCGTACGTGAGCTGCCTAATCTCCTCTTGTGACAACTTGCTCTTCTGGGCAATCATGCCGTGGACCTGTCTGATTGCTTCGGTCTGCTCCTTCTGCGTCGCATCGGTGGTTGGCTGGCCCATCTCAAACTTGAGATAGTCTTCCCAGAACTCACGGACACCAGGGTAAGCCTGGGCATGGCTTTGGAAGAGCTGGCGCGCCCCTGCCACGTCACCCTTGGACTTCCACAGCAGCCCAGCCCACTTCGCGACAAGTGCGCCCTTGGCACTGTTGCTGGCCTCGGGTGATTCGACCTGCTCCCGGTAGACCTTGATGGCAGCATCGACACCGTCTTGCCTCTTGGCAAGGTTGGCCCAAGACACGACGGTCTCGACATGACCCGGAAGAGTAAACAGGATTGCCTCATGGATGGCGTGCGCAATGTCAACGCGTCCGGTCATTTCCTCAAACAAGGCGTAGTGGAGCCTCACGGTCGGACGAGCAATAGGAACGTACAGACAACTGGCACGCATGTAGATGTTGCGCGACTCCTCCTCGTGGCCTTCCTGTTTGTTCATCCAACGAGCATAGCGAAGCCAAAACTTGTCCTCATATGCACATGTGACAAGGCACCTTTCGTACAAGAACTGGGTCCGCTCAAAGCCACCCTCGGCCTCTTCAAAGTCCAAGTACTTGTCCCAGTTGACCAATTGAGACTCATCCAGTTCGGTGACATGGAAGTACGGGCGCTTGATCTCCTGCTCATAGGTCCAGCGCTTGGTCGTTTCCGTCTGGGTCTTGTGGAAGATTTCCAGGTGGTAGGCGTCGATGCGGGCGCGCAGGTCACGTTCAATTTCGATCTCGGTCTTGGCAGTCGAGGCCGGATCCATCATGATCTCACTGCGGAACTGGGCGGCCATGTCGGCAGGGACGAGTTCAGTGATGGGGCGGGTCTGAGCAAGCTGGCGGAAGCGCTCAAAGTACCGGGCATACTGGTGCATGGGGATGGCAATGATGCGCTGGAGAATGGCGAAGATCTTGTCGACGGACTCCAAGCGTTCCTCAAACTCCAGATACTTGTCCCAGAAGGGGTGAGCCAGAAAGTCCAGGCCGACGCAGGCGGCGCCGCGCTCGAAGAGCCTGGAAAGGGCGGTTAGCTTGCTCCGCGCCGAAGATACGTAGGGGGAGGCGGAATGGGTAGGGCAGCAAACAAGTTCAAGTGGATTTTCGAGAGCATGGTTAGGGTGATCCAAATTCATGCGAGATCGGTGGAGGGAATGCTTCTGCTCAGCTGCCACTCGCGGCAGTTCCAAAGACAAGACAAAGAAAGCGTCTGAAGACACAGCGTGAGAGGTCGCAACACAGTCGTCGAGGTTGGCATTAAGGTCTCACCAAGCTCCAAGCTACGCCCAGGCCGAGGAGGAATGGGAGGATGACCGGAGGTCGGCAGTCGGCACACGGCCGGCGAGACGGCCGCGGGAGCTGAATGTTGAGTATGGGGAAGGAAACGCCAGCCGCTGATACTTACTCTCGAATCACGTCGGAATCGTGATTGGTCTCGACCTTGAAGCCGCAGTAGTTGGCCCACAAGTCGACGGAGCTGGCAATGCTGGCGACGCCGCGTTCGTAGACCATCTCCGCAGCCTCGGTGCCGGCGATCGAGAACTCCAGGTCGGCATACTTCTTCCAGTATCCAAAGAACAGCGGGAAGCGCGCGAGGAAGCGGTCGTAGATGGCGCGGGTTGCGGCGATGGAGCTGGGGCTCGAGTTGCGGTTCAGGCCTCCCTCGAGGCTCTCGGCGGTGCGGACGAGCTTCTCCCACGTCTCGAAGTCATCGCAGTTGTCGAACTGCGGGGAAGGGGGCTGGAGTCAGCTCACCGACACCTTCCAGCGTGAGGCGGGGGCGAGGGACTTACAGCTTCGAGGTTCAACTTCTTGAGCTCGGCGTACTCGTCGCCGTCAAGGAAGGTCAGGTCCGCCATGGCGTCCGGGGGGTAACGCAGGGCGTCGGTTGCGGCGCACGGAAGAAGGGTGCAAGGGCGTGGCGGGCGAAGGCGTGGATGCTTGGGGGGGTGAGCGGGAGCGAGGGTGCGAGGGTGATGTCGGGGCGTTGGACGTTGGACGGGGCGGCTCGACTACGGCGGCAAAGCTCGAGGTTGCAGCAGAGCCGCACGGACTCGCGGGGCCCAGGCCGCCGCAAGCTCGTCCGCCGCCACGCACCCTTTGTAGTGCACCGGGAAACGAAAAAAAAAAGGTATCCATTGAAGCCTACGTGGACATCGACACCGTCCCGAGAATGATATATGTAGCTATCCGCCAGCGCGCTCCAAGTGCCCGCCTCCAACCCGTCCCACTTCCCTCGTCCCTCTGCGTCACGAGGCCTTCTGGTCTTTCGCATACTTCAACGTATCGCTCGTTGCGAACGAGAACGGGCTCTTGGACATGTCCGGGCTGCGCGGGCTGATGGGCAGCGCGAACAAGTCGTCTTCATGCTCGTCGTCCTCGGCCGCCGGCGCTGCTGCCACCGGCGCGAACCCTCCGGCAAACGCGTTCAGCGAGCCCATGCCCGCCGCCTGCTGCGCAAGGATCTCGGGCGGCGGCACCGCTGCTGCCACCCTCCGCGGCGGGGGCTGCGCCTCCTGCGCCTCCTGCGCCGGTCTTGCCGCCAGCACGGCCGGATTCTCCTTGAAGGCGGCGAACGACGACACGGCCACGTCCGACGACTCGGGCGACAGCGGGCCAGCGGGCACCGGGCCCTCGTTCCTGGCGCTGCCGCCCTCGCGCGCGGCCAGGTCCTTCTCGCTCGTGCCGAGCTTCAGGCCCTTGAGCTTGTCCATCAGGCGGCCGCCGCCGGGGGAGCGCGGGCTGGTCGGGCTGGCCGGGTGGTCGTTCTTGGACAGGCTGATGCTGGGCCGCGAGGCGACGCCAAAGTTCTGCTCGATCCACTCCTTCTCCTGCATGGCCATGACGAAGGCGATGCCCTCGACGTTGGTGCGCGCCTCGGCGTCAATCTCCTTCTGCAGCGCCTGCAGGCGGCGCTTCGCCCAGATCGTGTGCAGCACGCCCTTCTTGCCGGCCTGCCGCGCGGTGGCGCCCAGCTCCGGGGGGAAGATGGCGGGCAGCGAGTTGGTGCGCCAGGTGACGGCGGGCTTGGAGGCGTCGGCGGGGCGGTGGGTGAGGGTGACGGCGGGCGGGACGGGCACGCCGGGCGGCAGCAGGAAGTACAGGCGGTTGATGTCGCTGCTCGTCTGGTCGTCGGCGGGCAGCACGGTGCTCTTGCCCTCCCACGAGATGTGCCAATCGCCGCGGTGGCGGCGCGTCGTGTCGTCGTCCTCCCACTCGACCATGACGATCTTGGTGCCCTCCTGGCCGTGGCCGGCCTCGAACTCGAAGCGCACCAGCGCATTCGAGTTGGACAGGCTCGGCGACTCGACCTCGTCCTTGAAGCTGCCGTCGGCGGCCGACGTGTCGACGGGGTCGAAGGGCGGCGGGGTGGGCGACGCTTGCGCCATTGCGAAGCCGGAGACGCGGCGCGGGCGGAGCGGTGCGGATGGGTGCTCGGTCTGGGCCGGGGCGTGGACGGCGAGGCAGTGGCTGGTGGTGTTCCCAATCCCAAGGGGCGCGGCAGAGAAGGGCGACTCGGACGGAGGGTGAGACCGCGGGCTCTGCGGTTTACTAACTAGGCGCGAGCAAGCCGTGCCATCTCTCTCGCCGAAGCAACAGTGCCCGTCTGATTTCTTGGTGGATTTCTATTTTTGGCAGTGCTCCGTCTTATGCCTGGCCCGTGCCGCTCATGCGTAGTCAGCCGGCCGAGCTCCAGCGACGCTGGAACGCAGTCGAGATTGGGCAAATTTTATATCGCCGTCGCCGCCACGCCTCCAATCTCACGCTCGACGCGCGCCACCACGGCCACGCCCTGCGCGACCCTCCGCCGCCCGCACGCCGGCCCGACGCCTCGCACCACCCGGCCGGCCGAAGACACGCCCCTAACTCCCGTTTCCGTCACGTCTCGTCACGTCTCGCGCCCCGGCCCCGCGTCCTAATAGCGATCAGCGGAGCCCCTTCATTCGGAGAAGACCTCACTTGAAGCGTGAATTGCTATATGCTCTCTCTATGCTACACGCCCTGCAATCGCCGCTCCAACCCCCAATCTCCCGCCCCCTATCACCACCACCCCGAGAAATTGACGCCTGAACCCCCCCAGATGCCTAGCGCACGAAGCTAGGCGCAGGCAATGCTCTGAACATGCGTGCGAACTCATCAAGTCATCCGGCAATGCTCTGTTCTCCTGAACGCCGTAAGCCAGACGATGCATGCTAACTGTCTAAATGATGCGAGGGAAAAAAAAATTAAAAGGTGGGTATAAAACAACGCTGCTGGTAATATGTGCAGAAGAAGCCAAAGGGCGCGCGCGTGTGTGTGTTGTGTGTATATATATGTCGTTGAATCCTGCACTGTCCGGGTGCGGGTATCGTTGGGTATATCGGCCGTCTCGTCATGTGTATGTACTTCCGTCGTGGCGTTCCCTTTCCGAGGGGGGGCAGCATTCCGACCAGGATGCACCAGCGGGAAGGCTTCTAGATCAACAAGAAGTCCCAGCCCTTCTGGTGCATCACGTCCCGCCAGTGGACGCTCTGCTTGTCCCCCCTCATGAGGTTGTCGTCATTGATGGCCCAGACATCCTTCAGGAGCTCCCTAATGCGGCCAAAAGAGCCGACCTCGGCCGTTTCTCCCATAAGAGCGGCACGCTCTGCGAACATGGACCGGAACGCCGATCCCTCGAGCGAGTAAGACCCCGCAACGAGGAGCGGCCAGACCAGGGAGCGGTCGAAGCCCTCGGGTCCCGCGGGAATGAAGCTCATCGCCTCGGTCAGCTGCTCCACCAGGCCGACGCTCGTAGGGGACTGCCGGTCAAAGGCGGGCACCAGGCTGCACAGGTAGATCCGGGCCGCAATGCGGAAGACGGTCGTCATGTTGGACTTCAGCTGCTTCGGGCGAATGGCCCCCGTCGACGAGTAGCAGTTGTCCAGGGGACCCGACGACTGCTCAGTCAGGTTGATCTGGTCGCCGAGCAGTTTGATGTGCGCGCACAGCGTGACATCATCCATGTTCTCCATCTTCACCGCTTCGAGGCATGCAATCTCGGATATCAAATACATAATCTGATCGTCGCAGCCCATGAGCTCCGCGAGTCCGGTCGGCGAGCTAGCCAGCATTTTTTCGCGGTAGCAGTGCGCGAAGAGCGGAGACCTGCCAAGCATGGTCGCGCCCAGGATGTCAATCCAGGAGGCAAGAGTCATGTTGAAGGGAGGCTGCGCGTGGGGGTTGCCGTTAAGGGCAAGCAGGTGCTGAGGAAGCTCGAGCTTCTCGATCAGACTCTGTGCGGCCTGGAAGTGCGAGTGCCACGGAATGTCGGGAAGCGTGTCGTCGGGACGGCCCACGGCGCACTGGAAGAAAATCATGGCGAGTGCCGCCTCGAGGATTTGCATGTGGTCGGTGTCCCTGCCGAGGGCCTCGCACAACTCCGAAATGGTCTGGTACCGGTGACGCACAATGTCATTGTCAATCTGCTCGCCTTCGAGGTGGTCGGAGTTCTTCAAGTGCTGCGCAGCGATGCTGAGGCAGCAGTGCAGGTAGCACTTGTTGGACTCGAGCGCCGGAAGGACGACATCTGAGCGCGCAGAGCCGTGCTGGTTGACCTCCAAGATGGGGAAGATGAGGCGGAGCACATTGTCAATGAAATGGTTGAGCAGGTGCTGGTCGCCCTCCTCGACCTGGATGGTGGCTTGGTGCGAGGGAGTGAAGGGCCCGTGCGGGAAGTCGAAAAAATTGAAGTCGAGAGGCTCCTCGGTGAATTCCTCCTTTTGCTCGAAGAAATCCTGCTGGATCCAGTTTTCCGGGCAGGCCGGCAGGCCATTGAATGCGGGCGGCTGGAAGGTGCTGAAGGTGGAGATGGTGGAGTCTCTCCTCGTTGGGATGTCATTCACGAACATCTGGCGCTCGGTCTTGATGTCCACCTCGTACGGGGGAAAGTGCTGAAATTGAGCGTACGAGTCGTACATGGGCTGCGGCATCCCGACAGAGTAAATGTGGGGCGGCGAGACATGGTTGAAGTCACCGGAAAATTGCGAGTCGATGGATGCTGCGCGGGTCTTGGAGTGGCCGTCGGAGTAGGCGTCAGAGGTGGGGAGAGAGTGGCAGAGGCTCGGAGGGGTGTTGGGGTTCAGCGAGATGGCTTGCGACGACTTCTCGTTGAGCTTGGTGCGCTTGATGATGTTCTTGATCTTTTCCTTGTGGGCGCGGCGGTGCTCGTTGTTGCTCCACCACATGGGCCTCTTGTACTCGCACTGGAGGCCGAGGTGCCTGCAGGCCTTGCAACCCGGCTTTCCCTCATCGCACTTCTTCCTCCGCAGCCGGCACGTGAAACAGCCTGGAAAGACGGTCAGCGCCAGGCGTGGCGACGCGACTTTGCGAACGACTTACCGGAGCGTGATCTCCTGTGCATCTTTGTCGAAGACTGCTTCGCACTCGCAGCAATGTTGGTGCCCACCATATTGGTAGAGGACTTTTGGACGGATGCCGACGTGGCGGACGACATGGAGAAGTACTGGGACGGTGTTTATAAGAAGCCGATAAAACAATGCAACGCGCAATATGCAGCTAATGCACGGCGGGAGGGATCCGTGGAGGGACTGTAAGGATCAAGCGGAACACTATTAGATTAATGATTGAAAACCAAAGTCTGACCTGCGGACTTTGGACTGGAGGTAAGAAACAAAAAGAGGGCAAATTATTCAGACCGGTGCTGCTGCCTTTCCCAGGACGGTGAGGGGGAGTACCTTATATGTTTCTTCTTAGGCGGAAAAGACAGCTAATAGCTCCACATCTATTCTTAGAGGCCTGCAGCGGGCTTGCTCCGGAGGCTGGCAAAGCAAGCCCGAGTGCCACGGTGGAGGGGTGCAGGCATCAGTGATTGGTGGTAAGCGGTCGATTGGTTAGGGTTACTCCGCCCGGGCCACATGCACCAAGGCACGCTATTTTTGAGAGCCGCCGCGGCGAGCCGGCGAGCGGCCCAAGCTCCAAAGAGGGGTACACGCTCGGCGGGCGGACAGCTATCGACGGGCTATCTTCCCTGGGCAGATCCGCCACGGCAGGGTGCGGAGGAGAAACGAGATAGGGTTTAGCCCGGCAGGCCCTCGATCCAGGGCTCCCTCTTGGAGCCTGTGTGGGAAAACCGTGTCGTGATAGTGATCTTACTTTCTTGGCTTCGCCTGAGTGGCTGCCGTCAGCAGGATGCATCAGGGGAATACTTGCAGCGTGCGCTGAGGGCTTTGCGGGCCGCCCGTTACTCGAGATGATCAATGGCGATCACATCGCATGAATATTGCCAATCCGGCTGCCGATGACGCCGCTGCTGTCACTGCGTGCTGTACCACGGCGCGCGACTGTCAGCGGCCGAAGGAGGAAGGCCATCTGGTCGGTGAGACGCTGGGGTGGCCTGAGACGTGTGACCGAGTCGCCGTGCGGCGCCCTCGAGCCAGAGCGACCGAGTTCGCGCGGACACAGCAGCCGGGCCGTCCAAGACAGCGGAGCGAGTCTGGAGCGATTGAGGAAGGAGGTTGGGCTTGGAAGGCGTACAAGAGCAGATTGGTGCAACCGTGCAACGACATCGGCCGTGGGGTTGGATCCGGCAAGGCCTGGCGACGTTTCCCAGCCATGACAGGCGTCGCCGGCCGGAAGTCCGTGGGAATCCCGGCAATCGTTGGCTGCAGCTCGATGTGATGGTGGTGCGTGGTGCATGACAAGCTCTCGCTCCGCTAGTTTAGGCTGGGGACCGTGCGGCTCGGGCGCAGCCGTCTCTGCCAATCGCGCAGCCCAGCGGGTGTGGGGTGCAAGGACAGAGATTGAGCTGGCAGGGGCCAGGGCCCACCCACGCTGCCGACGAAAATAAAGGCAGCTAAATGCCTCAATCCGACGCGCGATTGCGGGCTAATTAGCCGCCAGCGCCCGCCAGCGCCCGCCATAATTAGCCCGCGCCGTCCACGCGGCCTGATTGGCCGCCGACAAGATTTCCTAATATGCCCGGCTGACCGCACTCGGCGAATGCGAGCGTCGAGAGAGGCCCCCACCTGACTCGAGCCTCCCGTGACGCCGGTAAATTGGAGACGGCCGTCGACTCATTGCCTGAGCGGTGCGGCCGGCGCTCTTGTCGCGGCAGCGGTGGCTATCTGGCCAAAATCCTGCCGGCCCCAGCCTCATTGTTGAGAGCGTCGCGGGGCGATTCTCGGAGGCGGCACTGCGAAGAGGTGGAGCGATGGCGAATCGACGACGCAAATGGCGGGGTGCGCTGGCACCGGGCATGGGATCCCTCGCCAGCCCAATCTCCGGGCGAACGCTGCTTCTGCTCCCAGCGCAGAGCTGCGTGGCTGCACGATCAAAGCATGCGCACGGAAGCGGACGGCGAGGCGACGATACACAGCAGAGATTCATCAAGGTGGAGCACCCAGAGCGTCGTACCCGTCCTGGCAGGAGCGGAGCCAGTGGCAATCCTCGCGACGGACGCCCCGCCGGACAGATTTTTCCTGTCTTGGTCGCACCGCGTGGATAGAAGTGGACTGGGCCGCATAGCGCGTGCAGTCATGTGAGAAGATGGAGGAGGCGTTCGCAGACTGGTTGGCCGCTCGCCTGGTCACCGCCGTCGGCTTCGGTGCTTGGGCGGTGCAACGTGAAGGAGCGGTCTGGGCCCGGCAGTCTGGCGCAGCGTGGTGGGCGGCGACGTCGTCACAGGCGGGCGTCGCACGCAGGATGCGGTCGCGGTGGAAATTGGAGTTTAGTTTATTATACAATATTGGTGCGGGAAGCAGCAGCAGCGGCAGCAGCAGCAGCAGCAGCAGCAGCAGCCGCAGCCGCAGCGGGCCTGCACCGACACGCATCCGCGCAGCGTGCATCCGAGGCCTGAGGACGGGACGGGTCGAGACGGCCGAGTCGAGTCGAGTAGGTCGACTCGGCTCGGGGAAGCTGCTTCCGCCATGACGCAGGCACGCTCTGGCGCGCAGCTCGCTTCTCCAGCCATTGCTGCCCTACCTACGCGTCGTCGCCCCTTTTGCGGTCTGGTTTTTGCTGCCGCAAGTCCGCAACACCAGGCCGGTGCGGCTCCGGCGGCGCGCGGTCAGACCGGCTGGTGGCCAGCGGCGAGCGGGCCGCCGCCCAAGATCCCAAGTGTGCAAGTCACGCAAGCGGGCACAGCTCGCGGCCGTTGATCTCCTCGCGCCGCGCCCGTCGCGCAGTCCCTTGGCCCCGCCAGCCCGCCGCCCGCCCCTAGGCCGCGCCGGGCGGGCACGAGTCGCACACGGGTTCCAATGTATGGATCGCGCGTCGCATGCGCATGTACATGTGGTGACACACGAGCAGCTGGCAGGAAACGGGAAGGCCATGGCAGCCACGCTGCACGCCTCGCACGCTCCTCGTCGTTCCCGCGCCTGTCGTGCCGAAGCGAGACGGGCCTTTGCGAGGATCCCTGGCGTGACTCCGGTGTTGATACGCCGCAAAATGGCCCGTTTCGGGGCGTGAGGCGCGCCAGCTTTGCAGGGCCGGGCGAATGAGGGCGCGCAGCGGGGATCTTGCTTGTGCTGCCCTATTTAAGCGCCGGCGGGAGAGCCCAGTCAGCACGCGGCGCTGGTGCGGATTGGCCGGGCAGGAGACTTTCCGTGCTGGCCCGCGCGATGTGCTCTGCTGCGACCACACCGCATCTGCTGCGCGCCCGCAATTGGAGAGCCCGCCGTCTCATCCAGAGCACGCCCGAAACCGTTTGACATACTAAAAGCCCGCGAGGGCTCCCACCGCCCGCAGGACCCGTATACGTGTTTCCGTCTTGCCAGCGCCTTTGCCGTGACCCATGTAGATCTGCGCTCCAAGAAAAGTCCTGCTCTCGACTAACCCACCGGTCCACGCAGCCGCTCCCAGCTTCCTCCCAGCGCGTCATAATGGTACGTCCCCCGGGCCCACGCTCCGCTGCTCTTGCTCTTGCTAACCGATGCAGGCGGCACAAACCCCCATGACGCCGCTGCCCCCGGGTGTCGAGATGTTCCAGCGCGGCAAGATGCAGCCCTTCTTCCAAGCCCGCTCCGACAAGCCGCGGCCCGTCTCCGAGGCTACCGAGATCTTCGACACCGACTTCGAGGACGAGTCGAGCGAGTTCGAGGAGGATGCCCAGTCGCCCAAGTTCAGCTTCGAGTCCGTAAGTCTTCCCCGCCGCCCCGCGCATCGCGCCTGCCTCTGACCCGTCCTGGCACAGAGCGATAGCAGAAAGAGCCAGACGACGATATCGACCTACGATGAGGTGCCCACGCCGCATTCGAGCCGGCATTTCCAGTTCGACCTGCAGCAGCAGATGCAGGAGCTGAAGCCCGTTGATGGTCCCCGAGGGCCCCATCTCTTCCGCTCCTCCCTGTCGTCGGCCGAATTCAACTACGAGTACGCGCTGCAGATGTCGCCACTACTGCCAAAACACATGCCGCCCAGGGCCGAGACCGCCTTCCGCGCCGAGACCGCCTTCCGCGCCGAGACCGCCTTCCGCGACGAGCCCACCCCGGTGCCCTTCCAGCACGCTTACGGCTCGCATGACTACTACTCTGACCACGACGATGACGACGACGACCATGACCACGACCACGACGACGATGCCGCCGACGTGCGTTTCTGGTCCGCGCAGCAGGTCGCGGCGTGGATGGCGAGCATGGGTTTCGAGGAGGCCATCCTCGACAAGTTCGAGAAGCACGACATCACCGGCGCTGTGCTTCTCGACATGCAGTTCGAAGATCTGAAGGAGCTGGAAATATCCTCATTCGGCAAGAGGCACCAGTTGTGGAACCACATCGACGCCCTCAGGGGCAACGACGGCCGCGCCAGCCCCGCCCCCACACCCTTCCAAGACATCAGCCGCCCCCCTACCGGCCTCCACGCCTCGCGCAGCACCCGTGAGGCCTCGCGTACTCGCACCAAGTCGCGCACCCGCGAGCGCTCAAAGTCGCGCCACCAGCGCGGCGACTGCGATGATGGCAATGACGGCGCCACGTCGCCAGGCGGCCACCGCAAGAGGCGAGGCCGCAGGCACCGCCATGGTGACGATATCATCACTCCTGCCGAATCCGTGTCCATCGTAGCCATCGAGCAACTTCTGCCAAAGCCTCATCGCTGTGCAAAGGGCGAGCGCTGCCACAAGTGGCGCAAACAGCAACGCCTGTACCAGCGCCTACAGCACGAGCACGGCTTTCCCATCTCGCCGGAAAAGGGCGGCCATATCTTCATGGCGGGAGACCCAGGAAATGCTAGCGCTGCGAACAAGGTCGTCGACAACGTGTACCGCCCGACTTCTGATGCGCTACCTTCTGTCGTCGCCTCGTCGGATCTTCTCGGCCCTGGACAGATGCCTGAGTTCGTCCAGCCCACGGAAGAGTCCCTGCGCAACCTGGAGCTGCGTGATCCACAGGAGAATGTCAAGCAGTTCCTGAATCTACAACACGTGGAGCCGCCGCAATCGCAGCAGTCTCCGTATGACGAACAGCGTTCTACCACTCCGCCCCTAGAAATGTTCCCCCCGCTTCAGCCGCCCCAAGACACGCAGCCCGCGCACAACAACTTGAGGAGTCTCCCGAAGCTGCGCATCCCGCGCTCCAATTCCGCACAACCTTACTACGCGCCCCAGCAGGTGCACCCGCCAGAGTACACTACCACCATGTCGCCCTGCCGGGCGTCGAATGCTTCGCCCGGCCTCTACCGCTTCGGCACTCCCGCATCTGAGATGGACGTCCCGCTTACACACGTGAGTTTGGGCCCTGTATCGCGCGACGCGAGCCAGTCCGTACCCCCGAGCATGCAGTATCGCGATCCCATCCAGCGCACCAGCAACCTGTCGCGTGCCGCTGATTGGCAGCGACCGTCGTTTGCGCTGCCGCCGGTGCATGAAGGCGAAGTGTTGAGCCCTTCGTCGGATCCGGAGTACTCAGCGACAACCTTGCAAGGCAGCGCCGATGCGCCTCGCGCGTTGCATGATCGTCAGCGGGCGAAGCACACTGCGGCATCCTCCTCTGCATCGGACGACTTGAAGCAACACTTGCTGGCGCGTTATGAGGCGCAGCACGCTCATGCGCACCCGCAGTATGCGGGCGTCAACCACCACGGTTGGATGAAGAAGCGCCGGACTCGCCTTTTGCGGCACGAGTGGCAAGATCAACACTTCCGCCTGACCGGCACGCAACTCGCCATGCACGCCTCCGAGGTGCCTGAGGCCATGGCCCTTGACACCATTGACGTGCACCAGTATGCCGTTGCATGCAGCTCGATTGCGTCCAACAAGCTCGCAGCCAAGCTCAGAGGTCTCAAACTTGCCAGCAAGAAAGAAGGCGAAGGCAGCGGCCCGCAAGATTCTGCCTTCACTTTCCAGCTTGTCCCGACCGGCCCGCCGGAGGCAGAGAAGCGCGTTGTCAAGAAAGCGGTCGCACACGGCAAGACCCATCACTTTGCGGTCAAGACGCGTGACGAGCGAATTGACTGGATGCGTGAGCTGATGCTCGCCAAGGCGCTGAAGGCCAAGGGCGAGGGCTATGAGGTCGAGGTCAACGGCAACGCCATCTAAGCGCCCGCCACGGTCTCATCCATAAGCGCCACCCTGGCCCCACCGCAGTTTCTTCCCTCTGACCCTGCCTTGTCTCGGTCTCGCATTTCCCTACTCAGTTTTCCTACCGTGATTTGCAATCGCCTTGTTCTCGTGCTTACAGTGTCGGCTTATCTCAGACTTCTTTCTCAGCATACACTTTTTTGTTCTCTTTCCTTTGCCTGTGTTTTCAAGCAGATTTGTCTCTGCTGGTCGGCTATATACCCTTTACGCGTTCTGTTTGGCTTTCACACAGCTCGATGAGTGCTACGACCCGTCATGACTCTCTTCACACCCAACAAAGACCGGCATTTCGATCTCGGGATCTCTCTTAGTGCTTTTCGGTGATGACCTCTTATTTCTCATTTTACATCCGCTTCTGTACATGCACATCCCCTTGTCGGCTAAGATCAGCCTGGAAGTTTTGTCGTTTTTTTAGATAAAATAGGGGGAGGCGAGAGACAGATGAAGCGATTGTGACGACAGCGACGATGTCTGCTGCGCTGTTGAGCATTGTGTTGGTAGTCCATTTGGCGGTACTTAGCGCAGGTAGCTTGGAGAAGTAAATGGAAGTAGTTGGGAGAAACCAGTCATCTTGTGCATTGTGGCAGTGATGTTAGAAATTGACCAACCTACCTGGGCAGCAAACACCTATCTTTGTATTGTTGTAATACTTGCGTTCACACTTGGACATCTGCTTCAGCTACTGATGAAGGTCGTCCAAACCTACATCTACGTCGGCACACTTGCTTCGACTGCCCACGGGAAGAATCGCCTTAGGCTGGTTTCTCTAGGCGCCCCCTATGCCGCGCTCTTGGCGTGGACACTCTCAGAAAGAAAAAGAAAGAAAGGGACAGCAGCAGGGACTTCCGTGTCTCTGCACGTACGTGAGAAGGCCCGATGTTTGGTTGAGATTAATCAAGCACTTCCCGAGGTGGAGAGAGAATGGCACCAAATTTCCCCAAGCAGTCGATATCTTGAGGCTGTTGAGATTTATGCAGGGTTTATGGCGGCCCCGGCCGCGCTCCTTAATTGGCTGGGCACTCCAAGCTGTGGCTTGATGGTTCAGGCGTGATCAGCACTCTGACCATCTTCTCCAGCGCGTATATTGGCATATTTGTCATGTTGCTCGCAACCGAGGAGAAACCAGGGTCTCGGGCGCTCCGATCCGAGATCCACCATTCTTGTGCCCGATTTCTTCACCATGTTGGGTGGGGCTGCTGCTTGGTGGCCGAGCTGGGCTTAGAGCAGTCGGATCAAGCGTTGACGGTGACGGGCGCCCGGGAAGGATGAGGGTGGGGGCAATTCTACCCCCCCTGCCGCCGGATTTGACAGCGGAGTTGGCGGTAGAGGCGGCAGAGGCTCTCGAAAGGGTGGGCATGTCAGCCATACAGGGTTCACCTCGTGACTCGGTGGTGCTGGGAGGGTCTCCATCTAGGAATCCGCGGAGTCATTTACGAGGATTCTCTTCTCGAAAGGAGAAATACTGCTCACATGAGGATCAAGGTCCGTCTCCTCGATCAGGGCAATCCACCGACATGTTACTATTCGTCTGGCAAGAAACCGTGATAGACACATGACGTACATAGGTAGTGGAACCCTGTCGTCAGATGCGTTTGTAGGCATCTAAAACCTGCACACATTCTCTGAGCTAGGAGCGGACATGCTAATGGATCGCGCCGGCCAAAGAGATAGCACTCTCCATGTTCCGCAGAACTGGCCGCCCGATGGGAGTCGTGAGGCTGGTCTGCAGGTCTGTTGCATCGAGACCGAAAGAATATCAAGTTGACGGCGTAGCGAAAGGCAGCAATATCAAGGGGAAGGAGCGTGGGTTGGAGTTGCAAGCGCGAGCGGCCGGGGCGCTCTTTCCTTTTCAGGGTGCAAACAGCTTCCGAATGCGGACCTCCCGGCTGCTGCCTCACTGCGCCACCTCCACCGTTGACAGTGGTCTGCACCTGCACCCCGGACTTGAACCAACTTACAACCCCACCGAGGTGCTAATCGTTCGACACACATTGAGGTGTCGTAGTTCGCCGCGACTCCGGCCCCGCCAGGATGAGTGAGGCACGCCCCCATCCGCAGATTCCGTGGCCCGATTGATACGTACTGCTAGGGCTACGCAACCTCGACAAGATCGACTACAGTGGTGAGTTCGCACGGCTTGGGTGGGTTGGCCCCGATTAACCAAGATGCGACTAGAGACGCGTCGGAACAGGGAACACGGTACAGCGCGTCGTGGAGAGCCCGGGACATCTACTCATCCCAAGGCTGGCAAATCGACCACTACGAAGCAAAAGCGCACCGCCAGTGGCCGCGTTACCAGGACCGTTTCCGCCAATGCTTTCAGTGTCACTCCGAAGAAGTCCTCGCGTCGTTCCATGGGGCGCGAGCATCGGCACGCCTCACCCATCGTGGAGATCATAAAGAAGACTGCAACGAACCCGTCCGCTTCCGCTCCCAGCGATAGCAGCGACGCCGAGCACCACAGTATCCTCATGCACAAGTTCTGTGAGCCTTTCTGCATGGAGCCACGGGAGCGCATGGGCACTGACGTGATGCATAGTCAAAGCGCATGAAGACCAGGTGGCCAATGTCCCGAGGAAGAAGCAGCGCAAAGCGTTGGGCAAGTTGGTAGGCAGTCTCTCCCCGCAGTCTCTATTCTCGGCAACCGCCTGACACAACATAGTGGCGCGAGTCTCCGTTGAACCCCAAGAACGCGCGCGCCCAGCATGAGTCTAATGAGGGAAGCATTGGCAATGAGGATGGCAAGGATGGCAAGGATGGCACGGTGTGAACCTCCACGATTTGCTCCAGTGTGGGGTCAGGGTCATGGCGGAGGCGTTTGCTCAACCACAATACAATACCTGAGGGTGGGTTGCCGAGAAATAGTAAGCAAAGTCCGGCAACGACTCCGAATGACGTTGGGCGAGGACGGGCAAGTCACTCATCAGACTAGCCGCATTCATGGGGAAACAATCCACAATACCTAGTCAATCGTTGGCAGTGTACGTCCGTACATGTGCGAGGCAGGTGTGGCGGGGCGTTCCAGGCCTTCAGGCCACGACGAACTTGACAGCATTGCGCACACCATGACGCCCATGGAAACAAGAAAGTCAGTCGGACGCGAACCCCTCCATCGGCATGTCTCCCATCATCGACGCTCTCAACCCATCGCCATCAGTTAAGACGACCCGACGAGAAGAAAGCTTCCTATCCAGGATTGTTGCTCTCCAGAGCCACGCTGCCACGTAGGCAACTGGCAACACGCCCGCTGTGGAGGAGTAAAAGCGGTGGTCGTGGCTGGCTCTGTTGTTTTTTGATCGGAGGAGAGAAGAGGATGCAAGGCCGGCGGGCGTTTTATGTGTGCGCGGCCCGGGCCGTCCATTGATCCGCTCGGCCTCGCTGCCCGTAAGGTACGGAGTGAGTGACCGGGTCCCCGTCCGTCCAGATGGAAGTCTGCTGAGACACCGCGCTCGTGCCGGCATCCGCGGGCAGTGGCTGCAAGTGTAGCGACCACAGTTGCCGCCACGCGCAAGTGGCACTCCAGGGCTATACACGATGGATGCGGCGGTCGGCATCCGCCCCAGCCCTCCCGGAGGTCGCGCCGCGCCACGAGGCGTCCGGTCGGCAGCACATAGCGCTCAGGATGCCCGTCCCGACTGTAGAGGTGCTCGAGACGGGCGGGTGGCTCGGGGCTCGGGCTGGGCTGTGGGCGAAGCTCATGACGTCTGCTGCGAGCCGCTGAGTCGCCGCGCTGATTGGCCCGCCCTCCTGCGACGGAGGCGGACTCGATTCCGGCATCGCCCACCCATCACCCTGCAGCCGCATTGTGAACCACTGCTTTGCTCGCTGCTCTTGAACGCGCTTCTCCTGCGCTTCTCCTGCGCGAGCCCCTCCGCTGCTCTTGCGGCGCTCCAGCCCACCGCCTGCCTCCCGCCACCCGCCGCCCGCCACCCGCCGCCCGCCAGCGTTCTCCGTTGTCTCTCCGCTTCGCGACCATAGCGTGCGCATGCTTCCGCGAGGGCGTCGCTCCCCCGCCACGCTTTTCAATGTCATTGCGCCGCCATGAGCAGACCAATTCTCCCCTTTCCGCCGCTGCACCGAGGCAGCCAGCAGCTTTTCCGCCTGTCCCCTCCTGACCCGTCGCCGCCGCCGCCGCCGCCACCGCCGCCGCCGCCCAGCAAGCCGACGTACGCGAAGAGGGGCCGCATCACCATAGTCGCCTGCCTGCCCTGCCGGAGACGGAAGACCAAGGTTGGCTCCCGCAAGCGCCGTCTACCCTTTCCCGCCCGCCGTGAGCTGACAGCTACGCCCTGGGCAGTGCGACGGCAAGCGGCCCGCCTGCTCGCAGTGTCGTGGTCGAGATGGCCAGTGCCAGTACGACATGACCGACGAGCAGCGTCGGCTGACTTATCTCCGCGAAAACGTCGAGCATCTCGAGCGCGAAAAGAGCGAGCTGGAGTCGCTTCTGCTGACGCTGCAGCGCGCCAGCGAGACCGACGTCGCAGAAGTGATGCGAGCATTACGTATGAGCAACGACCTCCACACCATTGCACGCGACCTTCACACCGGGCGCTTGCTCTCAAAGGCCCGTGCGGCGTCCCCTCCGCCGGGCGGCAGTAGAAATGCCTGTGAGCATGACGCCTGTCGCGGACTGGCTTGGGATATCTGCTGAGGCTCCATGTGCTCCCTAGATCTGAACGTCCCGACAACCCTGCGCTCGTCGCCACCGCTTGAACAATACCAGAGCCTTGTCCGCACCATTGCAGTGGCCCAACCTCTGGAGCTCGGTGAGATCGTGCGCCGCCTCCGCGCGGGCCACGAGCCCGCCTCCATCCTGGCGTCTGTTGGCTCCGACGCCCTTCTCCAGACGCTGCCGTGGGAGCCGGAGAGCACGCCAGGCATGGAGGCCGAGTTTTCCGGCCGAGAGCAGTTCGGGCTCGTCAAGGGTGCCGGACCCAGTGGCTCGCAAGACGAGCGGAGATCTTCAGGCGCGCAAAGCCCGCCGGTCAATCATTGGACCACCGTGACCCAAGACCCTGATTGGATCGAGCATCTGCTCTCCCTTTACTTCTCCTGGCAGCACCAATTCTTCCAGAACTTCCCGGAACAGCTTTTCAGAGCTGACATGGCCTCGGGCCGGACTAGCTACTGCTCCGAGCTACTTGTCAACGCACTGTGTGCCGCAGGCTGCCTCTTCTCCAGCAGTCGACGAGCCCGACGTGACCAAGACGATCCTGGCACAGCTGGATTAGACTTTTATGGGGAGGCAGTCAGGCTGTTGAACGAGGAACAGGCGTCGATGCTGACAACGACCGCTGCCCTATCAATCCTGTGCCACATTGAGGGCAACTTCACCCACCTGAGCGCACAGTGGCAGTACAGCGGTCGCAGCTCGCGGATGGCTCTTGATTTGAACCTCCACTTGCGCAATGACACAATACCCAAAGATCAGCAAAGCATCGAACTCATCGAGGACGATGCTCGCGCTCACGTCTTTTGGGGTTGCTTTGTCACAGATCAGTAAGTCTCTCATCCTTTGCCTGCTGTCGACGCCGTAGCCGCTCGCGATTACTTCGCCACAGTTGATTTTCAGGCCGCCACGTGTGTCCACCTACTGACGTTGTTACCAGGGTCATCAGTTTTACTCTTGGGCGTATACCGTTGATACCAAACAACGCCATCACAGTAGATATCCCCCCAGTGGACTCTGCCAAAGACGATTCTAAGTGGGTCGCGCACGGCCAAGTGAACGAGCTTAGGAAAAGTTTTGGGTCAACTACCTTTCGACAGGTTATCAGCCTTTCCAAGATAGTCAACTCTACTCTTCAAATGTTCTTCGCTCCTTCGAGAACAATAAGCGGAAGCCTGTTGTTAGAGGAATACAGCAAATACACCCAATGGTTTGCCAAGCTGCCTGCCACGGTACAGTCGGTGGAGAATGCGCCGCCACATGTCATAAGCCTACAGTAAGTCTTGTAAAGTGCCTGTGTACTCTTTCTACCTCCACGCCCCCAAGCGCAGCCATCGCACGAGCAACGGCGAGGCAACCGCAGAGACAGCTCGCATATCATCGCTTGCAGGAGTACGGGGCGCCCTTCATGTACAAGACTGCCATTGTGTCCCGCGGTTATCTCGAGGCACTGGCGTACCTTTGGCCGTGTCGGAGGATAGTCTCGGACAGCTCTTGAGCTTCTTAAAGTCGCCTTATGGATACTTTGCCTTTCAACATATCAGACTGCTCATCAGTAGAACGGGTTAAAGTCTATCCACTTTATGTTCACGTGGCAAGGGCAGAGATTCGAGGGGTAGCTAACGCTAGTTTAGGATGTATTACTACGCCGCAGTCCTGCTACTCTTCCGCCCATTCTTGAAGGCGAGGTTCACCGAATCCGACTTGTCCCCACGGGAAGTGTGTAGACAATCGGCCAATACAATCTCGTACCTCTTTGAACGACACCGGCAGCTCTACGGCCTGGATGGTATTTTCACCTTCCAACTCCACTGCCTGTTGACCGCGTGCACCATCCACATTATCAAGTTGCCTTCAATATCTGCAATAAGCCATTTAGCGGCTGCTTGTAACAGCTTCCAAGATTTAGTCAAGTATAATCAATGGGCGACCGGAAGTCTCGACATTATCCGCAGCCTCGTTCAGAAATGGAAGATCGTGCTCCCGTTAGAAGTAGAGCACGCTCTGTATCGCGACCACACCATACCGCCAGCCCTATCCGAAGGCACATCCGCCGAAACAAACAACCTCTCCGATGTGGACTTGAACACGGAAAATGGCGCCAACCTCGTCGACCGCGGCCGCGCCCCGGCATTCACCTTATCCGCGTGCCGTCCAGAAAAACGCGAGGCGCGATTCCCTAGTCCATCGGCCGGATCGCAGGTACTCCCGAAGCGCCAGCGTCTTGCAGCACCCCGCTTTCACGACAATGAGGATTCTACCCATGGCCCACTCTCCACCACAGGCACCACCACCACCACCACGACAACGACGACGACGACAACGACGACGGAGGCGTATTCAGCCACGTCCAGCTCATCCACGACCCACCAACAAATGATCATGCGATACCTTTTCGCACCTTTTCCGCATCAGCCGGCCCCACTGCTGGGGCCAGTGCATACCAGCACCAGCCACAACGGCTGGGGAGACGAGGACGGTACAGAGGGAGGAGACACTTGGAGCGAAGAGCTGCGCAGCGTAAGCCAGGGCTTCGACGGGCTGAATTTTGTGGCGGACGACGGATTCGACCCGTTCATGGGCTACCAAGGGGACCGATTTTGAAAATCCAAGTCGACAGATCGAAGGAATCGGTTGAGAGCCTGGAAGACCCAACGAGCAGTATAGACATACCTCATTACGCTATCTTTCTTGTGAACTCTTTCCAGTGACCCTTTGCTCTTCTACTTCCTGCGAAGGGCAACTTTTGGGCCACATTTCGGCCTGCTTTTGCGGCTCTCGATAAGTTTTTTCTTTTGGTCGAGTTCAATTGTTATTGTCGTCGTCTGGACCCCAACCGTCGTCACGAGGTCCAGATGCATAACAACGGTGGAAGCATGTGAAATTTATCTTCGGTGTTTTGCTTCTTGTTGTTGGGTTCACAGCCGAGGAAGGGCTTGCAATAGCCCAATATTGTCTCCGGTTCGGCGAAATGCTAGTGGGAGGTGTGACTATATATCATTGCCGACCACTATCCCGTTCGACGGGCAAACTTTCTGTAAATCTCTTCATCGCCTCTATCCCGCCTTGGTACTTGCTTTCAGAAAGGCGATTCTCGGGAACGACGGTACACTTGTGTTCAATTGTCGCTCGTATTCACAGTCAAATGTTTTCTGGGAAGGGAAAAAAGCGAATACAACATAATTGAGAGAATCGGTTCTGTAGTGGCTATGTCGGTTGCATGGCTTGAGAAAGGAACATGCTGATAAGGTTTCCCACTCTTGCGACCTTTTTCTTGACCTTATACGTGTGTGCTCGCCTCTTGTGAGCATTCTTTTGTCTCAGGGAAAATCTCTCACTAGAAATAACACTATATGGCGGATGATGAGGATGAGAGAGAAGAGGGTGTGACGGAGGTGGACCAATGTTCAGCCTGAAGGGATTCACGGGTGCTGTCTAAACCAGGAACCACGCAACCGGTCAAAGCATTAAAATCTTACATACTTATCCACCTCCTAGCATAGCATACTGATAAACAGCTATCTCTTATCTTGTCGTGGTCTAACAGGCCTGACAAGGCCATGCCCATTCCTATGTCTGATTTCTAATTTCACGCAGCAAAATTTCAAGAATCAATGATGCATCTCATTCATGCAAAAAAAAAAAAAAAAAGGAAGAGCACATCTCACCACAGGGCACAGCGTGGATACTACACTAACTAAATTTGGTTGCAATCCGGCCGATGCTGCGCCCGTAGCATGTACTATAGCATCGCACCCTTCATGAGGGGAGCGGATGGTTGAGTCTGGGGCCTTATCGCCAATAGATTTGTGAGACTCTAATGCCGGCCGCGGACTCACTAAACTGGATGATTGTACACATGTCATGAAACGCCAATCAATGCCTCTTTCCCAGCAAGCATCGTTCATATTCGTCAACCACCGCCACCGCTAGCAGTAGCAGTGCGCACCAGCCTTCTGCCATCAATGTGAGAGGAGAGAACCAGGTACTCTACGCAGGGAAGACGGGCGCGTCGTCGTTGAAGTCCTCCTCCTTTATGCCTTCCTTGGTGATGATTTTGACGGAAAGGCCCTTGAAGTCGATGGGCAGCCTCCTCTTCAACTCGTCCGAGCACATGCGCAGGATCTTCATGCCCTGGTCTAGGGAGATATCCGGGTGGTGGTGCTTGTCAAGGATAGACAGGCAGTAGTACCTGTGCACGGCCAAAACGTCAGTAACCCATGGCTTTTGCCAAGGTGTTCTGGAGCAATCTTCTCTTCTCGCATGGTGCTCTCGACATGGACGGGGAGCAAAATGACGTACTGAGCGTAGCCGTGTGCCGCGTACGGAACGGGGGCCAGGGCGGCAAGATAATCGATCCAGTAGAGGTTCGGCTTGTCGTTGATGGGGTCCATGCCACCGAGCAGCAGGTTGACGGTGTAGGGTCTCCGCGAGCGCAGGGCTCGTGCAAGCTCGCCGCGGACGAAACTCGCGACGGCCGACGGGCCGAGGTCGGTGTCGTTACGCATGGAATACAGCTGGATGTTGGCTTGGATGTACTCTGCGAATTGGACTGCAATCACGATCAGTATGGAACGGAGCGGTGGGGTCTGCGCGGGGATAGAAACGCACTGGTGTCGCCCGCCTCGCCGGAGAAGGCCAACAGCGTGTGCTTGTTCAAAGGTCTGGTCTTATCGTCGGTGGCCTTGAGGATGCTGGCGCCGCGCATGGCGGCCTTCGAGGAGGCCATGATGGTGAAGTCCTTGCCCGTGATGCCGAGTAAGACCTCCCTGCAGACTAGTCAGCGCGGTGCCGCGGCAGCGACGGGGCGATGGAACGAACATGTTGGCGGCGGTGGGGTGTGGGTGTTGGAGGGTCGAGGATGGGGACGGGCGTCAAGAACGGCTGGAACGGAATGGACGGGTGGATTGAGCTGCAGGGAGAAGAAGGGCGGGGTGCGAGCGGATGCAGCGGCGGGAGCTGTGGTGTTGACGGAAGCTCCAGCTGCCTGGCCGCGCTGGAGCTTCGCCGGCCTGGTCACGTCGGAGCTTGGGACTCGCCGACGGCCAAAGTCTTGGCGCGAATTCTCGAATTTATTTCTCGCCCTCGACTATCCGCCGCGCAGACTGCCTGCCCGCCCACCCACGCCATCCTACCAATTGCGCTACCGTGTCCGCCGACATGTCGTCCTTCTTCACGGCCCCGGCATCGCAGCGGAAAAGGAAGCGTTCGCAGACCTCTGCCCCCGCCCCAGAAAAACGGAATCGCAAGCGCCGCGAGGACTCTGTCTCCAGCGGCGAGTCCGATGACGACCAAGACGACCGGCCGCGCGACGAAGTAGACCATGAGAGCGACCGTTCGTCCGAGGCCGAAGACGAAACCGCAGCTGAGCGCCGCCTGCGTCTCGCCGAGCGCTATCTGGAGAACATTCGTGAAGAGGTCGACGAGGCCGGCTTCGACGCCGCAGAAATCGACAAGGACCTGATCGCAGAACGATTGAAAGAGGATGTTGCCGAGAGCAAAGGCCGCGTCTATCGGCGCATAGCGTCGAGCGTGGATTTCCCCTCAGCAACACATGCTTTCTTCCGCCGAGACAACCGAGCCATCACAGCAATCGCAACACACCCCCCTTACGCATATACGACCACCAAAGACATGTGCTTGGCCAAATGGTCGATACCCGCTCCTCTGGACCCTACCGTCGAGCATCCTTCGAATCTAGCCCCTCGAACCACCCCTTCTCAGGTTGCCTGGACCAAGGGCAACAAGAACCACGCCAACGACCCGAATTACCAACATCACACCGCACCCATACTATGCGTGGCAGTCTCTCCAGACGGCAAGTTCGTTGCCACTGGTGGAGCGGACAAGAAGCTCATCATCTGGCGCGCCGAAGACCTTAGCCCTCTGAAGGTCTTCAGCCAACATCGGGACGCCGTCATCTCACTCGCCTTCCGCCGCGGCAAGAACCAGTTGTTCAGCGCAAGCGCCGACAGGACAATCAAGACGTGGAGTTTGGACGAGCTCGCTTACGTCGAGACTCTTTTCGGACACCAGGACTTGGTGGTGGACATTGCCGCACTGGCGCAGGAACGGTGCGTGAGCGTGGGCGCACGGGACCGCACGGCGAGATTATGGAAGGTGGTCGAGGAGTCCCAGCTCGTCTTCCGCGGCGGCGGGTCGAGCGTGACCAAGACCAACCGCTTGGACGGCAACAGCAGCGGCGCGAAGAACGGCGGCTTCGTAGAAGGCAGCATCGACCGCGTCGCGCTCGTCGACGAGGAGACGTTCGTCACGGGCAGCGACAACGGCACCATCTCCCTGTGGTCCATCAACAAGAAGAAGCCCGTGTTCACCGTCCCGCTCGCCCACGGCGTGGACCCGCCCATGCGCCCTGCCGAGGTCTATGCCGACGCCGAGATCGACGACGACGCCTGGCTCCCGCCTCCGCAGCCCCGGTGGATCACAGCGCTGACCACCATCCCGTACACCGATGTCATCCTCAGCGGTAGCTGGGACGGCTGGATCAGGGCGTGGAAGATCAACAAGGAAGGGCGTAGAATCGAGGCGTTAGGGCCCGTCGGCCGCGTCCGGGAGCAGCAGCGGCAGCAAGGCGGCGCGGACGTCGACGGCGACGCCGTCATGGCGAACGGTGCCGCCGACGATCTGCAGCCCGCAGTGGGGAATGTCAGGGGTGTGGTGAACGATCTGTCAGTCTTCGAGAGGGGCGACAGGGGTAAGGACGGCATTTGTGTTGTAGCGGCCGTTGCGAAGGAGCTCAAGTTGGGCAGATGGAGAAAATACCCCGGCAAGAACACAGCCGTCGTTTTTGAGGTCAAAAGGAATATCGGCGGGCCGGAAGAAGACGATGCCGAGGAAGAGTAATGACAGCCCGGACATGGATGGGTTCGTTCAGCAAGAAAAGTTCAGGCGTGGGAGTTAGGGTGCAACTAGGGCTGCCCGTAAGAATCTATTTTTGAAGGAGATTTCAGAGGCTTACGCGGTTTGGGACCGCGGAAGCATATCAATACTACTTTTACTTTGCCCTCTCGTAGGAGAGAGGAGCAGACTGGTTGCACAACGGTTCTGCTGGGCCAAGCGTCTTCAACATCTTTTCCTGCATTTCACGTACGTTCATCAATGCGAATAGTGTGTGGGCGTGATTCACCCGGTGATCTGTTTGCGCCATGGCAGTGATTCAAGGAACTGGCAAGCATGCTCGCTCAAGCACGCGGACGCGCGCATGGGCTTAACGCCGGGCTCGCCGAACAGCGCCAGAGCAGCCAGCCCCAGGTACGAGTGGTAGATATCCGGAGGGTCGCCAGGCACTTTACCAAAGCCGCCAACCAGGTGCTGTGTCTTCTCCAGCAGGTAGCGGCGGGCGGTGGGCTGCGAGACCAGGTGGACCTTACCAAGCATCTAAGAAGGGGGAGGATCAGAACACGAGTCGTTGCGTCGGGGAAACGGACTAGGCAGGCCGCTTCTGGGTACGCACCGATAGGGATGCACACACCCACCAGGCATAGCAGGTGTCGGCGATCTTGTTGCAGCGGCCGTTGAAGCCCGCCCATTGCAACAAGTCAAGCGCAGTGGTTTGGGTCGGAAGGCCGTGCAGCTTGACAACGGGAGGAACGTCGGCTGGCGTCTTGGCTGCGCCAATCTCCTCGCCGTCAGCCGCGTCAACGGCGTCTTCCTCGTCTAGCGTGAGCGTTTGACGTGCCACAAGCCACCGCGCGGTGAGTTCAGGGTCGGACAAGCCCGCCAAGGGATGGCCCGAAACAGGAGTGCCTGCATTACTCGGGAGCCGACCGAGCATGGCTAGCGCGCCGATGGCACAGTACGTGAAGCCGGCTGCGAAAGGTCAGAAAAGACGGTGGAATCGCAATCAGAGGCGCGCAAGGATGGGCGAACCGTGAGCTTCGTGGTAGGCGGCTTCGGATACGCCTCCATCGTAGGTCTGGAGGCAGTCAGTAGCCAAGGAGGGCGCGGCGAGGCAACAGCACCTACTTCGGACGCGCGGATGCAGCGCACAACGGCGTCGACGTCCATGTCTTGCACGCCGTCGACGTCGCCGTCGACGAAGCCGCGCAGGATCCAGCGCACGCCGGCAGCGCAGTAGATGAAGCGCGTGTCGTGGCCGCCCTCGATGCGGCCGCCCTCGCCCAGCGTCTCGCCGAAGCTGCCGTCGTCTTTGCGCTGCAGACGCGGCAGCCACTGGAGACACTCGCGGCGCTTCACGCGCTGCAGGTCGTCGCCCAGCACCAGCAGCGTCTGCAGGGCAAAGTACGTGGCGGGCAGGTTGGCGGGGTCCCAGTGGCCGTTCTCCGGGGAGCGGGCGGCGGCCAGGTCCATGGCGGGCGAGGCGCGAAAGCCGCCGTCGGGGTGCTGGTTGCGGTAGACCCAGTCGATGTAGTCACGGCGCTCCTGGTCGGAGCAGGAGTCGCGCACGGCGCCCAGCAGGTCGAGGGCGGCGACGATGAAGAAGGCCAGGGTCATGCGGTTGCAGTCATTGGACGTGTACAGGTGGGGCAGGTAGGTCTTGAGGCATCGCTTCCAGTAGGTCAGCTGGCGCGCGGTGCTCAGCTGGGCGGCGGCGGCCGACATGGCTCAGGCAGGCGGCTGGTGGTGAGGAGGGACAGTGGGCCGGCGGGTAGGGCTCTCCAGGCGGGAGAGATTGGGTGCAGATCGGCGGCGCGCGCAGGAGAGCGACGGCAAGCGACGATGAAGTGACGCGGAGGACGAGTATATTTGGCAACGGTCGGTCCGAGCTGGGGCTGAGTAGCGTTGCTAGGGCCAGGCGCCGGTAGGGCGCAGGCCGTCGCCCTCGTGTAACCGCTCAAAGAGCACGATCCCCGAGAGGCCAATTGCAGCGTTTCTCGCACCGCACTCAACACCCCCCTAAACTATATGCACGCCAGCGACGCTGCCTCGGACACGACGCCCTCCACACCCCTCTCGCCAAAGCGCTGCCTCGCTCCTCGCCTGCCTCGCCGCCGACCTCGCCTGCCCGCGGCCCTCGCACCCTCCCTAGCTAGCTGATTCGCGGGCCGGCCAGCGCAGCACCATGTCTTCTGGCTTCGCAAACTCCTTCTGGTCCGGCGACTACGCTGGAGGTGCGCTCCCCCTGCCTGCTGCCTGCTGCCCCGCGAGCGCGCGCGCCGTGCTGACCCTCTCCAAGGCCTGGGCGTGCTGTTCGGAAAGCTGCAGCAAGGCGTCCAAGAAAACGAACAGGTGCTCACAATAGCCCGCCTGCGCGCCGACGCCGAAGACGCCTACGCCGGCAAGCTCTCTGAAATCGCCCCTGCCACCGACCGCCTGTCTGGCGGCTTTGGCCGCGACGATGGTGCCAGTGTGCGCAAGGTGAGTCCGCCATGCGCTCTGCGGCCCAGCCCGACCGCGCCGCTAACCAGCCCCCCCGCAGGCCTACGAAGGCGTCCGCACCGAGATGGAGCAGGCCTCGCAGAGCCACAAGAAGATCGCTTCCAACATCCGCGAGCTGGTCGTCCAGCCTTTCGGCCGCTGGTGCGAGGCCCATGCCGCCCGTGTCCAGAACTCGCAGGACGACCTGCAGGCGCGCATCAAGGTCCACGACAAGCAGGCCGAGGCCGTCCGCAAGTTCCGCAGCCAGTACTACAACAAGTGCCGCCTGGTCGAGGACCTGGAGGAAGAGGACAAGCTCGCTTTCCAAGACCCCAGGCACGAGGCCCAGAGCCCCAAGAACACCCCTACCGTGAAGATCTCCGAGCCCGAGGATGTCGAGGATGAGCCCATCGAAATCGGCGATGACACCTACCCCCCGGACCAGATGAAGAAAATCCTCACCCACATGCTCGAGAACATCAAGCTGGGCGAGTACAAGCTGCCCATCATCGGCACCTACCAGAACGTGGCTTCCGGTGCGGATATTACCGACTACATCCAGAACCACATGGGCGCAACGAGCGTGAGTTACGCCGAGAGAATCGGCCAGGATCTGTGCTCGCACGGCTTCCTCAGGCTCCTGGGCAACGTCGGCAGCACCTTCGCAAACAGCTCCAAGATGAACTACCAGTTCAGGCCCAAGGTCTTCCAGATGACCGGGATCCCCGACAAGAAGAAGCCGCTGGAAAGGGTGTCCTCCGTCATGTCCTCGGACAGCAACACGGCCGATTCGCCCTCTAGCGCCGTCGGCGAGTTCCTGTCCGGCTGGAATCCCATGAACACTGCTCGCCCGGGTGAGACGCCCTCCGAGAGGCTCCGCCGCGAGGCCCGCGAGGCAGACGAGCGCTACAAGGCTGCCGTGAAGAAGCTGGATTTCCTGCGTTGCAACCTAGAAGAGTCGATGGTAGAGCATTTGAAGTTCATGGAGCGTTGCGAGCTGGATCGCCTAAAGGCCGTCAAGGCCGTGATCCTGGACTTCTCGGGTGCCATCAGCAACGTCATGCCCACCCTCCAAAGCACCATCGACAAGATGATGCTCTTCCAGGAGACGGTCCAGCCTCTGGGCGACCTGAGGTATCTCCTGGAGAACTACCACACCGGCCACTTCGTCCCCAAAGTGGTGACATACGAAAACTACTACAATAATGTTGATGAGCAAACTTTCGGTGTTGATCTCGAGGCCAGGGCCCGCTCGGACCGCAAGCGGGTGCCGATTATTGTCACCTCGATCCTGACCTTCCTCGACAACCGTAAGCGAAATGCCCGTTCCTCCCCTCCATCGTTAAGATATTGACTTGAGCAGACTACCCAGATCTCGAAGGCGACGAAGTTCGTCGCGGAATCTGGCTGGTGGATGTGCCTCTGGCAGCCACCCACAAGCTCCGAGCTGAGATCAACACCGGCAAGCCCTTTTCCCATGAAATTCTCGAGCAGTATGAGATACCCATCGTCGCGAGTGTTTTGAAGTTGTACCTCCTCGAGCTCCCTGGTAAGCCGGTATCCAGTTCTGACGGTGGCGTTCCCAAAGTGCTGACGATCGGCAGATTCGCTCGTCTCATCTCACGTTTACGAAATTGTCAAGACGATCTACAGCACGACCGCGCCCTCCACGAGCGAGGATGCGCGTCTATCCGTCATCCAGTCCACCCTCGGTCAGCTTCGTCTTGCGAACATTGCTACGCTTGATGCGATCACGACCCACTTTGTCCGCCTAATTGAGCTTACCTCTGCGGACGAAACCTACATCGCCACCCTGGCAACTACGCTGTCCCCTTGCATCCTGAGGCCACGCCAGGAGAACTCGCTCACGATGAACGAGCGCTACGCCTACCGTCTGATCCGTGACCTGTTCGCCCACAAGGACGCCATCTTCGGCGAGCTGAAGCGTGCCTCGGCCCTTGCACACAGCAATTCCACCTCTGCCAGGCCGCGGGCAATCAGCACTGACGAGAGCAACCGCCGCATTCACATGGAAGAGCGCGCGCGGGCCATTGCCTCGCGCAGCCGCGCGTCAAGTCCCGCGCCAACACAGCGTGCACATCGACGGGATAGGAGCACAGGAGGACCGGAGACCCGGTTTCCGATCGCCACCAGCAGCACCAGCCCTACAGAGCGTCGCGGAACTGGAGGAAAAGCACGCGACTCCCTTGAGGTCCCCGGGAGTGCTGAGAGCTCGCCCGTTCTCAATGACTCCCCCCCAAAGCCCGTCGCGACGAACGGTACTGCCGCCTCGGTTGCCAGTACAGGTTCGAACAGGGATAGCATCGCATCCACCACCATCTCCGCTTCCAACCGGGACAGCATCACGTCCGACGGTTCCTCTACGCCTACCAGTGCAACCACGGTCGAGAAGAGAAACTCTCTCGGGCGCACCGGTGCCGCCGCTTCCCGCTTCCCCAGAAAGTCCGGCAGCCTTGCAAGACAAAGCCTGATCGGCACCGGCAAGCGCGACAGCATGGGCAGCCTGCGCGACGTCGACGCCACCTCGGTCCCGGTCGAGGACGCGCCGCAGAGGCCTGTGGGCGTCGAGCTCGTGGACAAGCCAATGGATGACTAAGCGCGGCAAATGGGAATGGGAAACCCGACAAGATATCGGTGGCGGGATTATGATTCTTTGCAATGCGTCAACGATGCATGGAACGTCATACAGACGAAGATGACAAACTACTTTTTTTTTCGATTGGCTTTTTTTCCCCTCCCCCCCCTTCCTCCTCCATATGGCCCTTTTGAGGGGGTCTCTTTGGGATCGCTTCCTTTGCCCATGGGCGATAAGGTGGCTAATTTTTCTCTTTCTCTTTTATTTTGTGATTGCGTTCTTTGGCTCTTTAGTTACAGATGATATCATACAACCTTTTGCTCTTGTATTATAGGCGCTGTGCGAAATGAGCGTATAAGGAGGTGGTTTGGTGCTTGGGAATTCAGAGTCGTGAATCACCGCTTTGCCGTAGCCATGCTTGCTACTTACCGACTGCTGCCCAATGATATACATCCTAATCGTCGCCTGGGGGGGTAGGACGTTAGGCCTGCGGAGGCTATAGTCTATGATCAATCAGACCTTGGAATCTGTCTACTCGCATGCTTCCGTGCTACGACCACTTGCAGTGACAGTGTGATTATTATTCCGTTTGACCGGCTGTGTGTAATATCCTGAACGCCGCCACCGCTTTGGACTATCTCATGTGTGCCATCAGAAATTTCATCGGTGAGTCCAGCGAGGCACCCGAGGACCTGCTAGCCCCGTTCCTCCTTCCTCCCCAAGCCCACACCGCCCAGCACTCCCCCAGCCAACCCGCCCAGCCCCCTGCCGACGCCACCAACGGTACTGCTCAATCCGCCCACGACGTCGCCCTTCCCCAGCCTCCCCACGCCGTCGCCGAGGCCGCCCGTGATGCCGCCCACCGCGTCGCCGAGGCCCTTTCCGACGCCGCCGACGACGCCACCGACAGGGCCGCCGACCGTGTGCCCGACGCCGCCCGTCGCGCCCTCGAGCGCGTCGCCGAGCCCTCTGCCCGCGCCGCCGACGGTGCTCCCCACGCCGCCGGTGAGCCCGCCGACAGCGCCGCCGACGTTGCCCTGGCCGAGGGCGGACGTCGTGTCCGTGACGGCGGAGCCGACGCCCTTGACGGCGCTGTTGGCGGCGTCGCGCGCGCCGCTCGTCGTGCCCGTCAGCGTCTTGCCTGCGCCCGACGAAATGTGCGAGACGGGCTGGCCGACGCCCGGCGGGAGGCGCTCCGCCGTTTTCGAGATGCCGCCAGTCACGCCCGAAGTGAGGGCGTTTGTGGCGCCCACGGCGGTCGATGTCGTGCCGGTCAGGGCGGAGGTGGCTGTGTTGACGCCGCCGTTCAGGACTGACGTTGCGGCGCCCGTGGTCGCTGTCACGGGGTTGCTGCCGCGCGTGTCGAGCTTGCGCGGAACCTTTTTGTTGCGCTGAGAAGGTGGTAACGATTCTGGGGCGATGGTGACCTTTTTTACGGCGCCGGGACTTTTAGCGGAGGTGGTGCTGGCAATGGCGGGCTTTGCTGACGTTGTTGGTGCTACGGGTTTCACGGCTGGAGCCGTGGTCTTGGGTGTCGTCGAGCTGGTGGGGGTGATCTTTGGTGTGACTCTAGCTACAGGCGACTTCGGTGTGGTCGTTGCTGTTGTTGACGCTGGAGCGGCCTTGTTTGTGGCACTCGGCGTACGAGGCTTTGCACCATTGATGGGCTTCGTCGGGTTGGCGGGCGATCCGATGGTGGTTGTGGCAGGTACGGACTTCTTCGCGCCAACTGGGGCCTGCGAAGGAGCCTTTGCCGGTGTGGTCGCTTTAACCGGCGTTGCCTTCTGAGGCGTAGCGGTCTTCGCCGTGCCCGAAATCACAGTCTTCTTTGCTGTGCCTGCCGAGGTTGTGGCCTTGTTTGTAGCGTTCAAAGGCGTAGACTTCGTGGAGGTAGTCTTGGTCCCACCCGGAGTTTTCGGTTTAGCAGCAGAGGAGGTAGCTGCCTTCGCTGCTGGAGTTCCCGCTGCCTTCGTTCCTGTACCAGCGATTTTCTGGATGTTTGCAACGCCGGCTGGGCGATGCGGATTAGCCTGAGGTCGGAGGACTTCTTGAGTGGTAGGTTGAGAGGAGTCTTCCGCCCGAGCAGCGTGCGTGTGATCTCTGGACGGAGCCTGGAACCATGTTCTCACCTTGCAGGGCCTCGTTCTGCTTCTTCAAATCCTCAAGTGCCGACATGATGATGGGAGTGAATATCGTGACCAATGAAGACCACTTGCGCCGGGAAGGTTGTGTAGAATGGAGTGCAGTGGACTCTGGAGCTCGGGCTGCGGGGGGACTGGACCCTCTTGAGCGATCCCGTCTGATCTGCCGTACGTCATCGCACATCCTGACAGGGGTCTTGGCAAGATCTGAGTCTGGAACGCGAGAAGCCACAACGCAACGTCGACAGGGATCGGTCTGGCAAACTTGCCTATTCCAGCCCGCCTGTGCCGATCGGCAAAGCTAGAGGTAACGGCTTCCCTCTAGTTGCGCGTCCGCAGGCCAGGACATGTGGTGCAATTTATGCAGCGAGTACTGGGTTGCACCACAATGACCTAACCGTCCTTCTCCCTGTCATTCCTGTCTTTATCGAACTTGGCCCCAACCAAAATATCTCTTTCCAAGCACGGTGACGGCAATGCATTCAACCCCCGACAGCCCAAGGCCAAGCAGAATCTGCAAAGCGCAGCAAAGCCCTACTCTGCCTGCGAATATGCCGAGCTTTGTCAATCCTGGGCCCGAAGCAATATCCGTTTTTGTGAATGCAGGCCAGGATGGCGAGAGGATTCCGTTAGCGAACAAGGGAAGCCGCGCCTGGCCGCCTCCGGGATTGAGTGATTGCAGGCATGAAGTCGCAATCATTCGCAGGCCGACGGCCTTCAGAGGCAGAAGAACCCAGTCCGAGAACGTCAGATTGACCCATGATCCTAGCATCTCTGCTGGCTCTTCTGCAAGTTGGGTCACGCGATGCGTGCGTTTACGGCCTCGTCCCGGGCCGTGCGACCGCCTTTGCTGATGTTCGTCGCGGTTGTCCTGAGTCTCGGACGAGTGGTTCCGGCGGGTGCTCGCGACACCATTTTGGAGCTCTTCCGGCAGAGCAATCTCCAGGCTCACTACGCCAGAGCCTTCGTCGCGGGAGGCAATTCTTACGGTGGCGTCTCTCTCGTCATCGTGGTTCCGATTCGATTCGCTGGGAGAATGTGGCGATGTTGAGGACGCGTGCCTGGTATGAGCAGAAGGAGACCCAGGAGTCCGTACCTGTCCGCCTGCCTCGGCTGGTGTATGGGATCTCTGCTCGCCGCGTGTCTCGTGGACATCAGTATTCTGCCCGTCGCCATGGAGAGCAGTTCCGGTAGTTCCTGGTGCAGAGTCTACGCGCCAGCTCCAGTTAAGACAAGTAAAGAACCAGCTCGACCAGGCGTGGTCTGTTTGCTGGCTATCTGCGGCGTCTTTCTCGAGGAATCTGCGTCGTTCCGAGGCCTCGTCGGCGGTATATTGGTCCGGATTGTCGGGGGTGAGTATCCCTTTCTCTAGCGGCTCATACATGAAACGTTGAATGCTGGCCATCGACCGCCTCCACGCGATGACCAGAACTACCGGCGAGGTTGAGAGAGCGTTAAGCCAGCCCATCACATTGCCCATGCCTAAAGGCCTTGGGACCGCAACCGCCTGAAGGGGCGAGGATGCGGAGAATGGGTTGAAGGTTTGCAAGCGCGGCAGCAGCTGTGACGGCGGGGCCAAGAAGAGCCTCTGGTAGGCAGCATGGAGGACAATGGGTGCAAAAGCAACCTCGATGGATATAGCTATTCTGTATCGCGAGGCATGAGTTTCCAGCGGTTCCGAGCAGACATTCAACTCACAACTTGCGTATCCATGGCTTCCGCCGCGAAATAGCAACTCGGCTTTTTCGCGATAGGCTTGACCGGAACACAGCGTCGTCGATCAACGAGACCACAAAGGACGCCCACAGGTCCCCATCGTTCATGATCATGGAGATGAGCTGGGCTGGGAGCCCAGCAAACAGGAAGCCGGCGGGTCCTGCGGACGCAAGCTGAGCTCCGACCAGGTCCGAGAACGAAAGCTCAAGAGGATAGTCGTAAGTCTGGAGCAGGTCAGGAGCCAAGCCATGGATTCCTCTGGAGGTGACGTACAAGTACGCGGTCTTGCAAAGCACCCACCCACCAGGTGCCTGCATACCGCGTCAGAGTGCCGCAGATGGCGACCAGGGTGCCGCTGAGGTCCTCGGCCTCGACCTGCTTCGTGACACGGGGATCCTTGGGCGGGGGAAGAGGGAATCCGGCAATGTGGACGCGCTTGCGCTCAACGACGCCTACTGCGGCAAGAATGTCGTTCTGGGCATCTCTTAGGGCTCTGCCCAGGGCGCGGGCCCTTGGGTTGGCTGGATGGCCGCGTTCGTCATACTGAGCGGAGGTGCTTCCAGGAGCCGGAGGTGAGGCATGGTGGGGGGCCGGCTCTGGGGCTTCATGTGACGAGCGGCCCTTTGCGAAGCTGCGTCAGTCGACGCGACACATGCGAGGATCAAGACGCACAAGAACAAGCCTGGTCAGAAACACATCTCTGCCCATTCTGAGCGATGGTCAAGGCGGCGAAGGGGGTGGCGTTGCTGCCGAGCGCATGTCGTGGAGAATGCGCAAGAGGGCCCCCGGCAATGGGTGCGGGGAGGGACGAGCCAGAAGTCAGAGGTCAGAAGTCAGAGGTCGCGGTCGCGGTAGAGGTTAGAGATGCGAGGCGAGCGCGCGCTGATGCGAGACAGCAGGCGCAGGGTTTCCCGATGCAGCCTAGCGCATGCCTTATCGATAGCCAGACGTCGAAAAAGTTGCGACGCCTGGGCGGCCGCCAGCCTCAATCTCCCCACACCCATTCCCCTCCTTCGATCAAGCTGAGCCATGGCGCAGAGGGCTGCTGTGAAGACCACTTTTGAGGTCAGCCGGACCATCCAGCCCGTCTACGTGGGTGGCAGCGTGGGCCTCAGCCGCAATGGCCGCATCCTGGCGACTTGTCTGGGCGAGGACGCGCTCTTGACCGACCTTGCCACGGGCACTGAACTTGCCCGCATAGAAGGCGTACGTCCACGAGTCTGCCGGCAGAATACACCCTCTGTATCTGACATTGACGTGCAGAACAGGACGGAGAGGTCATCACTTCGCTCTGCTTGACCCCCACCGGCTCCCACCTCGTAATATGCTCGCGCTCGCTTTCTATGCGCATCTACGCCCTGAAGCCGTCCGGCGCTGCCGACGTCCTCATCGACGCTGACCTCACCCGTACCCTCAAGCCGCATTCCTCCCCCGTCGTCGTGTCGACCACCGACCGCACCGGCACTCTTCTCGCGACTGGAGGCGCCGACGGGACGGTCAAGGTGTGGGACATCCGGGGCGGCTACACCACTCACAACTTCCATGGCCACAGTGGCGTCATCGCTTCGCTGCACTTTTTCGAGGCGCACGTCTCAAACGCGGAGCCAGACAAGGCCGGCAAGAAGAAGAGAAAGGAAGACGCGGCCGAGGAGAACGGAGACGCTGCCATTGGCTACAGATTGGCGTCTGGTGGGGAGGACGGAAAGGTCCGCATCTGGGATTTGCACAAGCGCAAGAGCATTGTTGCTCTGGACTCCCACGTTTCTGTCGTGCGAAGTCTCGATTTTTCCGCAGAGGAGAATGCTTTGGTGTCTGGAAGTAGGGACAAGACGGTAATGGTCTGGGACGCTCGCACCTGGAAAGTCAGGAGTACGATCCCCGTTCTTGAGGAGGTCGAGAGCGCTGGCTTCGTGCAAAATGGTGCATACATCTACACTGGTGGCGCCAACGGAAAGATTCGGTTATGGACGCTTTCTGGAGGAAGAGAGGTTACCGAGGATCAAGAGCCGGGCAACGAGACCGAAGGTATTGTCGACGTTATTAACCACGAGGGTCTCCCGTACATCTTGACCGTCCATGCGGATCAGACTCTTGTCCTCCATTCAAAGGCTCCGCTGGCGCAGATTGGCAGCGCCGAGACTGCCGCACCGCTTCCTGTCCTTAGGCGGATATCCGGCACCCACGACGAGGTCATCGATCTGGCTTATGTTGGTCCCGACCGTTCATTCCTAGCCTTGGCGACAAACGTCGAGGATATCAGGATAATATCTCTGAAATCGCAAGAAGCGGACGCGGACGACCAGATTGGCGGCGGTTACTTTGGTGCTGACAAGGGTCTGCTTAAGGGGCACGAGGACATCATCATTTGCCTGGATGTTGATTGGTCAGGCCACTGGTTGGCCACTGGAGCGAAAGACAACACTGCTCGTCTTTGGCGACTGGATCCAGAAGACGATGCATGGAATTGCTACGCCACCTTCACCGGCCACGCGGAATCTCTTGGCGCCATTGCTTTACCCAAGACGGTTCCGCAGGTTGGCTCTGCAGCACATTCCAATCCCCTGGAGCATCCGCCTGCTTTCATCATCACCGGTTCGCAAGACAAAACCATCAAGCGATGGGATACTTCGAGCATCAAGAAAGACGTCAAAAAGGCTTCGCGCGCAACGTGGACTCGCAAGGCCCACGACAAGGACATCAACGCAGTCGACATCAACCACAACGCGACACTCTTTGCCACTGCCTCGCAGGACAGGACCGTCAAAATCTGGTCAGTTGAGGCTGGAGAGACCATCGGTGTGCTTCGGGGTCATCGTCGCGGTGTGTGGACTGTGAAATTTGCGCCAAGGGATACGCCACAAATCAACGGGGGCGGCAATCGCGGTCTGATCGCTACAGGTTCCGGTGACAAGACAGTCAAAATCTGGAGTTTGGCGGATTACAGCTGTCTACTGACCCTAGAAGGCCACACAAACAGCATTCTGAAGCTAGCATGGCTCCCTTACCTTCAGGCCAGCGATTCCCGTGATAAGCGTGGAGCGGAGGTCGCATCTGCTGCTGGTGATGGTCTGGTCAAGGTCTGGGACATCAGCACTGGCGAGGTATCATGCACGTTGGACAATCACACTGACAGGGTATGGGCCTTGACTGTCAATCCCTCGACCAAGACGCTCGTCTCAGGTGGCGGCGACAGTGTGATTACCTTCTGGGAGGACACGACCGAAGCTTCCATGGAAGCTGCTGCCAAGGGCGAGGCAGAACGCGTGGAGCAAGACCAGCGACTGCAGAACTACATGCATGCGGGCAACTGGCGCGAAGCAATTACTCTGGCGATTCAACTCAACCAGCCTGGCCGCTTGCTCAACCTGTTCAAGGGCGTAGTGGAAGCAGAGGAGCAAGAGAAGGGCAGTCTAACAGGAAACGTGGAGGTCGATGAGGTTTTGGGAAGCTTGGCGGACGAGCAGATCCTAACTCTACTCCTACGGATCAGAGACTGGAACACCAATGCAAGGACGGCGCCTGTTGCGCAGAAAATCCTCTGGGCGCTCATGCGATTGTACCCGGCGACGAGGCTCTCATCGCTGAAGGCCGTTGGTGGCCTTCAGTCGAAGAGCAGTGTGAAAGAAGTCGTGGATGCTCTGGGAGCCTATACGGACAGGCACTACAAACGCATGGATGAGCTTGTTGATGAAAGTTATCTGCTCGATTTCACGCTCAGGGAGATGGATGAGGTTGTGAGAAACTGAGATGGGGCGAGCAGAAGGGATCATTCACGGCATGTTCGGAAATTGGCGTTTTGGAGTGTGAATGCGCAGCAAGAGAAGAAATCTCCTATAGCTGTACGATTGTTGGGACTGATAGTGCTGTGTATTGAACAATCCCCCACATCTACTTTATTCAGTTGCAGTCGAACATCTTGGTAGTGCTTACATTTATCCGGCTCCACTTCCTTCCAGTTCGAATACTGTTGACGAACTGCATAGGCCAGTAAACATGGTAGAGCCACCACCACGGCAACGGATCCCACACCTCGAAAGTGCCGTCCTTCCAGAACAGAATGTGTTCGATGAATTCACGAACGGATTTCGCCGTCTCGATGACTGGAGCCTGGCCTGTCAGCGTCGACAGGACTGGCAGCAGGAATAGCTGCACCAGATCGTGTCCGACCCAGTAGTACTTGAGAGGCTGCTTCGGCGTTACGATGTCCTTCGTCGACGGGTCGTCCCGGAGAACGGCAAGATACTCGTCGGCGAGCTCCATGGAGCCATCGAGCAGCACGTCCGCCGTATGAGCACGCGGGTTACACTCGATCGGATACAAGGCGATGCTTTCCGGGTCCGTTTTCTCGACATCCTCATCCTTGACGAGGAAGTCGAAGCTCAAGTGGCCGGTGAAGGCCTCGCCGCCGGGCTCAGTCTGCCTCTCTGTAAAGGCCAACATCGCGCGCGACAGCGGTGAATCCGCCGGTAGGGCGCGGTAGTGCATCAGCAACTCGGCCGACGGGCACGCCAGGAACGCACGCACGCGGCCACGCACCACGAGGGCGTGTGTGCAGAACTCGTGGCCCCTCACGAACTCTTGCACGATCCACGGCCGCTCCTTGCTCACGCCGAGCCGGGCGACGTGCTCGCGCGTCTCACGCTCCGTCGCGCGCGGCAGAAGCGTCAGGTCGCCGCGGCTCTTGTCGTCCATGCCGACGCTCTTCGCGATGAACCTCCTGCCGCCGCACCCTCCCTCCTTCTCGCGCCGGCGGGCGGACAGGCCCACGCACCGCCGCAGGGCCGCCACCATGGCGTCGGCGCTCTCCACCTTGCGCGTCTCGGGCACGCGCAGGGCGAGCCGCCGCGTGCGCTCCATGAAGGCGTCCTTTTCGTGCAGGTCGCGCACGTCGGCGACGCCGAACTGGACGACGCGGCAGCGCGTGCGCTTGGCCACGACCTCGGCCGCGACGCCGTCCTCGAGGGCGGACGCGACGCCCGAGCAGCTGATCCAGAGCGCGCAGCGCTCCGCCCCGATGACGCGCAGCAGCGAGGTGATGTACGGGTCCGCGTCGCCCGCGGCCGTGGGCGGCGACAGGACGTAGAAGCGCGAGAGCGAGCGCGACGCCCGCCCGCACGCCAGCGGATGGAAGTCGGCGCCGATGATGCGGTGCGAGGGGTTGTGGGCGTGCAGCAGACGGGTGAGGACGAGGGCTTTGGTCATGGAGACGCCGGTTACGAGGATGGTTTGTCCGCCATTGTCACCGCGATGGCCGCCGCCACCGTTGGTGATGGCGTCCTTTGTGACATTCGCGCCGCCGTTTTTGCGGGAGGCAGCGCGGAGAAAGGGCCGAAGGGCGTAGGCGGCGAAGAAGAGGAAGGTATCGAAGGGAAGAAAGATGAAGCTCAGAAGAATGAGGAGGAGGTTTTTTGGCCAGTGGCTGTAGAGCAGAGACGGCATGGTGACGCTGCCCGTGGCGCGAGGGATTGGTCGACCGCAAAGGTGCGGAAGGGAATTCGAGTGTTGTTTAGCGTCGAGAGAGACGATCGGACGATGGAAAGTTCGCGGACTGGCTGAAGTGCTTGTGTTACGTGAAAGGATCATGAATGCAGTCTTCACTACGTCATGGATACGCTGTTTTGGGCGTTATGCTCATCGCCACCAGTTTCACTAGGACGGAGTAGCATCACGAGAGATTGCTGTGGGGAATATCATGGTAATTGATTGCGATGGAGAAAAGGTAGCCAAGTGCCCGCGAGGCAGCCCGTAGCTTCCGCAAGAGGAAAGCGGGGCAAACGCGCAGTCAGGTGATGCGTGGTCTCGTTCTGGTCGTGGCAGGAACAAGACTTCTTTCCCGACGCCCCGACAGCCCCGACAGCCCGCCACTGCCTCTGATCTAGCCCTGTACTCCGACGCATCGAGTAATCTCCACGCCATCCTATGCCGAGAATCAGTAACATTGTTCGATATGGCTCCCTGGAATGGTGACCATACCTTTTCACCGGTGGGTTCAAAGCTATTCACCAGTTTGCTCTCATAGACCAGGTTCGGGTTGCCCGTGCGGGTCGTGTCGAGCTTGGCTTCGCCTTCTCGTGCGACGTACTGTTTGGACGTCCGGTCTGTGAAACGCGTGTCGACGCCGTCCGCACCCACCGTGCCGTTGGCCGTGGCGGCTGTTCTCTTGCGCTCGACGCTGCTCCGGACATACTCAAGGTATGGCGGGTTGCCCGGTGTGATGACGTTGTCGGCGGCGAGAACAGAGCCCGGCGCGATTAGCTTGAGCTCTTCGCACAGCTTCAAGTCGGTCGTGTACGCGGGCTTGTAGTGGTCGAGGAACATGAGGTCGATATGCTGCAGCTCGCCCGCCGCATGCAGCCTCTTTATCGAGGCCTCGCTCGAGCCAACGATCACCTTGACAACGTCGCTCAGGCCCGCAAGATCCACCAGCGACGCAATGACGGCAGCGAACTCAGGATTGCGCTCGAGGCTGAGGTAGCGCTTTCCGCCGGCTTTGCGCACAGCATCGCCGAAGAGGATGCACGAGTAGCCGACGTAGCCTCCCAGTTCCACCTGTCGTCCGGTCAGAACCACCCAGCCTGGAGTAACAGCACTCTGCGGGGACGACTTACCATGAGCTTGGGCTTGACCTCGGCAATCAAGTCGGTCACTATCCTGCCCTTGTCCTCGCCGACGTTCATGAGATACCTGGTGCGGGCAAAGTCATCAATGGCGGCCAGGACGCGCGCCGGAGAGCCGCGGATCTCGTCGATGTTTGGTCTGCCATAGACAAAGTGCAGCAGTTCGATCTCGCGGCCGTCGTCGAAGAAAACCTCCTCCTTCTTGGCGTACGCCTTGTTCTCGTCGAATTGCGCCATGGCTGCGGGGAGTGGGGAGCAGCGAGGGCGGGCGCCGCTGTTTTAAAGACGACGAGCGGCGGGAATACTTGCTCCACCCGCAACGGGCAACTCGGGCAATGGAATCCGAATTGCTTTGCCGGCGGCCCGGAGGGGACTACTTCAGCGGAAAATGGAGACGAGATGCTCGAACCGGCAGGCGAGGGGAGCGGCGGACTGAGAGGGCATGGCAGCTGGGCAGTGCGAGGGCCAAAAAGACGGCCGCGTCGCGGGCGCGGGCGCGGGAGACGCGTCGACCTGGAGCTCGTGTGGGGGAGGGGCAGAGCGCAAAGGCCCCGGCCGGTTCAGGAACCCGATGCGCATGAGAGATCTGGCGCTACGCGATTTCACCATGGCCCGAGGCCCCTTGTGGCAGCGTTGGACGCCGCCAGTCCCGCCATGCCCGAGGCGATCAGCAGCCCGCCCCTCCGCTTCCGGCAACGGAGCGGGCGCGCTAGGCGGAGCACCGGGCGCGCTAGGTGCCGTGGCCCACTCCCCCAGCGTCCCAGAAAGCGCGCTTTCGTCCCAGGTCTTCGATGTAAACATCATCATTGAAACCGCACTTCTTCCTTTCCCACTGGGACCCACCCGCATCATGCGCCTTGCCGCCCTCCTCCCGCGAATGGCGTGACACTAGGATCTCAGAGTCCGATCCGCCGCAACCAGATCTGTGGGCTGGTTGCGCCTGCACTGACGACATGCCCAGGCCCCCGTGCCACTGCCAGCCGTGCTCTCCTACATCATGACTTGCTCCACCATGTGTGTCCGGCTCATGCTAATGCGCTTGCGGCTTCGCACACCTGAAGCATTTTCGTTTTTTGTATGCGCTATGCAGCCGAATCCTGCTTCCACTCCATGGCGACATCGTCATCCCGCGACGGTACCTTGCTGCGCCCTGCCGCGACCAATCATTGCCCAACGGAGCTATGCCTACCGTTTCTGTGACCGCTCCTTGTTATTCACGCGCTGCGTTTCTGCATGTATCCGGTACGGACGAGCGCGTGTCCAAAACGGGCCGTCCGCCTGGCGTGGAGGGGTACAAGAAGCGACAAGTTTCCGGTAGACTGCCCCTCCTCAGTCCTTGCAACACCAATTGATGCTTTGACTCTGTTCTCTTGCTCTTTTACCACTTCCCCTTCAACATGTCGGACATGAAAGCAACCGTTGCCGAGACCTCGGCTGGATTCCACGTCCAGGGGTGGGAGAAGATCGAATATGACTTCACCTTCCTAGACGGCGTCTTCGACCCTCGCAACAGCCAGCTGGCTGGCTGCTACGAGCGTTGGGGTCGCTGTCTCGCCGTCATGGATTTCAACATATTTGAAATCTACGGCACGCAGATGCAGCAGTATTTCGACCATTACAACATTGATCTCAAGCTCCACAAGACCATGATCGGCGAGAAGGCAAAGTCAATCGACACCTTCCTGAGCATCGCCGACTCGATGACGGACTTCGGTATCATGCGCAAGGTACGTGCCGATGTGGAAAGCGAAGTCGATGCTGTGGTTGCTAATGTTTCGGTAGGAGCCTGTGTTGGTTGTTGGAGGTGGATTGGTCACGGACGTGGCCGGGTATGATAGTCCCCAGTCGATGCTGGTGCCGGCTCAGTTGACCAATGTCCTACTACAGGTTCGCCTGCGCCGCATACCGCAGAAACACCAACTTCATCCGCATTCCTACGACGGTCATTGGTCTCATTGACGCATCTGTTTCGATCAAGGTTGCCGTCAACTACGGGAACTACAAGAACAGACTTGGTGCTTACCATGCCCCCATGCACACCTTCCTCGACTTCAACTTCCTGCGGACCCTGCCGAAAGCCCAAGTGCGGAACGGCTTCGCGGAGCTGATCAAGATCTCGACCTGCGCACACCTCGAAACCTTTGACTTGTTAGATGAGTATTGCGAGCAGCTTATCAACACCGGCTTCGGTCGTGCGGACGGCGCTCCTGCGGAGATCAAGGCGGCTGCAGACAAGATCAATCGGGCAGGCATCTACGAGATGCTGAAGCTCGAGACTCCCAATCTGCACGAGATCGGACTGGACAGAGTAATTGCCTATGGACATACGTGAGTCGCTCGTCAAGTGTCGGTGGCCATCATCTGCTGACCTCACTAGGTGGTCCCCGCTGCACGAGCTGGTCCCTGAAGTGCCCCTCCGCCACGGACATGCCATCTCGATTGACATGGCGTACTCTGCTACGCTAGCAAACATGCGGGGCCAGCTCAGTGACGGCGAGTACCGGAGGATCTTGAACCTCTTCTCGCGAGCAGGGCTGTCGATGGATCACGCACAGTTCGACGAAGAGATCCTCGACAGGGGTACCAAGGCCATCTTGAAGACGCGGGACGGCAAGCTTCGGGCAGCGATCCCCAGCCCTCTGGGTAACTGTGTGTTCTTGAACGACGTGTCGTACGAGGAGATGGTCAAGGCGCTGCACCTGCACAAGCAGATGATGAAGGAGTACCCGCGCCAGGGCGAGGGGCTCGAGGCGTACGTCGACTCGAGCGACACGGGTTACACGCTCAACGGCGCGGCAGTCGAGGGCAAGCCGGCCAATGGGGCGGCGGGCGTGAAGAAGGCGGTCGTGAAGGACGACACAGCGGACGGGATCGCTAGCGGGGGGCCTGTGCAGAACGGGCACACGAGCAAAGCGGCGACGGCGGTGCGCAATGCGGCTAGATGTGACGGCATCCACGCCAACGGCAATGGGCACAGCCACTAGGGCGCGGCAGGGTGCATGGGGTGCATGGGGTGCATGGTTCTGGTGGCCAGAGAGGGCAACGGCAAATGAAGCGGTCGCGAGAGGCATTTCGGTTGTCCCGAAACAGCAGCAGCTAGTAATGCAAGCATGCCACACCGGCAACAGTCATCTCCGCGTGCCGCGAGGGTGGGCCTCAGTATCTGTCATCGGCGAAGATGCGATCAGCGATTGCCGGGCGCCGGTCGCGGGCGCTGGGCGCGGGCGTTGGGCGCGGGCTCTCGCTCTCACCCCATCGCTAGTACTAGGTAGCTGTCACGGGAGATTGACCTGTGCATGAGGTGGTGGTGCGGCAGCTCCTTCCGAGCAGCCTCTGGGCCCTCGGGTGTCCCTTGCGGCCGTTGGCTGCGGAGAGCGCAGGCCTGGCGGCCCCGGCGCCGTGCGATGCCTGCTGCAGCGAGTCGCCAGGCAACCGGCCTCGCGTGAACTGGGCTGTGATTCGGCGCGGCCGGCTTTGTGGGGGAGATCACTTGTGGGTGCGCCGCGGCCGGGAGCCCCTGAGAGGCGGCCGTCCAGCCAGTCCCGGCGCGGCGGACCACGACAATGCTGATGCTGGCCTGTCGCTGCCGCCGTGCCCGGCCGTGCCAGGCCGTGCCAGCGCGCGTGCCCTGTGCCTGTGCCCTGTGCGCGTCCGGGCTACTGCCTCTCTGCTCGCTGCACTCAAGGAGAGCGCGTCTCCACCAGACGGACGCCGAAACCACCTGGACGAGCCTTCTCCAACGCATCGCATGGCCCTTGCAGCCCGTTGATCCAGCAACCGTCCAGCAACGCGCCAGCACAGCCCGCCGCCCATGGCCGCAGAGCCAACCCACCAGGGTACCGCCAACTGACCAGCTCCGCCTCCGTCACCGCACATCGGCGCCAGGCCGCGCGCTGTGATTGCGCCGACTAAGCAGCCCGACCCGCCCACCATGGCCACCACCACAACCACCACGCTGCCGCGTCCCATGAACCCTCCCACCGGCCCACTGCCCGCCCTGCCAGTCCCCAAAACGCGGCGCCCTGCAACTGCCCGTTCCGGCCCGTCCAGCCCGTCCAGCCCGGAGCGCCGCATCTCCACCGCCTCCAGCTCGTCGCTCTCGCGCCCACCGCCCTCGCCCGCCGCCGCCGCCCGCACCTCCTCGTCGTCGCTCCCCATGAGGCCGCAGAGCAAGCACGCCAATTCCGCCACCGCCGTGCCCCAGGCCCAGCCGCCCGCCGCGCACGCCGGTGGCCCGTCGCCGCACAAGACGCTGCGCAAGACGATCAGCATAGGCTCGTTCCCGCAGCCGCCCAAGAACAGCCGCCTGAGCCACCCCTCGAGTCCGCTGTCCGCCGCCACCACCCCCGACGGCATCACCACCGACCGCAGAGGCTCGGCCGGCTCGCTGAGCGTGCCCGCCGGCGCCTTGCGCAAGCGGCCCAGCGTCAAGGGCCGCGGCCCGCTGGCCATCAAATCGCCTCTCACGTCGCCGAGCGCCTTGACCGAGTTCTCGCCCACGGAGAGCCGGAGCTCGTCGGCCAACGGCTCCTACTCGACCGGAATCGAAGACATGGGCGGCGACGACAAGGGCAGCAAGTCTCCCTCGTCGGACAATGATTCGGGAAAGGACGTCAAGGGCAACGTCATCGTGAGCGTCCGAGTGCGCCCCAATGCCTCAACCAACGAGAATTCAGGTCTGCAAGATTGGGATCTCGATGGCCGGCGCGGCACAATTGAATATAGGGGAAAAGATGGTGGTACTTTTCAAAGCGGTACGTGCGCCGTCTCGGGTCTTGGAGTGGCACAGATCGGCTGACACCTCGCAGACAACGTGTTTTCGACCCAGGACAACAACGCCAGGGTGTACGATGCAGCAGCAAAACGATTGGTGCGTAGGGTGATGGAAGGTTATCACGGAACCGTATTCGCCTACGGAATGACCGGCACCGGAAAGACGTTTTCTATGCAGGGAACAGCAACGTCGCCCGGTGTGATCCCGCTGGCTATCACCGACATTTTCTCCTTCATCCGCGAGACGCCCAAGCGGGAGTTCTTACTCCGGGTCAGCTACCTGGAAATCTACAACGAAAGGATCCACGATCTCCTATCAGATCCGCCTCCGACGGGGCCAGGCGCACAGGCCATCCAGCAAGAAGAGATCAAGCTGAGGGAGGACAGCAAGCGTGGCGTATACGCCACCCCGCTGAAGGAAGAAATCGTCCAAAGCCCAACTCAGCTGCTTCGCGTCATTGCAAGAGGCGACAACAACAGGCGGGTTGCGGGAACTCAGTTCAACGCCCGCAGCTCGCGAAGTCACGCTGTTGTCCAGATCGTCGTCGAGAGCCGTGAGCGCGTGCCTGGCGGCGTCGCACTTCAGGATACCAAACGGACTGCCATTGCTCCCGGTGGCGTCCGTGTCTCCACTTTGAGCTTGATCGATCTGGCTGGATCGGAGAAAGCAGCTGAAGATAAGGAGAGAAGGACTGAGGGTGCTCACATCAACAAAAGTTTGCTTACTCTTGGTACCGTGATTGCACGCCTGTCCGAGGCAAAGGAGAAGAAGGGAGCAGACAAGGACAAACACTTGCCTTACCGTGACAGCAAACTGACGCGCTTGCTACAACCAGCCTTGTCTGGAGGCTCACTTGTCAGCATCCTGTGCACGATATCGATTGGGTCCACCGGAACTGCCGCCTCCATCGCGACGCATGTCAACGAAACCCTGAACACTCTGAAATTCGCGTCTCGTGCGAAGAACAACATCGTAAGTCATGCGAAGAAGGCGGAAGAGGCAGCTCCTGGCGGAGGCGATGCCGGCAGTCGTGCTCTTCTGGACCGATACCGCATGGAAATCCAGGAGCTCCGCAAGCAACTGGACACCAAGACGAAAGAGGAGGTCCCGGTTGTCAAAGATGTCGATATGGAGGAGGAGAGAGCGCGGGAAGCCGAAGCCGCGGCAAGGCACGAAGAGCAGATGTTGGAAATGCAGCTTGCGCGCACGGCCCTGAAGGAGCGCATCGAGCACCTCAACCGGCTCATTCTCAGCTCCAAGTCAATCGGCGTCAACTCGGGCCGGTCGTTTTCATCCATGGGCTTCCAATACCGCAACTCGATCATGAGTAATAGTGAACCTCACACGGTGTCGGCCCGAACCTCGACAGCAACGCTGGAGGTGCCGCACTTCAACAGAATGTCATCAGGAGGGCCCGGGACGACGCCATTCCCTCCATACACACCTCAGACGCCAGGGCTGCCGTCAGACCATACTTCGGAGGAAGACGATTCGATTGGAGAAAACGGTGACGGCACAGCGACCGAAAGCGCGCGGGTTCGGGCTCTTCAAGCGGATCTCGAGGACAAGAACCGCTACATCGCCACGCTGGAGAAGCGGCTCCTCCAAGCGCGGAGATCCAGCCACTCGCGCGTGTCGATGGCGCTGGCGGCGTCAGTGCACTCGGCCGAGGAGGGCGGGGTGGAGGCGCTGATGAAGGAGAAGGACGACGAGATTGCGGACCTCAGGGCGCGGCTGGACGACAAGGATCGAATGCTGACGGCACTGCGGTCGGCGGCGAGGAAGCGGGACGTGGCGGATCTCACCATCGACACGTCGATCGAGCGTCAAGCATCGATGGACCGGCGAGCGTCGCTGGGGCCTCGCACGCCCGGGCATCGGAGCAGGGGGAGCACGGGGTCGTCGTACCTGACGCGGCAGTCGGCAGCCAGCCCGATTGCACTGCTGTCGCCGCGGTCAGAAAAGAGGTCGCGGGAGGTGGAGGACATTACCAGGATGCTGGACAACATGATATCGGAGCAGGGCGAGCCGGGACAGCGACCGGGGCACGCGCGGAGGACGAGCATCGCCAGGATGGCACTCGAGGGCCGGGGGACGTCGTGAGGAGGGGTTGGTGTGGATTTGGGGTCGGCGTCGACGTTCATGCGGCGCATCTGGTCTTTTTTGCTTTCTGTCGCCTAGATACCCTGGTCGCCGTCCGATTGGACGGGCACTGTCGCATTTCATTCTTAGGGCTGTTATACACGCGTTTCACGACGGGGCAGGGCGCGGAGGGGCGTGGCGCGGAGGGGAGGCGTGGAGGCGTGGAGGCGGCCTGTGTAGCTTTTAACAATGGAGAGCTCGCGAGGGCGGGGTCGGCTGCAACAGACGTGTGACGCGGGTTGCGTGTGCGGCCGTCTTGGGCTGGTTTCACCGCGGCAGCGCAGGCGAGGGCGGCGGCTGCATGTAACAGCCCCTACGCGAGCGGCGGTCCGGGCGCAGCGCCACCACCTGCTCTACTACCTACATACCTGCACGCCATGCTCCCTCCCTCGGCCTGACGCTCCTTTGCCCTCCCTGCCCTGCGCTGCTCCCCGCTGCTCCCCGCTGCTCCCCGCTGCTCCCCGCTGCTCCACGCTGTCCGGACGCCTCCATGCACGCGTGTCACTGACTGTCTCAGCGTCCTCAGCTTCCGCCCCAGCCAGGTGCTGCCGCTCTCTTCGTCCCTCCCTTTGCCAGCCCGCCCTGCCGGTCAGCGCGCATTAGCTCCGCACCCGCTCTCCAACTGCAACCAATCCGCATTTTTGGTCCCGCCTTCCTCTGTCCGGCCCAGAGAGACTCACGCTGGCGTCCGTCATGCTTATCCCCTCTCCCCACTCGCCCAGAATGCACGCCCGAAAGAACCACCACCTCTCCATCAACTCGCCGGGCTCCTCTGCCCTCCCGCCGACCGGCCTCTTGACCCCGCGGACCCCCCGCTCAGCCCGCGCCGACCCTCTGCGCGACCCGCTGCTGTTCTCGCGCTCGCCCCCGCCCTCGCCGGGCCTGCCGCCCGCCCACCCAAAGGACTGGGGGAGATCGGTTCCCAGCTGTTCGCGCCTGCTCCGCAAGCTCCTCGTCGTCTTCTGCGGCGTCGTCTTCTTGGGATGGCTCGGCGCGCGTCATTGGTGGCACTTGTCCGGCGGCCCTCACGGCATCTCCTACCAGGCCCCGGACGGCTCCGAGTACGAGATGGTCGGTGACAGCCTGCTGCCGGACGAGCCGTCGGTCGTGGCCATGACGGACCAGAAGGGCAGGACCAGATGGACCGTTTCCATCCCCGCAGACTCGCCCTTCCCGCTCGTTCCAGCCCAGTACAGGGACTTGTGCGACCAGGCCAAGGAAGTCGCCGCTTCGATCCACGGCAAAGGCTCCCACCACAGGGGCTACTACTACGTCGACCCCACCTATATCGACGTCCACCACGCCGTCGAGCAGGGCCTGCTCCCAGACCCCAAGGAAAGTGCGAAGATGGTGTCTGCGGTGGGCTTGGATGATAGTCTCATGGGAGCGGGCAACGTGTACGGCGGCGAGAAAATGGACATCTGCGAGACCAGCATGACCTTCGTCATGGAGACTTCCGACGCCGGTCTGGGAAAGACCCTGATGGCCATGTGGATGGCGTATGGGCTTGCTCGTCTGGAGGGCAGGGCCTTCTTCATTGACGATACGAGATGGTACGCCAGCATGCGCTAACGTTGGTTGCGATTCATGTCACTGATCTTATGCAGGCCCTACGGGAGCTACGCGAGCTATTTTAAGCCTCCTCCGACCCCGTCCTGCCTACCGCCAATGACAAGCCAGGTTGTTCCCTGCCCCCACCAGGCCAAGCACTTGATGGTCTCGGCCGCCACCATCTCCACCACTTTCGGCCACGGTTTTGTCGAAGAGTACGAGGATCCCCGCAAGATGCAGGTTCAGCGACAGCACAAGATTTTCGGCATGCTTCGGGACGGCTACGAGGCTCTCTTCCGCCTGCACGACGAGGACGCCAACTACGTTCTGGAGCGGACCCGCACCCTCTACGAGCCTGTCATCGAAAAGGGCGGCGTCAACATCGGGCTGCACGTGCGCCGTGGAGACCGCCATCCCTTCGAGTACCAGTATTCCAAGGATTATATCCCTTTGGACCGCTTCATGCAAGGCGTGCAATACCTCATCGCCGAGCACTACGGCCCGTCCCTGCCTGGGAACAGGACCGACGGCGCCAAGGTCGGACGCGATGCTCGCAACGGTCCGGCAGAGTCCATGCACACTCCGGCCGCCGCCGTGAGCCAAGAGGATCAACCGGATCTCCTGGCCGTGACTTCGTCCCAAGCCGTGCTGGCATCCGACGACCCGGACGTCTACACGGCCTCGGAGATGGCGGGCGTCGCGCGTGCGCAGGATCGCATCGTGCTGGCCAGCAAGAAGACGCTGGAGGCGTCGGGCGCCAAGAACAAGAACCGCTACATCGACGAGGTCTCGGGCTGGGAGGGTGGCTTCTTCCGCGACGTCTTCTGGTCGCTCGGCCGCTCCAACGCGAACAACGCCGGCGCCGCGGGCGACCACCGGAGCGACGAGCCGAACGAGGCGGCGCTGAAGATGCGCGAGCTCGTCGGCCGCGCCTACCTCCTCGACCTGGCTGTGGTGGCCAAGGCGGACTCGGTCATGTGCACGCTGAGCGCGACCGGGTGCAGGCTCCTGGCCGTGATGATGGGCTGGGAGCAGGCCATCGAGCAAGGCGCGTGGAAAAACATTGACGGCGAGTTCCACTGGCGCGGCATAGATTGGTGATCTGCGACTTGCGGACACGTGGAGGGCCGAGTCGCCGTGGTGAAGGAGGAAAAGGAAGGAGAAAACGAGTGGAGGATTCAGGGTCTGCTTTTGATCCTTTTGCTGCATCATTATACCATTTGCTGGGGCGCGCGGGCATATACACATAGCGTTGCATTGCAGGCGTTTCTTTTTTTTTTCTTTTTACACTTTTGTTCTGCCCTGGACCGGCCGGATATACAACCACTACTATTTCTTACGCTCGTTCAGAACCTCATTCTGTGCAGGGAAGGGAGAAACACAATCACAAGAATTGCACAATCTACTGTTATTACCCTGACCCCGTTATCTTCGGCACCGTTTGTTTCGGGTGTTTGCTCTTGTGGATCCGGACTTTCCAAGGTTTGATGATGGTTACACCTGAGCTCATGGGTCTGCCACCTTGGCCTCATTACCAAGCATTCCTCCGGCAGAGAACCGGGCCACAGGACACCCAGGAGTTCGAGAGTTCGTCTTTCTTGTAATCCGACTTTCTCGTTTTTTTCGTATAGTTGCGTGAATCATTGGATGAAAGAACGAAAATGCGTGGCATTGTAATATTAGTCCCTTCTCTTCAACTCTTCTAATTGCTAGTTGATCTTACAACCGGCCCCTCAAAATAAATAACAAATGGTTCTAACCTTCTTGAACTTGTTTTATGAGAGGCCTTAAAGGGAGTAGAAGCCAATATCCACAAGTCTTCACATATATATTTTAGGTCACATTTGCCTGCGGATGATTATTATTTTTTCGATCTCTGCGCCTGTTAGAACTTCTCGTGGAAGACAGGTATCGCGCTGTAAGGTCTAGCCTAAATCTGCTGAATCTGCATACTAAAGCAGTTGGTCTCGCTTGTTTCCTCTTGGTCGATTCCGATCATTTGCTTTTCCTCATGCATCTGCTTCCAGCTTGGCTCATAGAGGGCTTCTACAAAAAAAAAAAAATTCTACGCACCCTTCCCAACTCCCGCTGCTCATGCCTGTCATCCAGCATCGCCGTATGACCACCACCACCACCACGGCGGCGGCGGCGGCGCCGGCGGGCAGCAAGCAGCATTCCACCTGCTCAACCAAATTCCTCCCAACAAAGCCCTACGCCAACTTAACCTTCAACACCCCATCCATCGCATCCAACGCCCCCTGCACGAGCAAGCCCGCCACGTCCGTCGCCCACCCCTTCTTCTTTTTCTCGCCGTCCTCCTCCGCCGCCGCCAAGACGCGCGCAGCGACGGCCTCGCCGGTGCGGCCCCTCGTCGCCGCTTCCGCGAGCCTCTCGACGCCGGCGTCGTCGGCCAGCCTGTTCGTCCAGTCGAGGGCGGGGCGGCGGACGGCGCTGGCGAAGGCGTCGGCGACGGCCGTCCTGAGCGCCGCGAGCTCCTTGGCGGGGATGGCCTGCGACCACTTTGGCGGGGGCGGCGGCGGCGCCTTGGTCTTGACGAGGCGCGACGCCGCGTCGCACAGGCGGGCGGCGGCCTGCAGGAGCTCCGCGACGAGGAAGAGGGTTTGGATGTCGCGCTGCAGCGGCAGGAGGGGGAGACCGGCCTCGCTGCTCTGCTGCAGTGAGAGCGCCGCCAGCACGTCTTCCGCCGTGTCGTTGTTTCCGTGGACGAGGCCGGACACCCAGGCCTGCAAGTCGGCGACGGCGGCCGGGGCCTCGCCGATGTCGGTGCCGGTCAGGACCTTGCTGGCGAGGGCGCGCAGCTTGACCCAGCCGGGGATGAGGGCCTTCTCTGCGGGGGTGAGCTCCGCCAGGTCCGAGCTGGACGGATTGTTGGCGATCTTCTCGATGTCCGTGTCGGTGATGTTGATGCGGCGAGCGTGGTTGCTGTCGGGGCTCGACGACGAGGCGGACGACGAGATGACGGTACACGTGTCGTCGATGAGCAGGTGCAGCACAAGCCAGTACCGGCCCGGTGGTGGGCCAGTGGAGAGGAGGTGCTCGAAGCGCGGCGTCGCCGAGTGCTCGTAGTTCCACATGCGCTTCAGGTCACGGTTGTCGACAAGGCCGTCGAGGTCGTCATCTGCGATACCGTTATTACCCTTGAAATCCTGACGAGGTGCGGCATCTCTAAAGACGTACCTAGTATTTCGCAGTACATGTCATCGACAGGCTCGCCTCTGATGCGAAGTGTTCTGCGTCTTTCGATAACAGTGACTTTCCTGCTTAGACTCTTGGACAGGTTGTTCTTCAGCTCTTGGATTTCCAGCAGCCGATCGTACTGCAAAGCATCGATCTCAGCGCCAAGGAAAGCCTGGAGAGTATGTAGGATCTTATCGGACGTCTGCAGGATCCTATCAAGCTGCGTCAGAGGGTCGGTGTTGGCTCGACCTTTCTGCTCTGAGCGATAGTAGAACGGATGAGTGATGGCCATCCGGGTGAACATGTGGTGGCTGAGTGTTTCCATCAGTATCTCCTTAACCTTTAGACTAGACCAGGCTTTCATGGCCTCGCTGAAGTTTCCCAGAAAAGCTGCGAGACGGGCTTGGAGAAGTGCAGCTTTACGGCTTTCTGGAGAGTGAGATAGCAATTCCTTCATAACAATCTCAGCCTGGACCAAATAGTCCAAGGATGACTCGAGGTAGAAGAGCTTGACCAAGGCCATCGTGGCAAGCGCACAAGCATCTTCACAAGTCGTGACATCCTTGCACTTGGCCAGTTGGTGAACATCGAGGGCCTTGATCACAAAATCCTCCAGCTGACCTTTAGCAGCTTTCTGATCCTCAGACAACGTCAGTTGATACTCCAGCTTCAAAACGTTCGCTTTTGTCCGGAGGGCTTGCGCCTGTTGCTTCGGGGCTCCGTCTTGGATCGTCTTGTCCTGATCGTCCGCCAAGCTGAAGCACCAATCCAGGAATTTCGACTGATGATCATTGTCGAGCCTCTGGATATAAGGCGAAATGTCCTCGAAGCAACACTGCTCCTTGGCAAAGACCATGACATAGGCAGTGCAGCTCTTGAGCAGCTCCTCGTCACCCTCGGAAGTTATTGATGCTTGCGGCAGCAGACGAACGCGAAGGTTGTCGTCAGTGTATCTGTCGTGGATTTCTTCGAGCAGTTTGTTCAGATCATCCACAAGCCCAGAATCCGAAGCCCTGACTCAGGTCAGCGCCGCGGGGGCGACGAAGTAATTGATAAGAACGCAGCAGACTTACGCTTGGCGCGTCAACTCGCGGTGTGAAAGGTGAAGTGCTCTCCACGGCGCGTAGTCGTAAGGCCAGAGAGAGTACGATGTCTTGGCAGCTTCGTCGGGGGTGTGGGTTTGCTTCAGAGCAGCAACGCAGAAATCCCACAGGTCTTGCCACATGGAAGCCTCTTCCAGGACCTCTAGCTTGGTGCGAACGAAAGAAAGGTCGCAAACCACCAGAGGCGAGAAAATGCCGACGATGGGATGGTCGAGGATTTCCAAGATTTCCTTCAGCATGCCCTGCTTCCGGTAGATCTGGAGTACGAGGCGGAGCTCGCGGCGGGTGGTCACGGCGTCGACCGTCTTCTCGGCCTTCATGCCTTTCGCGACGGCGACTGAAAGCGCCTTGGAAGCAAACATGCGCATGAATCGGGCGTTTCGGTCGTCCTTGCCGGCCAAGGCATCGCCCGCCAGCTGTTGGACAGCAGGAAGCGCGAATACGTACTGCTCGTCCTTGGGGAACTTGTTCTTGAGCGTGACCATGGCCTGCATGCGAAAAGTCAGCAAAGCGGTCATCAGACGAGACCCTGCATGCTGATTCTGACCACTTGAGCGTTCTGCCAATCATCCATAGAGGCGGCGCTCTCGAACCACGTGACTAGCACGTTGCCGTCGTTGGTGGCCTTGAAGGCATTCTGCCAGAGGGCCTTGCGCTGGTCGGCGGTGCTGGGGCGCTCGCCCAGGCGGAAGTAGACGGCCCTCAGCAGGTTCGGGTCAGTGATGGCGGGGGCGGACTCGCACAGGCGGGCCAGCTGGGCGAAAGCGTCGTCATCACGGCCGAATTTGAGGTAGACGGCAGCCTTCCAGTAGAGCAGGTAGGGGTCCTTGGGCCGCTTCTGGAGCTTCTTCTCGCACTCCTTGAGGGCCTGCTTGATGTTGGAGCCGGAGAAATGGACCTTGTCGTTGATGGCGGCCACGCTGAGGGAGGCCATTGCGGGCGGGGTGCGGCGGCCCGGGGGCGTGCGCCAAAAGCGAAAGGCTCGTGGGCGCTACGTGGGCGCAGACTGGGCTCCCGGTCCTGGATGGCGGGCGCTCACAGGCAACGGCCGAGGTGGAGGGGATGGGCTTGGCGAGAGCGGCGATGCGGTTAGGCGAGTTGGCCACGAGAAAATCGCGTCAATGCGACCTAGTCCGCTCGTGGTGGAGCACGCATGCCTCTTCGGGCCACCTCCTACTTTGTTCCAACGTCAACCCTTTTCCGCATGCTATCTACTGTGCCATTCCCGCAACCGTGTTTCGTTTCGCCACTCCGGCCCCGGCTACGTAAAACGCCTCTTTGTCACACGTGCTATCCCGCGTGCCCGCCACTTGCCCCCCCAGAGCGCTAGATGACCGGCCAGACTCGCAATTGCGCGCAATGTACCCTGCAGATGCTGAATTTCCCGTGATATTACAATAGTTTACACCGCCGGCACCGAGTGCTTCACCAGAACGATTTGCTCTCCTTCCGCTTGGCCTCCTTGCGTGCTTCCATCTGCGGCCAGGAAGGCGTGTGTCAGCTCGAGGGCGGCGCAGGAATGTAGAAGGCAGAGTCAGCAACGTACCCACTGCTTCTTGCAGTCGCGGTATGCCCTAGCAAAGCCGGGGTCAGCAGTCGTTGGCAGAGACGGGCGCTCTCGGTCTTGCGGGAAAAGCGTACTGGAAGTAGTCCGAGCACATTTCTCTGTCACCACCGTTGCGGTGGAGACAGCGCAAGCTCCTGGAAGCGGCCTCCTGGCACGGATCAAAGTACTGACTGTACTGCTTGCTGCGCGACGTGTCAGATCCAGGCGGTGGCGCAGCGAGGGCCGGGCCGGGGCAGGTGGTCCGGGGGAGGGAACGCTTACCCGTCGAACGTCGAGGCGGCGCTGTCGGTCCAGGGGTTCTCCGGCTTGCCGTCAGCAGCCATTGGGACGCGTGCGGGAGCTGGTGGGTGTGCGGGGTTGGGCGCGAGAGGGCGGCGCCATGGGGACGAGGTGCGGCGATGGGGGTGCGATGGACCGGCGATCAGCCGGGCTGCGAGCCCGTAATGCGCGTGTGTCAGCGCGTATTGAAGCTACCGACGCAGGGTGCATGTGCAGGCCGCCAGATTGATCGCTGTCCCGGCGGCTGGATGCATCTCATCATCATCACAGATCCGCGTGCCAACGGCGTAGCGAGCCAAGACGCCGGGCCAGCAGGGAAGCAGCGAGGCAGAGCCAGCCCTCGCTCTCTACGGATACTACGTACACAGTGCCATGGCGCGTCAGCAGCGGCCGGCACGCCTCAGCACGCCTCAGCACGCCTCAGCACGAACGTCACCGATAACACGCCGGGAGCACGCAGGGAGACAAGGCCGACGCTTGACGGTCGTGGCAGCATGAGCTGCATGCTAGTAGGAATAATGCCACCCGTTCGCAGCCGCCATCTCGTCCGCGTTGGGCCGCCGGGGAAGCCAGCACCGCCGTTTGCATGGCAATCCACGCGTTCCCGGTTTTGGCATGCGAATCCCGCCCAGCGCTCGTCCCAGCCTCGCCGCTGCTTCCAACGGTCTTCCATGCCGTCACGGTCCTAGCCCTCCACACCTCCCTGACGCACCTCCACTTTTTGCGCAGTGCGGCCACATCATGATGATCCGTCCGCACCGCCCGCCTGCCCTTCCCCTCCGGCCAGGCCACGCGCTGCTTCGTCCGCCGCGACCAGGCGGTGCAGGCGGTGCCGCGCGCCGTGTTGCCGCGTTTCCGTGACTAACGTGACCACGCTGCCGGCGCTGCACCTGGACCTGACGTGCGTGATGGCGGCCGCGGTCGCTAGGGCCTGGTCGCGACCTGCGAGGGCGGCGACGGCTGCGAGGGCTGCGACGGCGCGAGGGCGGCGAGGGCGGCGACGTCGGCCTTCCTGGAACAGAAGTCAATTCCCTCGCAGGGAGATCGTCCGCCGGGCCAGACGCTCGGTACCAGCGCACTCAGGAAACCCGCACCACGGAAGCTATAGTCATCATCGTGCCCAATGGCTGCGACAAGACGGTCCGATGGCCGCGATAAGCCATCTCGAGATAATGCGCATGCCCGTCCGCCGTGGCAGCACCGCGATAGAACGGGCGTTTACGATAACCGCTCCACATTTCGCTTGCGAAGATAGTGCTCCTGTCCGGGAAAGCGCCCATCAATGGCCACTGGCAGGGCGCCCGCTGAGTCGCGTCGGTGGACCGCTTGCCAGAATCCGTGTCTTGTCCAGTTTCGTATCATCCGGGGTCGATGCTCGTCCCAATCTGGCGCTTCATGAGAAGGGCCTTCTCAGAGATATAAAGACACCGAGTCGTCTGCCGTCCCCATATCCACCCCCATCAGCATCGACTTTAAACCCATTGTCTTGCCAAAGTCTCTTCTTGAGCACCATCGCCCATCACAGCTTCCTTGCTTCTTCCATCAAGATCATCCGTCTTGGCTCTTGTTCCCTCCACACGTGAATCACCTCCACCACATCGGCCACCAGGCTCTTGTCCTTCCATCACTCCCAACTCTTAATGTAGGCATCCCAACAGCGTAGCATTCGATATCTCTTTTGCACCTCCTCCGCTTCTCCTTCCATCCGTGTTGATCGACTCGCTGTCCACCCCTTATCGCAGCGCCAAGGCTGACTCTTTTAGCTCCAACATGGCAACCGTTGCTACTCAGCGTCCCACGACCCTGCCGCGTCCTTCCTTCAAGCCCATCATTCAGGATGCGGTTGCTGGGAAGAAGACCTCTGGCATCGAGTTCAACCCTTCAAAACACTTGGGCTACAAGGAGCCCGAGCAAATCTGGTCCATGGAGGACATCGGCTACTCCAAGGACCGCGGTGTCTCGCCCATCGCTGTCTCCCAGCCCTTCCAGCTCTTCACCGAGGAGGCCGTCCATGAAATGAGGAGAGAAATATTCAAGCCTGAGGTCCTGGAGCACTGCAAGTACAGCAGCAACATCGCCGCTTGCCAGCTCAGAGGCTACGCCCCCAAGTCAGTATATCTCCTGGACCTCGAACGTGCAGTTACTGATTCGAGTTTCAGATACGCCCCCTTCACCTGGGATGCCTGGAACCACCCCGACACACTCGCCGCCATCTCCAAGGTTGCCGGCGTTGACCTCGTCCCCGTCATGGACACCGAGGTCGCACATGTCAACTTCTCGGTCAAGTCCGAGAAGGAGACCAAGGAGGAGCTTGCAGTCATCAACAAGCAGAAGGAGTACTACGACGCGGACGAGGGCATCGCTGGCTGCCCCTGGGAGGATGACAAGCCGGTCGTTGGCTGGCACACCGACAGCTACCCCTTTGTATGCGTCCTGATGCTCAGCGACTGCACCAACATGGTTGGTGGCGAGACTGCCTTGAGGACTGGCCATGGCGATGTGATGAAGGTCCGCGGACCGACCATGGTAAGCCAACCCAAAGCACCACTGCATTGCACCGAGGTATACTGACACTTGCGACAGGGATGCGCCGCCATCTTGCAGGGTCGCTACATCACGCACCAGGCGCTTCGTGCTCTTGGTGCGCAGGAGCGCATCACTGCGGTGACTTCGTTCCGTCCTCGCTCGCCATTCGCGCGTGACGACTCGGTCCTCACCACTGTTCGGCCCATTTCTAACCTCTCAGCACTCTACTCCGAGTTCGCCGAGTACCGTCTCGCCATGGTCGAGGAGCGTGTGCGTGCACAGCTCAAGGAAGTGCGCGAGAAGAGCCGTGCCAGCAAGAAGTTTGCCACCAAGGACTTCAAGAAATTCCTGGCGGAGCAGATTGCCTTCCTTCAGCACATGCAGAACGAGATAGTGCCAGACGAAGAGGTGCGGATGGGTTACATCGAGGAGGTCGACCTCCCCGACTGCGTCGTCGGTGCAGACGAGGCGCCATCGCTCAAACGTACTCGTGTCGAATAAGCGGCCAGGACTTGTAGCGTTTGGCTTCTTCATGGCGGTCGGGTTACAGCGGAGCAGCTCATGGTTTTACGAGTCACGCAGCCTTTCGGGATATTTGCGCATTCGGGATAAAATGTGGTCGCTTAGGGGCAACTTGACAGGTTTTGTTGCACCGGGCAGGGCTGCGGGACTTTCGGCTTTCGCAGCCGCTTTGAAAGTGTTTTCTGTTTCTTTTTTGGCGCTTTGGAGTTCTCAGGAGTTGGTTCGGATGATGGTTGTTCGCCCGGGTCGCACACCTACTGCATCCAAACACTAGACATCGCTCATGGTCACGTAATGAATCGACTCTTTTGAAAGGACACGATGTTGTTGGAGACGAAACTAGCCCGCGTGCATAAGCTTGAGTAGGAACTGGACGGGAAGCCCTGCGAGCAGCGGCCTTGTGGCTGGGGACAAGATTGGTGCGGACGCATGTGCCCAAGCTCTTTTCCGATAGATACGACAGCGACGTAGCAAGATGCAGGCGGGCGAAACAACGGGACGGCGCAATCGAATGGAAAGCCATGACGTACTGGGAGTCATTCACCGGTCAGGCTTGCGACGCCTCAGCGGTGCTTCGTCGAGGGCGATAAGATAAGGAACAAACGACTGAAAGGGCGCGGAAGCGGGAGGGCGCCGGGAGTGAGGCTACGAGCCGGGCTGGTAGGGCCGTCAGTGGCTCGGCGGCGGCTGGGTATCGACGCGCGCGGCGCGGGCTCGTAGCGCCGGCGTGGCTGGAGACTTGCGGCGGAGCGCGTCTGCTGGTGCTGCGGACTGGCAGACAGCGAGCGTGGTGGTGAAGCGGCAGGCAGGGCGAGGGCAGAGAGCAGAGGGAGAAGCGGAGACGGGCTTGGCTCGAGGCGCGCTAGGCTCGCTCTCGTCAGTTGGCGCGAGCTGCCTACCGAGTGCCTGCCTTGCGCCATCTCCCGCGACAGCTTCACAGCTGCGCCCCAAGCATTCCCTTCTCGCCGCTAGCTGCCGCCGCTGCTGCCGGCCTCGTTGGGCAGCCAGGCAGACTTTTCCTCGCTGGCGCCACCCCGACGCTCCCAGCTCCATGATACGCCCGCATGGATCCAAACGACCACTTCCCCGCCCCGTCGCGCACCACGCGTCAGAAGACGCCTAATGACTCTGCGTCCACTGCCGCCGTCACCTCTGCCCCGTCCGCCTCCCGCTCGCCGCACGACATGGCGCCCCACAAACCCGGTGCCCAGCATGCTGCGAAGCATGCGAAAGGCACCGCGCCCGCGAGGCCGCCGTCCAAGCTCGCAGACGATGACCGAGCTCCGCGGACCTCCAGCAAAGATAGCCTGAAGGCTAAGCAGCTCAAGAAGCCCGCCGAACAGCCCAGGCCCGACAAGAACGAAGAGGTACGGCCTCCGCTTGCTGCATTCCAGCTTTGCCCTCCGCTAACCTGTCCGCCCAGCTGCTCAAAGTCTTCAGGTCCGACCTCGATAGTCTCCGCTCTCTCGTGACCTGCAAGATCTGCGACAGGCTTCTCTACGAGCCTTATGTCATCTCGTGCGGCCACACCTACTGCTACAGCGTCAGTCATAGCCCGCTCTCACCTTGTCTTCACACATTGCTGACCTTCCGCACAGTGCCTCTGCACGTGGTTCGTCAACAACAGGTCTCGCAAGACATGCCCGGATTGCAGGGCCATGGTGGTCCAGCCACCTGCTCCCGCCTATTTGATTCGCGACATGACCCAAATCTTCATAAACCGCGCCGAGCTTCATCCTGCTGGCGAGACCCAAGAGCTCCACAAACAGTGGCAGAAGGAGGAAGCCGACATCGTGCTTCAGGATAAGACCAACGACGACGCGCGCACCGGCGGCCTCTTCAAAGGCTGCTTCCGCGTGCGTCCTGAAGGAGGGTTGCGCGCTATCCGCGACGAGGAAGACGGGGTCGACCGCTGCCCTATGTGTGCGTGGGAGCTCGAGGATGGGGAGTGTGCTCAGTGCGGCCTCCAGTTCGATGACAACGGCACATTGGCCTGGGGGAACAGTTTCGGCGGCTTCAGCGACATGGACGAAACCTCGGAACATGACATGTCCAGCGAGGATCTGGACGGAGACCTTGAGCTTGAAGACAACGAGGCTGACCTTGATCTTGACGGCTACGGCGACGAATTGGAAGACTGGCAGGACCAGTTCGATGACGACCACTCTTATGCCGTCAGGAGATGGCTCGCGAACGAGGCGCTTGCCCGTCCGCAGCAACCTTTCGGTCTGGGCCCGGCGCGCCGCCGCCCCGCCGCTCACAGTGCGGCTGGAAGTAGGCGGCGCTCATACAGTGCCAGCATTGTTTCCGAGATTTTGACCGAGGACACCGAGATGGGCAACATCGAGGAAGAAGATGAAGACGAGGAAGACGGAGACTCTTCCATGAACGACTTCATTGACGATGGGGAACCAGAGACTGCGTCTCAGAGCACGCGGTCGACCGACGGCGAGACTCCAACACCGCCATCTAACATGCGAGGTCGCCGCACACGGCGTGTTGTGGAATCAGAATCGTCTTCCGGCGCTTCCCATCAGGCAGAGGATGATGAAGATGACAACGACGAAGGTCCTATAGCTCCGGGAAGAAGGCGCATGCAGCATCATCTATACCGGCCCCAGTTCCAACCGAATTTCCGCAGACGTCCAGTGGCACCGTCTTCTTCAGCACCCGAGGATGTCGACGTTGATCAAGATCTTGAGGAAGATACGCAGGCTTTGTTGTACGAGGACGGTTGGTCCCCGCTTGGGCACGAAGGTGATGAAGAGACAATGGAAGAAGACGATGATAGCGATGGAGGAAGGACGACCGTTGGGTGGGAGCCGATTGCGAATTCCGTTGAACGATCTAACTTCGGTGGTTCTCTGACTCCTACTGCAGATAGACCTACCGGCGCGATCCGTCCGCCTTCCCGCACGGGCAATTCCCGAGTTCTTGACGGCTCCCGAGGCCTACGCCGACGTAGCTCGGTGCTATCGGCTGTTTCCAGCACCAACTACGAGGACGGAGAGGCGGATGATGACGATTCTGAGATTGATCGAGATGGAGACGCCAGCATGAGATCGCCTGCGGTGCGGCCACGCGGTTCAAGGATGCGACTACGCAACAGCGTTGCTTCGACCGGCTCACGGCCTCCTAGTAGCAATTTTTCTGCAGGAAATTCCGGGGAAAATGACACTGACGACAACTCGGACGACACTGCAGCACCTGGTGCTCGTCACCGGCCTCGTCTCAGGACGGAACGGCAGGAATACGATCCAAGGATTAGCTGGGCTTTCGCTCAACATATGGCGGAGCTGCGGGATCTCAATCTTCAACGCCCCGACGCCTTCCTAGATCACTTGGAACAGTTGAGAGCTGCTACTCCCGTTACTCGCCCTCGAACTTCGAATCGGAATCGTGCTGCTCCTTCGCCCCTTGCTCCCCATCCCCAATTCTCCCCTCTGTCCAACGGTCCTTTGCCTCCATTCTCGCCACCGGCGAATGGGCCTGCCAGGCTTCGGACTCCCATTAATTTGAATTCAGTGAGTGGGTCATCCGCGCCAATGTCTCCGCGATCGGAAAGAAGCCAGGGATCAACGAGCCAGACATCTGGTTCCAGCAGCGATGTGAATGGCAATGCTTCGCGCCGTACTCCATCCGCCTCAGGGGCGAGCAGCGTCACGATCGCCACCGATTTTCCAGACGGGACGGAATCCAATCAAGGCTCGGGACCTCAGAATTGGGCGGGGCAACAAAGCGATGTAGCTGACCGTGCAAACACCCGCACACCATCTTCTAACAGTAGGCGCAACTCTGGCACGTACCAAGGTCCCATTTCTCCCGGGCTCAACTTCGCCGCTCGCTTCCAGGCGCAGCAAAATCGCAACCCCTGGAATCCATTTGTACCGTTGAGTCCCATAAGGCCAAGGCAGTCTGTCCAACGTCTCCGAGATCAGTCATCCACTGCTACTCTACGTCCCCGGAATTCGCAACGGGGCCTTCGCCAGCAGCCTTCCCAGACCAGCGTGAGAGATGGCAACGCTCAGGCCCCACATGTCAGGCAACAAAACTCGCGTGTCAACCTTCGATCTCAGCCTTCGCAGCAACGCCTATCGAATCAAGCCTCTACGCGAACTTTGAGAGCAAACAACGCTGCCGTCATGCATCAGTCGAACGCCTCGACCTCCAGTGTTGGTTCAAACGGGTCTCAGCGCTCTAGACTCACTGAAGAGGAGCGTCTTAGCCGAGCTCGCGAGCTCGTGATCAGTAGGCAGCAAGCTCTCCAAGGAGGCGGCACCAACCCTTTTGCTGCTGGACGAAGGCAGACGACTCCTGGCCAGAGCAGCAATGCTTCGGCCACCGGAAGTGTCCGGAGCCAGTACAGCGTCAGCAGTGCGCAGTCTCTTGGGTCGTCCAGTGCGGCTTCCCTCTCTCAGCAGTCCATTCCTCCGCAAATGCCGAACCCACAGCCTACACTTGGCCGTCGGAGGAGCAACCGCAACGTTGGCGCTCCTCCTGGCGCGTTTGTACAGCTTCAACAGCAGCAACAGCAACAGCAACAGCAGCAGCAGCAGCAGCAGCAGCAGCAGCAGCAGCCGTCGTCGTCGGCAAACACTAATGCCTTCATCCGTGCTCGAAGCGGATCTAATCCTGGCGTCTCTGCTTATGGCTATGAGCGAGGCGTTTCGGTCAGTTCGGATGGGATTACTGCTGGTGGCAGTAATGCGTATTATTGATTCCGGTACCATACTCACTTTCATTGCTTCTTTTTGGTTTTTCTTTGGAGGTCTTTCTTCACTGCACAAAACGAACTTGCAAACAGAATGATAGACCATGATGGCCACGCTGGCCTGGGGATCTCTTTCCCTTCTTCTTGATGATTCATGACAGTAATGTACTGCGGGTTGGCGACAGCAGGGGGGGCACCACCCCCTCTTTCTTTTTTTTTTTCTTTGCATGAGTTCTCGGCGTTTTGTTCATACCACGAACCTCTTTCTGCGGGGTTGCTTGCTGCAAGTTCATTTTCCTGGCGGTCAGTGGCTCTCAACTGCGATGTGGGCTCCTTTTCTTCATTTTTGAGCGTGGCGTCATAGCTAAGGGGCCGGGCTCTCCCTTACTCTTCACGGTTTCTCGGCCTTTTGATCGCTCGAGGAAACAATTGAGCATTCTGTCGGATCGTGTTCCTAAGTCACTGTAACGACGTGCTTGAGTGCTTCGAGTTCCGTCCACTCATGGCCCACGGAGTATTTGTTCTCGAATAGCCAAATTGCTAAGATTCGAATGACATCGGTTGATCCCTTCGTGTCAGCAACCTGCTGGGTACCCCTAGTTTATGCACAGCAACGGCTTCTCAGACCTTTTATGCCATTGAGTCCATCCTTTGATGATGGGGTCAAGACACAGGCAGAGTAAATGATACAACATCCATCGCATAGCCCCAGAGGCAGTCATAGAGCAATCACACATTGGTCTTCCGTAGCGTCATTTTCCATGACGAATATGTTACCAACGTAAGTTGGTATAATTTACGCGTTCTCGAGTACTGATTACGCGGTCACTCCCTCGGTTGATAGGAAGCATCTCACTCAACGCACGCCTGGAGTAGTTTCTTGTGCGATTCCATGGCTCCTTTCGAATACTCGTGCAGGTCGTAGTTCCGTCCCTTGCCGTCCGGGCCACCATCAAACACCTCGTAGGAGAACCAGCTCCTAAATCCTGTCCTCAAGACTGCCTTGGCCACATCGGAAACAGGAAGATAACCACCATCGAATGGAAGTGGCCTGAAATCATGGCTCCAACGACCTCGCGGACGAGTGCCCGATGCATCTAATTGGTTGCTGAAGGGCTGCTTTGGCTTGTAGGCGTCTGAGATCTGCAAGAGATAAATCTTGTCCTTTGGTACAGTCTTGGCTAGCTCGTCCAAGCTCTTGTGGAACCTCTTCTCCAAGTCGTCCTTGGATGTTCCCTCCAGCAGTCCAGATTGGGTGGTCGGGTCTGCCCATTCCCCACCTGCGGTCTGGAAGGTGTCGAGGCACAGGCCGACGTTGGGCTTGTCAACCTTCTCGACGATGTCCCACACATCTTTCCAATCCGGAGCGTGGGTCGACCAACACCAGTTCTCGTAGGCGACGCGGAAGTTCTTTTCGGCCAGTATGTCGGCGAGCTCACGAAGGTCGGCCACGAAGCGGTCGCGGTCAAGGCCAATCTTATCCTCTGGGGTGTCAGAGGACCCGACCTGACACGGTCAGCACATGCTTGTCGGTTCTCTTCAGGTCGGCGCGTCAGTGACGTACCTGCAGCATATCGCAGCCGCACGCCTCCATGATCCCGACCCAGCCTCTGACTCTCTCAAAGGCGTCCTTGCGCTCTGGAGAGCCTTCGGGCCAGCCTTCAAAGTTTGAGAAAGGTTGCAGCATCAAGACCTTGAGGTTCTTTGCATCGGTCTGTGCCTTGATGACCTTTGCCGTGGTGCAGAGGTCATCCCAGTCTTTCGGGCCAACGTCTTTCTTCAGGTACAGCTTGGCGAAGTCGAGAACATCGGGCATGGAAAGCTCAATGGCTTGAAACCCGGCGGCGGAGATGGCATCAAGCTTCTTTGGCAGCGTGTGCTCCGGGCTGCAGCCAATGGAGCAGGTTGCGTATGACGTGGGGATGGCGCCGAAGGAGTCGAGAGATAGCGACATGGTGCTGTTTCTTGCAGTGCGCCCGTGATGCCGAGAAGATTAGTGCGCAGCTGCTTCAGCGAAGCGTGCGCGGGTGTTGGGCGTTGATATCATGGCGGAAGTGACGTAAGTCGAGGCGACCGTCACTCTTTCGTCGCGATGCAGTCAATGTGGCCGGGGCGGTGCGGAGACATGATGCAATGCGGCGCAACAACCGAAGTACCCAGCGAGCGAGTGGGCGGTCGTTGGCGTGTAATGCGCGCGTTCGGAGTGGGAGCGGGCGTGCAGGGATGTGCAAGGATGTGCGGGCTGGGCCGACCTTTAGGAGCCACGGAGCAGCCAGACACCCAGAGCGCCAGAGCGCCCGTGCGTCCATTTCCAAGTGTTACTCATCCCATCCATTGTGAGTCGTCGCACTCGCACACGACCGACGGCTTTGGACTCCCCAGCTTCTCTTCTCCCAGCCGTGCTTCCCCCTCGAGATACCTCACAATGGCGAGCCAGGTACGTCTCCAGCGTCTCTGCTCCAGCGCTGCAACTGACCGCGCTGCGCCGCCAGTTCTACATAGAAAACAAGAATGTCGGCGACAAGAACAACTCCGAGGACTGGCGCATCCGCGGCTACAATCCGCTGACGCCGCCCGACCTGCTCCAGCACGAGATCAAGCAGACGCAGAAGTCAAAGGACACGGTGCTTGCCGGCCGCAATGAAGCCGTCGAGATCGTCCAGGGCCGCGACGAGAAGAAGCGGCTGCTCGTCGTCATTGGCCCTTGCTCCATCCACGACCCCCAGATGGCCCTCGAATACTGCGACCGCCTGCTCAAGCTGAAGGAGCAGTACCGGGACGAACTGCTCATCGTCATGCGCTCCTACCTCGAGAAGCCCCGCACCACCGTGGGCTGGAAGGGCCTGATCAACGACCCCGACATCGACAACTCTTTCCAGATCAACAAGGGCCTCAGGATATCGCGTCAGCTCTTCGTCGACCTGACCGAGCGCGGCATGCCTATTGCGAGCGAGATGCTGGATACAATCTCACCGCAGTTCCTGGCTGATTTGCTGAGTGTGGGCGCTGTGGGCGCGAGGACGACCGAAAGCCAGCTGCACCGCGAGCTTGCCTCTGGCTTGTCCTTCCCTGTCGGCTTCAAGAACGGCACCGACGGCACCCTCGGCGTTTCCATTGATGCGATCGGCGCCGTAAAGCACCCCCACCACTTCCTGTCCGTCACCAAGCCTGGCGTCGTGGCCATTGTCGGAACCGTCGGCAACGAGGACTGCTTTGTCATTCTGCGCGGCGGCACAAAAGGCACCAACTACGATGCAAAGAGCATCCAAGAGGCGAAGCAGAAGCTGCTGGAGAAGAACACCAACCCGCGCGTCATGGTCGACTGCAGCCACGGCAACTCGGAGAAGAACCACAAGAATCAGCCCAAGGTCGCGCACGCCCTGGCCGAGCAGATTGCTGCGGGCGAAGAGGCCATCATGGGCGTCATGATCGAGAGCAACATCCACGAGGGTACGTTTGACAGCATAACTCACTCTTGCATGGACGCTGACATTTTCCACTTTAGGTAGCCAGAAGGTTCCCAAAGAGGGCCGTGCTGGTCTCAAGTACGGCGTCTCCATCACCGACGCCTGCATTGGTTGGGAGGACACTGAGCAGGTGCTCGCGGAGCTCGCGAATGCGGTGAAGCAGCGCAGGCAGGCTCTCGGCGTCGACGGCCAGGCCTAGACGCGCCGCCTTGTGTCACGTTCTCGGACTTGGCCTTTTCTATTTGAGCTGGTACATAAAACAGCCACAGCTGCTGCTCGAACGGCTGGCGTTCTCTGGATTGGAAAAAGAAAAAAAGAAAGAAAGAATATCCCCGCAGCGCATGCTCTGCAGAGCACAGCCGTCGCAATAAAAGCTTCGCCTTCTCCTCGCCAGGTCTCGTTTTGAGCGTGCAGGTGTCGGCCCCTCCGGCCATGTGTGCGTGAGAGATGGGCTTGGCTGAAGTCTAGTGCCAACCGGGTCACGGCAGCGCTCAGCTCGCTCGGACGCTCCCGCCCAAGCTAATGGGCAGCTGATGAGGCGCGCACCTGTTCGGTTCGTGGGTGTGGGGTTGTGCCGTGTTTCAAGAGGCAGCGGGCTTCACCGCCGCCGCCAACATCCTCCCATGCGTCCTCGACATGTCCGACCTGGCGAAATTAGCAGCAGTTCCCCACGCGCCCCTGGTCTTGCATCTCCGCACTTGGCCAGGTGGCCGTCAGCGGGGCCGCTGGGCTGCATGGGTTTGCCGTCCTGGTCAGCCTGCCTGCCGCCGGCCCCCGTATCCGCTCCGTGGGCTCGGGTTTCAGAGGCAAAAGAAAAAGAACGCAAATGCCCCGCTGCGGCTGCGTGCGATTGCAAGGCTGAGATGGCGCGCCTCCTGGCCCCGGGTTCCACAGCGTTGGGCAACGCCGCCGCTGATGATAACGGCGTGGGCTGGCGACGCCCCAATCGCCAGAATTGTTTTGTCACGGTACTGATTGTCCTGCTAGATGCGAGGGCGTCGCCGGCGTGGGTTGGTCGGCGCGCAGCGCAAGGCTGAACGTTTGGAGCAAAGAGTTCATGATTAAGCACCCGATTCGGACAGCGATGCCCCCCATCGTTCGATCATCCCGCGCTTATGGAGATTGCATCTCAGCGCCTGTGAGGCAGAGAGCGCTGCGCCGCTCGATTGGGCGCGCTGCGCGAAACCTTGAAGGGAGGAGCGCGTCACCACGTTGACAGCGGCCGTGGCGATCGGTGGGTCTCGGCACGATGCTGCTGCCTCGAAGCCTTCTGGAAGCCTACCACTTTCGCAAGGGGGGCATGGCATGACCTCTCCACACCCACGGCGTGCAGCAGCACTAATGCTACATGGTTGAGCACCGTTGCCTTGTGTCTCAGGAACCGTGCGGGCAACGTGCTTTTGCCATGGCTTGAACGAGTCTCGCACAGCAAGACACGACGACCAATCACCAAAATGCACGATGCCGTTTTCATTGCTTCCAGCGTCAGATGTCATTGCAGAGCCGCAATCCCGCCCGGCTCTTGCTGCTGGGCCACACGCATCTTGCAGGCTCCTCTTGTCTGTGCTCGAACGAAAGTCATCACAATAAGCACTAACGCAAGGTCCTGAGTCCTGCGAAAGGTGCGCAGTCTATCGCCTGACGATCGCTTCTTTCTCTTTGCCCTCCCGGCCAATGGATGCTGGGGCGTTCGTCATGACGGGGCCGGCAGAAGCTGCCGGGGCTGTTTTTTTTTTTTTTTTCGTGCAGCTGCGCATGCTGCGCCTGGAGCAACATACAGGACGGTCAACGCTGGCCGACGTCTCCGCGCAGCGCGCCAAGATAAAAATTCGACCCCGGCTGCGCAGAGGGGGGAGGCGCAGGGCGCAGTCTCACCCCGCGCTTGCACTCTTGTAGCCACAGCCCGCGCGATCTTCAGGGCCACGGCGCTCTCGGTCCTTGCACGCGCGCCCATGCTCAGCACCGCTCCGCTGCACACCACGGCCCCGGGAGCCATGCACGCCGTCCGGCTGGCTGACTTCCATGACCTGGCCCTCCCGCTCACCACCCTGTCCGCCGCACGGTCACGGTCGACAGCTCCAAACGCCATCAAGTCGGCGCAACAAGGCAACCGCCTTGCTACAGGCAGCCAGCATGCGGGCCATGTCTGGCTTGCCCGTTGATCGCGTGGCTTCCATTGCGTGGCCAGGCCAGGCACCTTTTAACCTGCACAGTCCGCTTCACACTCGACCCTCCATCCGCGCTTCGTTCTTCTTGACGCTCCTTCTGCACCTTTGAGCACGTCACTTCCTTCGATTCCGTCTCTCCGGGCTGTCTGCACCGCCTGCTGTACCCCGTGGCTTGGCCCACACGCTTCGGCCATTTGCATTGCAGCTTGTGCGACGCACGGCTTACCAGCGCCTCTCTCGTCAGCCCTGTACGGCCCTTCGTCTCCCCCGAGAAAGCTATAAAGCCGCCCAGCCAGATTGTCGAGCTACAACAAGCTTCCGTCCACCTGTCTGTCTCGGATCCCATGCGCTGCTCGGTCCTCTTCCCATCTTCTTCTTTTACGCGGTTGACTCACCTGGTGGCGCCAGTCCATCATCGCTGGCAGCTTTGAGCCCCCCCGCCGGCTCTCAACCCTCCATCTCCCACCATGGCTTGCCCAATCCACAGCCCTTCAGCCCCGACTGCCTCTGACGCCCCGGAGGATCCGTCTGAACCCTGCGCAAAATGCTGCCAGCAGAAAGCCGAGGAAAGCCATCAATTCTTGGACTCAGACGTCCATCGGCCCGTCGCAACGGAAGATAGCTCTCAGCAGGGCCCTGCCGCTGTTCGTTGGTCGGCACTCAGCAACGAGTACGAAGTGACCGGCCATGATGCAGAAGGCCACCCGACTGGAGCTTTCTCTGCCTTGGACGACAGTAGTGAGGCCTAGCTCCCCGTGCCCGAGCCGAGACATCCTTCTGACATGCCGGCAGCTTCTGTCAACTCGCAGCCACTTGATACGCCTAGCTCTTCATCTGACGGGCAAATCGGGACTTCTTGCCCGTTGGCTTGCGATTCAGCCTCTCAAGATTCTGGCAAGCTTGCCATCAGCGATGACGGCTCCGATACAGGCGCCAGTTCCGGCTACGGTTGCACTGTTTCGGACGCTGTTCGCGACCGCTTCTTGGCCTGTGATGGCCCGTGGTCGACGTACAACCGCAGAGTCGAACTTTTGGCCTACGGTTACGATCATTACCAGTCTAGCTCTCTCATTTACGATATCGATGATGACTGCGGAAACGTTGCACCATACGTCGGGTAGGCGTATACACCCCGCCATACGAGCACCACGACCATTTCACGACTCCGACGCGCTAGAGCGTTGGCCACCTTCCACGGCTGGAATAAAAAAAAAAAAGAACGACGGGCAAGAGAGGCCGAGTCAGCCACGGTCAGTTCGGGCTGAAGTCAAAAAAGCAGTTGCTCAGCTCGACTATCCCATTGGATTGTCGCACGTGCGCAGGTTCGCTCTGTTTTTGTAAATAATTATTTCTTGAAATAAAGTCACCTACGATTCTCTCGAGCCATGGCCTGCTTTTGCATGCAGATTTTCCTTTCTTCTACTGGATCATCGTCCAGGGTGAGACGCCGGCACGGGCTTGTTTATTCGGAAGCCGTGGAAGCGAGGTAGCAGATGATGGGTGGATGGAGATGGATTTTCTGCCGACGAGAGAGGGTTGAGAGTAGTGGTGAGTAGTGGTGAGAGCTTTCCCCACGTTCTACCTAGCTCGTCTCGGGACCGTCGGGCCCGATCGCCGGGCTTGACGTCGTCTCGCATTCGCTGAAACATCATCGCCGCGTCCCTCTACAACCTTCTCTTGTGGCAAAGCCATCGCAGCGCCAACGAATGCCGAGATATTCAGGCCTGCAGAGAGACGTCCTGTCTCTCTATCGGCAGTGCCTGAGGGTCGCCCGCACGAAGCCCCAGGTAGGTAAGCCTCCATCAAGGCGGCCGCATGGATGACGCTGTTGACTCTTGGCTGGGCACAGGAGACGAGGAAGCATTTTGAGCAATTTGCAAGGTCAGTCGATGCGTGTGTCTCTGTGGACCCTATTCGACACCTAAAGAAGGAGGTTGCCGTTGTTTCCAAATGTGCAATGCACTGACACAGCCCAGACAGGAGTTTGAAAGGAACCTTGGCCTCGAAAAGCGAGACTTCGGTGCGATCGAATACATGCTGCGCAGGGGTCACAGGCAGCTGGCGATCTACGAAGACCCCGGCATTAGAGACGTTCATCGATAGAAATGGAATTGGCATTTGGATGAATCAAGAGCACGCGATGGCGGCACGGTGCGTGCCCACGTGACTTGGGCTTGGCAAAGAAGGTGCTAGAGAGGCCTGGAGGCTTCACCCTGGATGATCACCACAGCAAGCGGGCGAAGACCCCAGAACAATCAGGAGACCTCCCGAAGCCTCCGGCACCCGGCTGGGAGGATTCAGAATCCGCATGGTCATTCACGATCCTGCCTCCAGCTTCTGGATCCATCTCGAAACCGCCGTGGGCTGAGCAGAGCGACGCAACTTTCGTCATGATGCTGCTGCCCGTGCAGTGCGTCGCAATTTCTAGAATGCGCCGCGGCGGTTATATAACGACGGTTGGTGAACGACATGGAGTCCACCAGATCAGAAACAACGAACAACACAGTTGATGCAAGCACTACGACCAACGCTCGCACTCCGACGCCAACTCCCTCGCGCCTTCAAAGTCACGAAGCCTCTCGTCTCTTCGATTCACACGCCAAGCAACCTATCCACAATGTCCATGTTCCCGCGCTTCACTCAGGAGTTCTCTCCTCTCTTCCGCCTCCTTGACGACTACGACCGCGTGTCTCGCAGTGCCCCCTTCCCCCAGGGTGCTCAGAGCCTGAGGTCCTTCACCCCCAAGTTCGATGTCGTAGAGAAGAAGGAGAACTACGAGCTTCACGGCGAGCTTCCCGGCATCGCCCAGGAAAACATCAACATCGAGTGGTCCGACTCCAACACCCTGACCATCTCCGGCCGCGTAGAGCACCGCTCCGAGCGCGGCGAGCGTCCTCGCGGATACATCGAGGGCGAGGAGCACAACGAACCACACTACCAGAAGCCCTCGGTCGAGGACGACCAGCCCACCGGAGAGACCAGCCAGGAGGTCACCAAGACCAACCAGGACAAGGAGGTCGGCAAGCCCGCTGATGGAGCCAAGTATTGGGTCAGCGAGCGCTCCGTCGGCGAATTCCACCGCTCATTCAGCTTCCCCGGCCGCGTCGACCAAGACAGCGTCAAGGCCAGCCTGAAGGACGGCATCCTCTCCATCCTCGTTCCGAAGGCACAGGCCCCCAAGGCTCGCAAGATCAACATCGAGTAAAGGGCTTTGCGAACAACAGTAACGTCATCCCCCCAGAAATTGTGACGGCAATGCGGCATCATACATAGCACACTGCTTGCGATGCGATGCGATGGAGCCTCTCCTTCGTTCACGATCACGTTCTTAATAAGCATAGGTGGCTTGGAGTTTCGGGCTTACGAATGACGACGGAACATTCTTTCTGGTTGTAGATAGTTTAATTCAGCATTCTTTCAGACGCCAACGAGCTTTGCCGGGCATGTGATTACAAAGCGACACGTGATAAAACCCAACGGCAACAACTTTCTGCAGGCAGGCAGGGTCCTGTAAGGCTGAGGCGGCGGCGGTCGGCTGCGAAGCTTTTCCACGGCGCGCACGGGCATTATTGTCAACCTCCACGCGCATCATCGCCGCCATACCTCCGACACCTCCGCCCTCCCCACCTCTCTTCCTCGAGCTACCCATCGTCTGCGCTCCGACAACAAAACGAATAGCCGTGCCCGTTGGATTTACTATTTTGATATTGCCATATACCCTTTTACTTACCGCTTCACCCACACCTTCACACAATGAACGCTCCCGACAGGTGAGTTCTGCTGTCACCTCTCCAGCCTCTGAAGTCTACTTCTCTCACCTCCCGCGCGCGCCTGTCGTTTTTTCCGTCCCTGCCCACCTGCACCTTCCTTTTCCCTCACTCACTCTGTCGCAACCCCGGCGCGGTGGCGCACAGCAGCAGCGCGACAGCACGTCGCGCCTTCATAATGCCACCTTCCGCTCCGCCTCCAAACCCTCTTTTCCACCAACCCGTTCGCATCGTGCGCCAGCAAAACCTTACAATACACCAACGCTGTCCGCGCGCAATTTCCTTTTTCTCTCTTTCTTGTCGCGCTAGCCACCATGACTCCGTGGCTTTGTACTGAGGAGTTCTGGGACAGGTTCGAGCTCTTCCTCCTCGGCGATGGCGAGAAGAAGGTCGAGATGAAGCACGACACCCGTACGTACAATGCTCCCCACCCTCGCCCACCGCGTCACCTCTGCGTCCATCCTCTCCCGCGCGCGCGCATGCGCAACCCCACCCCCGCGCACTCCATCCACACACCACAAAAGGACTTGGCTAAAGTTTACGCCCCCCTCGTGGGGCGGCGTCGACATCGCAGGTGTGCCCAACACCGCCATATTCACCTTCAACAAGGAGGACCACACGCTCGCCAACCTGCTGGCCGCGCGGCTGCACAAGTACAAGTACGTCACGTTCGCCGGCTACAAGGTGCCGCACCCGCTCTTCGCGCGCTTCGAGCTGCGCGTCGGCACCGACGGCACCGTCGCCCCCAAGGAGGCCATCGTCAACGCCTGCCGCGACATCGTCCAGGACCTCGAGGTCTTCAGCCGCGAATTCACAAAGGAGATGGAGCTGAAGAAGATCGCAAAGGCCGGCGGCGAGGCTTGAATGACGAGAACGACGGTGGGATGAGGAGAGGGAGAGTTCCTCTCTTTTCTCCTTCTGTAGGCCTTTGTATACGAGTCTTCATGGTCCCCAGCTGCTACGCTCAGAGAGGGGTTTCTTTTTTTTTTGCCCCCCTTCTTGGGTTTGAACTCGTTTGCAGAAGATCCTGGCTCCAGCTTTGGGTACTTCGGCTTGCCTTGCTTGCATCCGGTACGACAACGAACGACTGCCAATCCTCTCCGGTCGGGAGTACCGCCATCTGTCTGCTTTCCTTCTTCTTTCGATTCGTCAAATGGTGGATCAAAGCCTGTTTAATTTCCAGATTTCAAAAGAGAGAGAGAGAAAGAGAAAAAAGACGAAACGACAACTGCATGGATGGCGCGTGGAGTTACAACGGTTATGGCGTAATGCAAATAAGAGCATAAGATCTGGGCTCAGCTAAGAAACCTGAGGGAGACTGTTGTGCGAATAGGCTTTGGTGATGAGACAACACCATCACCATTGCTGTAGAGTTTTTTTCTTTTTCCTCCCACAGCTTCTCTCGTGCAACAAAGCAAAATCGCACTTGAAAACGTTCAGAGCCACAAGCAGGACAGCTCTTGGTTCAGCGACTATTTCCGTGATCTTGGCTGATCGTTCTCGGGTGACGCGCGTGGTTTTCGTCAAAGCAAAGTTGATTTGCCCATTTCCGGTCTAGCTAGCATATGGAAGAAGCACCCTCATCGTCATCAAATTTTTTGTAGTGGTATAAACCGTGCCAAAGTCCCAATGTTTAAAAAGAAAGTTTCAACGCCCGTCCTCATGAGAAAAGAAAAAAAGAAGTAGGCAATGCACACAGAAGTTGTGTGTGCAATCGCCTAACACCACATCTCGCCAACACGTCTGACGCGTCACAAACTCAGTGGTGGAAAAGGCGGATGTGCTGCTCGACAAAGGTGATACCGAGCTTCTCGGCGGTCGAGAAGACGAACTGGTCGTTCTGCGAGCCACTGGGAGCCGCGATGTACTTGACGCCGGTGCGGGCCGCACGGTAGACGTTGTCGATGAAAGGGAACTGTTTTGGTGCGTGTTAGCGGGAGCATGGATCGATCAAGACAGATCTCTAGCTGTTGGCGGTGACGGAAACTTACGAAGGCGTCACTGCTGACGGCAACCTCGCTGAGCTTGGAAAGCCACTCAGCCCTTTCCTCCTTGGTGAAGGTCTTGGGGACCTCCTCGAAAAACGCCTCGAAGTCCTCGCGCTCGGGACCGGACTCCGGCACGGAGCCGCTGCAGAGAAGGTCGATGGCGTTGCTCTTGTCGGGGCGCTTGGTGCCCTTCTTGAACTTAAGGCCGAGAGTACGCTCGTGGAAGCGCATCCACCAGTTGTCGGCCTTGTCGCCGGCAAGACGAGTGCAGTGGATGCGGCTCTGCTGGCCGGCACCGAGGCCAACGACCTGGCCGTTGAGAGCGTAGCAGACCGAGTTAGACTGGGTGTACTTGAGAGCAATGGTAGCGACGGTCAAGTCACGAAGAGCGGATTCGGGAAGGCTGGCCTCCTTGGGAGTGATGATGGTGCCGAAAGTGGCGGGCGTGACCTTGGCGTCATTGCGGTGCTGCGTCAGGTTGATGCCGTAGACGGTGCGGGTCTCCATCGCCGGAGGCTCAAACTCAGGGTTCATCTGGAGAACAAGGTACTTGCCACCCTTCTTCTTCTTCAGGATCTCGAGAGCCTCGGGCTGGTAGCCTGGGGCAATGACACCGTCAGAAACCTCGCGGGAGATGATCTTGGCAGTAGGGACGTCGACCTCGTCAGAGAGAGCGATCATGTCACCGAAACTGGACATGCGATCGGCACCACGGGCCCTGGCATAAGCCTGAGCGAGGCCAGACTTCTCGATTCCCTCGATGTCATCGACCATATACACCTTCCTCTCGGCCTCAGAAAGCGGAACCCCAATGGAAGCACCGGCCGGGGAGACGTGCTTGAAGGAGGCAGCGGCAGGGAGGTTCAGAGCGTTCCTGAGCTCCTTGACAAGCGGCCAGGCGTTCAGGGCATCAAGAAGGTTGACGTAGCCAGGAGCGCCGCCAAGGACCTTGAAGGGAAGCTGGCCGTCACGAACGAAGGCAGCGGCGGGCTTCTGGTGGGGGTTGGTACCGTAGCGCAGGGAGGCGAGCTGGGTGCCATCGCCAGCGTACTGCTTACGGAAGAAGTCGGAGATGGCAGTGTCGTAGTCGGCGGTGTGAGAGAAGGCCTTCAGGGCGTAGAGTTGCCTCTTCTGCTCGGAGATCTCGCCCTTCTGCTCAAGCTCGGTGAGGAAGTCGTGGTAATCCTCCGGATCGGAAAGGATGGTGACCCGGCTGTGGTTTTTGGCGGCAGCGCGGAGCAGAGTGACACCACCAATGTCGATGTCCTCGACAGCCTCCGGAATGGTGACATTGATCTTGGAGACGGTCTCCTGGAAGGGGTAGCTGAACGGGACACTATCAGCAATCTTCGGTCTTGGAGAGGGGCAAATTTCACCCGTACAGGTTGCAGATGCAGAAGTCAATCTTCTTGATGTTCTGGTCGGCCTAGCAGAGTAATTAGACAATGACGCGTTATACTCAATCGGGCAACCTACGAGATCCTGCTGGTCCGAAGGAACCTCACGAGCGAGCAGACCGCCGTGGACAGCCGGGTGCAGGGTCTTGACGCGGCCGCCGAGCATCTCCGGAGCCTTGGTGATGGCAGAGATGTCCTCGACGGGGAAGCCACCCTCCCTAATCATCTTGGCGGTGCCGCCAGAGGCCAGAATCCTGGAGCGCGTGTCAGCCGGACACAGTCATATGGATGAGGCGGGGCGGAGGAGCGGCATGGCAGAGAGCGGCGGTGAGAGATGGCGGGCACGAAGAGCTCCAGACGCAGCTTCGATCGATGGGGGCTCGCCACAAAGGCTGACACGAGGCTGGAGGCCACGAAGGTGATACGCACCTCACATTGTTCTTGACGAGGCCCTTGGTGAGATCGAGGAGACCCTGTGTGACAATTGTCAATGCTTCGATTGGCTCAGGCGCAATGCGGGGTGTTGCGCACGTACGGTCTTGTTGAAGACGCTGAGGATAGCTGGGCGCGGAGGTCAGCGGGGTTACAGGCGCACGGCAGCAGGCGGGAGGCGGGAGGCGGGAGGCGGGAGGCGGGAGGCGGGGGGCGGCATACCGATCTTCTGCGAGGCGTCGGAAGCCATTGTGAGAGACGGGCGCGAGAGGGCAATGGCAGCAACAGGGCACGGATCTGGGGTTGTGAGGGGCGAGGAAATTTTATGGCTTTGTTGCTAAGTTTGGCCGAAATCGCTCTCCCCTCGAAATAAAATGCAGCCGCCGCAGTGGGTGCCCCGCGCCGTAGCCAGCACCTGCAGCTGCGTCACTGCATCCGGCCCGTGCGCCGCATGCCAGGTGCTGCTCGGCTGCCCTGATGCACGTGACTGCGGCTGATCCTCGGCGCCGCGCCGCACAAAACTGCGCCCGCCGCCGGCTCTTTTTCTCCTTCATCAAACGCAAAAAAACAACACTCACTAAAAAGCATTTTCGATGGAGGTCCCTCTACTGGGTTCCCATGAGAACGAAAACCGTCAGCTGAGTGGAGAACCGACTCCAGCGATGGATCTTGGGTGCGGTTCCTCCCTTGTTCACCATGGGAGGGAGCGCAATGATCCGCCGTACATACCGTCACGGCGCTCTTGCCTGTGTGAGAGCGTGAGCTGAGCTCAGCCGTAGCGTAGCGCGTTGTTTCAACCGCCTGCTTCGTGAGTGATGGCCTCGTGCGTCGCCATGCGGCTCCTCGTTCGAGGCCACTGTCTCGATGGCACTCTGCACGCCGCCTGCAATGCGTTTGCCGCTGCTCAGCCCTGGCGGTTGCGGGCAGGATTTGCCCGTACCATGAACCTTTGACCAAGATCCTAGCGTGAGCATGATTATTGCAGTCTCGGCCATGCCTTCCAGATGTGCAAAGCATGCAAATAAGCACCAGACGGACCAGACATGGCGGCGATGCTGCAGCTGACAGCGAGTGTGTAGTATGTTGCTCCTAACCTATGGAGGTCCATGCACTTGAAGTCATGGTCTCCTCAAACGCGGGCGGTTTTTCTTGCAAGACTGACAGAAATGTCAGAACACCAACCACCGTGTCGGAGCAGAACGGTGGCTGAGAGGACTGGCTTGCGGGCTACGAGCTGCGGACGCGCCGCCTGCGACATGTCAGCCACTGCACCGTCTTGCCGTACATCGAGCAAGCGCTGGCGAGGAGCTGAGGTGCCGCAAGACGCGGGTTGTGGTTGCGGAAGAAGAGGCTGCAGGGCGAGCGAAGCGCGAGAAAAATGCACCAGTCGTGGGACGTGCGCGCGCATGACCGCCGCCGGCTGCAAGGGCATTTTCCGGACCAGGTCCAGCATTGCTGCTGCTGCAGTCCTTCGCCAGTCGCCAGTCGCCAGTCGCCCATCTAGTAAGGCTTACCGCTACCGCCAGGCGGTGTACCTACTGTAAATGATCAGATCCGGCCGCGGGGTGCTACCGTTTGCGCGGTGCTATCCGCAACAGGCCCGCCTGACCCGCGTCTGCCACCCCGCCGCCTCAGCTGCCGCACGGAGCTACAACACCTCCCTCCATCTTAAGCTCCCCTCCGCCAGCCCCACTGTCCCCTCCCGCTACCCCTCCACCCGCATCTCCAATCCATTCCCCCGCTCCATCAGGCACTGCTCCCACCGCAGGGCTCTCAACATGTGCAAACACTTCGGCCACGAGGCCGATGCGACCAGCTCCATCGACGTCACCAAGGGCAGAGAGGTCTTGCCCAAGAACGTCAAGCCGGTGCACTACGACCTCACCCTGGAGCCGAAGCTGGACGGCGACTTCACCTACGAGGGTACCGTTGTCATTGAGTGCGTATTTTCCGTTGCTCCCCTCAGCGCCACCTTCCGCTAACCGCCCGCCCACCTGCAGTCTCGACGTCGTCGAGGACACGAACTCCATTTCCCTGAACACGCTCGACCTCAAGCTCCACTCCACCACCGTCAAGGCCGGCGACAGCGTCATCACCTCCAAGCCTGACATCTCCTACAATGAAGATACCCAGACCACCAAGGTTTCCTTCAAGGACACCATTCCTGCCGGCAGCAAGGCTCAGCTCGTCCAGACATTCACCGGGGTGCTGAACAACAACATGGCTGGTTTCTACCGGTCTTCGTACAACGCGGCGGATGGCTCAACAAAGTACCTGGCAACTTCTCAGATGGAGCCCACCGATGCTCGGAGGGCATTCCCCTGCTTCGACGAGCCCGCTCTAAAGTCCGAGTTTACCATCACCCTCGTTGCCGACAAGCACCTGACCTGCCTGAGCAACATGGATGCCGTCTCGGAGAAGGAGGTGGATTCCAAGATTGGCGGAGGCAAGAAGAAGGCCGTCACCTTCCGCAAGACCCCGCTGATGTCTACATACCTTCTGGCCTTCATTGTCGGAGAGCTCAACGTCATTGAGACCAACGACTTCCGTGTCCCCGTCAGAGTGTTTGCGACTCCGGACAAGGACATCAACCACGGCAAGTTCTCTCTCGACCTTGCGGCCAAGACACTCGACTTCTACGAGAAGAAGTTTGATAGCAAGTTCCCGCTCCCGAAGATGGACATGGTGGCCATTCCCGATTTCAGCGCCGGTGCCATGGAAAACTGGGGCCTCGTCACCTACCGTGTCGTTGATCTGCTTTTCGACGAGAAGATCAGCGGTGCGTCCACCAAGCAGCGTGTTGCCGAGGTCGTCCAGCACGAGCTGGCTCACCAATGGTTCGGTAACCTGGTTACTATGGACTTCTGGGATGGTCTTTGGCTGAACGAAGGATTCGCTACTTGGATGTCGTGGTATTCGTGCAACGCCTTCTACCCAGAGTGGAAGGTCTGGCAGGGTTACGTCACCGACAACTTGCAAAGCGCGTTGTCCCTCGACTCTCTGAGGTCCAGCCACCCTATCGAGGTTCCTGTCAAGCGCGCAGACGAGATCAATCAGATCTTCGACGCCATTTCCTACTCCAAGGGCTCGTGTGTGCTGCGCATGATCTCTAAATACCTTGGTGAGGAGACTTTCATGGAGGGCATCCGCCGCTACCTCAAGAAGCATGCTTATGGAAACACCCAAACGGGCGACCTGTGGGCTGCTCTGAGCGATGCCAGTGGAAAGGACGTTGAGAAGGTCATGGACATCTGGACGAAGAATGTCGGCTTCCCCGTTGTGACCGTCACGGAGAAGCCGGAGTCTGGCTCCATCCACGTCAAGCAGAACAGGTTCCTCCGCACGGCGGATGTCAAGCCGGAAGAGGACAAGGTTCTCTACCCCGTCTTCTTGGGTCTGCGCACCCAGGAGGGAATCAACGAGGGCCTCACTCTGACTTCTCGGGAGGCCGATTTCAAGCTGAGTAGCACCGACTTCTTCAAGATCAACGCCGACCACTCTGGTATCTACCGTACCTCGTACACTCCCGAGCGCCTTCAGAAGCTCGGAGAGGCTGCCAAGAAGGGCTTGCTCTCGGTTGAGGACCGTGCCGGCATGATTGCTGATGCTGGCGCGCTTGCTGCCTCTGGTTACCAGAAGACCTCCGGCCTTCTCTCCTTGCTCGAGGGGTTCAAGTCGGAGCCCGAGTTTGTCGTCTGGGATGAGCTCACTGCCCGCGTCGGCTCTCTGCGCTCGTCCTGGATCTTCGAGGATGAGGCGGTCAAGGATTCGCTCAAGAAGTTCCAGCTCAAGCTTATTGAGAACAAGGCCCATGAGCTCGGCTGGGAGTTCAAGGATAGCGACGGCCATATCGAGCAGCAGTTCAAGTCGCTCCTCTTTGGCGCGGCGGGCATCGCGGGCGATGAGGCGGTCAAGAAGGCGGCATTCGACATGTTCGAGAAGTTCAAGAATGGCGACAAGGCGGCCATCCACCCGAACATTCGTGCCAGTGTCTACGGCATCGTTCTGACGTACGGAGGTGCCAAGGAGTACGACGCTGTGCTGAAGGAGTACCGGACGGCGAGTACTAGCGACGAGCGCAACACGGCCCTGCGCGCAATCGGACGTGCCAAGAGCCCGGAACTCATCCAGAGGACGCTGGCTCTTCCGCTAAGCGACGAGGTCAAGGGTCAGGACATTTACCTTCCGCTTGGCGGGCTCCGCACACACAAGGGCGGCATTGAGGCGCTATGGAAGTGGATGACGGAGCACTGGGAAGAGCTCGAAAAGAAGCTGCCGCCCGGGTTGACGATGCTCGGCACGGTCGTCTCGATCTGCACGTCGAGCTTCACGCGCAAGGAGCACATCCAGCGCATCGAGGACTTCTTCGGCAAGCGCAGCACCAAGGGCTTCGACCAGAGCCTTGCACAGTCTCTGGACGCGATTCGGGCCAAGTCCAACTGGATCGCCCGGGACAGCTCGGACGTCGAGGCTTTCCTCAAGGAGCACGGGTACTTGTAAAAATGACTTGCATTGGGCGGCGAACTGGATGCGGCGACGGCTTGGGTATATATGCATTGGCGTGGCACGGGGCTGTTAGGTCCTGGACGTCTAGTTAGAAACGGCAGTGCCCAGGCATAAATATAAATAAATGGTTGCATTATTGGTACATGGAGCGGCTACACGGTAGCGCAGCGGGCGGCGCGGGCGGCGGGCTCGGGGCTTGGCGCGCGCGAGTCGGGCTGGGCCAAGGGCGGATGGAGGCTGACGTCAACCGTCGTGGCTCGGGAGCCGCGCAAAAGCTGTGCGCCGTCGCAGCAGTGCGCGGCAGGGCGCAGCAGTTGCGCAGGAATGCGGGTCCCGGGACGAGTGTGCTGACGGTCTGCAGTCGTGGCCCCGCGCCCCCAACGCTCAACGCTCAGGGCTGAGCGGTGCCGGTGACATGTGAATCAAAAGAATGGAACCACGTCTCCAGACTCCGTGTCGCCCCTCCCTGACCCCAACACCCTTCAAACCCGCCGAACCATGTGTGATGATTCGTTCGTTTGACCCGCCCGCACCCCAATCGACATGACCCAACTAGAAAACGACGAGCCCCCCGAGCCTCCTGCTGCCTCCTCGACCCTGTTGTCGTCACCTCCGCATCGCCCGCCGCTGCCTACGCCCGCCCTCGACCATGCGCTTTCGCCCGCCGCAGCTGCCACCGCCAGCGCTCTCGACGATCCCACCGGCCCAGACGCCCTCCGTCTCCTGAACCGCTCGCCGCACCCGTACCACCGCCGCAGACAGCAATTGCGCGACCCGCAACAGAGCTCGCCCGCGTGGAGCAACCCATCATCGGCAACCTCGTCCGACTACGAGAGCGGCAATGGTGGAGCGGGCGGGCGGCAGCGCGCCGCGCCGACGTCGTACCCCTCGCAGGCCGCCTCGCGCAGCATGAGCGAGAGCGGCACCGAGGCCGACGACGAGGGCTACGGCTTCGTCAAGGCGCTGCCCGCGCCGTTCATCCGGCCGCACAAGGGGCTGAGGGATGTCAGGGACACCGATGCGGCGACCGACTCGGGCTTGCTGACGCCGAGCGTGCTGGAGGAGGAGGGGCGCCGGTTGAGCGTCGCCCCGGGCTACTACTCCCAGAGGATGGGAAAGGGTGGGGTGGAGGAGGAGACGGTGGAGGAAGAGAGGGTGAGGAGGGAGAGGGAAAGGTTCGCCCAGAAGAGAAGGGCGGAGATGCTGAGGAGGGGGTGTGAGGTCGCCCTCTTGGCGGCGATTGGGGCTGTGGTGCTGCACGGCGCCGTGGCGCGCAGGAGTCTGGATGCTTGGAGCAGAGGTAGGATGATCAATGGCTCTTCTGGGGAGGCGCACAAGCTCATGATTGTTCCAGCAGAGCTGTCCTGTTGCGTCGTCCTCTACGCGCTGCTCTTCCTGCTCTATCCCCTCCGACTGCTCCTGCTTCCGCGTACAAGATCAGCAGAGCAGAGGCCCCGACTATTAAACCGGATCCATATACCCGCTGCATTCGACCCGGCCCCGCTCCTATACCCAGCTGCGATACCCGTTTTTGTTTCTTTATCACTATACCCCAGCATGGAAAAGCTTCTCTTGCCAAACATTGTCCTCGCAGCGTCCGCTCTTCCGCCGCTGCTCATTCCTTCATACGGTCGCGGTAACGGGTACAGCATGGAGCATTGGTTCATTTCCATTATTCCTCTTATAATATCCGAGCATACCGACATCCCTTCGAAGATCATGGCGGCCAAGCCGTATCAGCTGAAGGCACCGGCGGATCGCATCGATTCGGAGACCATCGCTTCGCTTTTTGCGCTACACCAGGCGCTTCTACCTCCGCTTTATTACCTTACGACGACAAGTCTTCTCCCCGCCGAACTGCAGCTGCTTTCCACAACCCTTATCAACCTTCTGCTCTTCTCCACTAGCCCGCAGATGACCATTCTCAAATCCATACTTTGGATTGGCGGAGTCCTGCTCTTCACGTTCTGCGGTCATACTTTGAGATGGAACGTTGCGCTCGCGCGCATACCGAAATGGAGGTTTAGACGAGCAGGTCGTATTGTCAAAGCCCAACAAACATTCCTCAGCATCTTAAACGAGGGCCTTCGACCAGGATCCTCGCGGTCCAGAAGCAGGGGAGGCTTCGCTTCTGACAGTGATGCTGACGAGGACGGTGTCCCTGATCATCTCTCGGATGACCTTAGGCTCAAGCCTGTGGAATCTGCACCTGGGACGATCCAGCACGCCGCCTCAGTTGGAACTCAGCTCGCTTTCGGGGCCTTTCGGGATGCAATACTCCCTCCAAGAGACAACAATTCTCCAGCCACACGGCAAGGGCGTAGGCACACTTTATCGAGCATCGACCCCGGCAAAGCTACGTCGCAGTCTGCTGCTGGTAGAGCGAAGCGCAGGAAACAATCCTACGCGCAATCGTTTCTCGCACTCACGCCGACGCAGGCTACCGTGAGAAGGTGGCTGTATGCTGGATGGGTCTATGTTGCTATGGTGCTCCTCGTATTGGTACCAATCAGAGCTTACATTGGTAAGTTTGCTCTGCATGGCCAAGAACCGTTTGGCTGGGCCATTGGCTACCTCCTCGGCAACATTCGGGATGTCCGCTTCTTCATCTTTGACTGGGGCCTTTCCAGCTGGATCAGCCTCCCTCCCCTCCCTGACTTCACCGCGGAGGAGCTCGCCGAGCTTCCACGTGCAGAATTCATCCGCCAGGTCCTTTTCGGTGGCGCGGCGAACACCCGCCTCCTCATCACGGGATACTGGGTGTTCATCCTCGTCCTCGGCATGGCGACGGTGCTTTCCCTCTCGACAACCGTCGAGGTCGACACGCGCCGCAAGGTCTTCCACGGCATGATGGTCGCCATGCTCCTGCCCACAATCTTCGTCGACCCGTGCTTCATCGCCCTCACCCTCGCCCTCGTCCTCTCCGTCTTCTGCCTGCTCGACCTCATCCGCGCGGCGCAACTCCCGCCGTTGTCGAAGCCGCTCGCCTACTTCCTCACCCCCTACGTCGACGGCCGCGACCTGCGCGGCCCCGTCGTCGTCTCCCACATCTTCCTGCTCATCGGCTGCGCAATCCCGCTGTGGCTCAGCCTCGCGGGCGTGCCGCGCGACGGCGGCGGAGGAGGAGGAGGAGGAGGAGGAGGAGGAGGAGAAGAAGGGGGCCCGTGGAGCGGCTGGGAGGTGCGCGGACCGAAGGACGTGAGCATGGTGGCGGGCGTCGTGTGCGTCGGCATGGGCGACGCCGCCGCCAGCCTGATCGGGCGCCGCTGGGGCCGCCGGAAGTGGCCGTGGCTCGGCGGCAAGAGCCTCGAGGGCAGCGTCGCCTTCGCCGCCGCCGTGACCACGGGTCTCGTTTTGGCGAAGGCGTGGCTGCGCCTCGGCCAGTGGGACGGCGGAAGCGGTGGTGCGACAGCCTCTGTCGCCGCCGCCGCCGCCGCCACCGGGGGCCCGCCAGTGTTGTGGCCCGGCTTGTGGGAGGTGCTGCGGTTGGTGAGACCGGTGGATGTGAGCAAGGCGGCGTGCGCGGGCGCCGCGGCGAGCTTCATGGAAGCGGTCTTGACGGGAGGGAACGATAACGTGGTGGTGCCGGTGGTGCTGTGGTTGGTCGTTAGGGGCTTGGGGGTGTGAAAGGTCCGACTAAGCACAATCACAGACTCGCCTGGTAGACGGCTAGTATTTGTATTTATAATATAGATTCTATTTCCCCCTTCCTCTCCGAAGTCTTCGATGTACGTGTGGATATTGCAGTCTCTCCTGACTAGGCAGTAGAAGGAAGTGTCTGCACGGATATGCGGGTGCATCTAGACGTGGGATCCAACCACCCGCCCAAGCAGGACGCAATACATCTGTAGGCTCAATTGTTTGGCGGCCCACAGTGTCCTCGAAATGGGCGATACGGTCACAGTTTACTCTGCCCACCGGCCCCGCCGCTCCCGATGTAGCTCTGGCCCAACCGCAGCATGTCCACGGCCTCCCTCACCATGTCCTCGACGATATCCCGGGCGGGCTTGACGTCGTCGATGACGGCGGCGACCTGGCCCATGAGGAAGGGGATGTCGACGTCCTTGCCCTCGTCCATGTCCTTCTCGAAGGGCACGACGCCGGCGTCGGTCAGCGCCTTGATCTCCTGCGGGCGCGCCTCCCAGCCGGCGATGTAGTCGTTCAGCCGGACGCGCAGCGGGCGGCCGCTGACGACGAGGGTGCGCAGCGTGTCGCCGAAGCCGGCGTCGACGACGGCCTGCTTGTGCAGGCGCGAGCAGCCGGCCTCGGCGCTGGCGACGAAGCGCGTGCCGACCCAGACGCCCTGGGCGCCCTGCATGAGGCTGGCGGCGAGGCCGCGGCCGTCGCGGATGCCGCCCGCGGCGACGACCGTGGCGGGCGCGCCCGTCAGCGGCGAGCGGTACCGCCGCGCGACGTCGGCCACGGCCGGGATGAGGATCGAGTTGGCGACGTCGCCCGTGTGCCCGCCGCCCTCGCCGCCCTGCGCGCACACGACGTCGACGCCGGCCTCGAGCGCCTTGACCGCGTGCCGCGGCGCGCCCACCATGTTCATGACGAGCACGCCCGCCGCGTGCAGGCGCTCGATGACGCGCGCCGGCGGCACGCCCACGGCCGACACGAACAGCCGCGCGCCGCTGCGGATCGTCACGTCGACCAGCGCGTCCAGCTGGCCGTGCGTGTAGTCGTGGTTCGTCTTGCGCGCCGAGCCGCCCACCTGCGGCAGCGCCAGGTCCACGCCGAACGGCAGCGACGGGTCCGCCAGGTTCGCCTTGAGCTCGTCGATGATGGCCTGCAGCTGCGCCGGCGTGTACCCCAGCCCGCCAATCACCCCCAGCCCCCCGGCGTTCGACACCGCCGCCGCCAGCGGCCCGCCCGACGTGCGCGCCATGCCCGCCAGGATGATGGGGTACTTGATCCCCAGGAGCTTGCACAGCGGCGTTTCGAGTGCAGGGGGTGGCGCCATGGTCGAGGTTGATATATGTGTGGTGGTTGAGAGTAGAGTAGTATCCTTGGGGGCTTTGTCAAGACCGCACGATGTCAATTGATGTCAGACGAGAACGAAGGTGAAGTGCGCTGCAGAGAGGTCTATTTAGAGTCAGTCGGAGCATAATAGGAGCATAGGTAGTAGGTGGTAATTGCGGCTATCGGCTATCGCAAGGTCCGGATCGCCTTTTTGCGGGGAAACGTCGCGCGTCCGAGGTCAAACCCTGTACACACGTCACACGTGAGATCAGCTTGCGTCGACATGCCGCGGCTCTGGCAGACCTCAAGGCTCCTTCATCATCGTAGCACGGCGCGGGACTCTTTGATAACGATAGTGCATCTTGTACCCAACAACCCAGACCTAGTGTACAGCAAGCAGAAATTCCTTACGACTTCCTGACTCCGTTGACCTGTCCGTTCACCTTGCCATTGGCTTTCCCATTGGCCATTGTCTGCGGGGGCGGCGGGGGCGGAGGTCCGAAAACCTTTGCTTCTGGGCCGGGACGCACATCAATTGCCTCCTCTTCCGTGTCCTCGTCGTATTCCTCGCTGCCCTCTTCGTCGTACTCGTCTTCGTCCAGGTACTCGCTCTCGGTGCCTTCGTCGTCCGGATCAAGCTCGTGTGGCGGCACCTGGCCGCGGCCCTGGGCTTGCATGCCGCGGCAAAGCTTCTCGAGATTCTCGTTCTTTCGGCGTAGCTTCTCCATCTCCTGCTGTGTGCGCGTCCGCTCCTCGGCCATCTCGAGAATGTTCTTGTTCGTCGCCTCTTGCTTGCGCGTGAGCACAAGGTTCTCCTTTTCCAGGCGCTTGGTCTTCTTGGACATTTCCTCCATCTCGCGGCGGAACGTCAGGAAGAGGTCGTTCGAGTTGTTGAGCGTGTCCTCAACCTGGGGATCCGTCAACTTTGTCATCTATCAGAAGCATAGTGAACAGCGGCCAGACCCATAGGCGAGACATATGTAAACTCACCTGTTTGAATTTCTCCACGTAGATGTTGAGCTGGCTGCGGAGCTCTGCTTCGGTTTGAGAGAAGGTGGTGACTTGGCGAGTCAGCTGGTTGGACTTGGACGATTCGACTTCCTGCGCTTTGCGTTGCTGGTCGAGCTTGGCCTGATGGTAGAGGATTTCGAGCTCCTTCACGCGCAAAAGAGACTTGAACTGCTTCTCTCGGCATTCCCATTGGTCCAGGAAAGACTTGAACTTTTCCTCGAATCTGATGGCACCCGATTAATCGGCTGTAGCCACTGGCGGGTGCGGGGCGACACGTACAATCTATCCAAGTCTGTATCCACCGGCTGTGGTTCCGGGTTCTCCTTCGAGTTGATGACGTCCTCGACGTCCAACACCATGCGTTCGAGGCGATCGTGCAATTCCTCGCGGTGGCGGGACTCGGTCGCTTCGCGCTGCACGTTTTCCTCCTAACAAACAGCAATCAGCACTTGGCCAAGGCGCGTGCACGCAGCCACCGCGTGGCGTACCTTCAGCTTCTTGTTCTCTTTGGTGAGGTCGCGCGACATCTTCTCCAGACGCTCCTTGAGAGTGGTCATCTTGTTCAGGTCGGTCTTGCCCGAGTCCTTCTCTTTTTGCAGCTGGTCGGCGCGCTTTTTGGCCTTGACATGCTCGCGCTCCGTCCGCTTCATATCAGCAAATAAAGCTGTGTACCTCCTCCGCACCTCGTCGACCTTCTTCATCGGCGACTCGATTTGCGACAGCAGCTGCGACAGCTCCCGGTTCGCCTTCTTGACCTCCCGCTCAATCTCGACATCCTGGTCCTTTTCCCCCGCAGCATCCAGCTCCAACTGGGCAATCTTCGCGGCGATTTGCTCCGAGGCGTCTCTCGGATCCGCTCCCTTCTTGCTCTTGCCCTTCTTGGGCGGCGGCCCCGCAGGCGCGGGCGGTGGGGCCGTTGAGGTCGCCATTGAAGGATGGGCCTCCTCCGTCATGGTACGATTCGGCGACAGAGGGTGCAGGGTTCCCGCGTGCGGGAGCAGCGAAGGCACACGGGCGGGTTCCGCTGGTGTGGCAGAGGTAGGTGCGCGCTCTGTGGGTTGGTGTGGCAGCGCGGCCACGGCTGAGAGCGCGCAGAACAGATGCCGGCGGGCGTCCTTTACATAGAAATGGGGCGGCCGCAGCTGCGGGAGGTGCTGCTGGGCGGCGTAAGATGGTTTGCGTGGGCGATCCGCAGAGAGCCGCGGGCAGGAAGTGCCGTGTAGCTGAGACTGGGGCGGACCGGGACTGGGGGCAGCACTGGCGGCAGCGTGGCTCGTGGGAGGGCTGTCTGGGCTCGGGGGGTGGTGGTGACGGCGAGCGCAGAGCACCTTGGAGCGGCGGGCGAATGGTGCGGGTGGAGTGGAAGGATGGGCTTCGGCAGGCAATCTTCTGCCGTGACGGAGGCTTGCAGCAGACGAGGCATGCGCCGCCGCCCACCAGCTCCAACCTCAACACCCTCGCCGCCGCAGCCCGCCGCAGACACAGACGACTGTCGCCTCCGCCCTGCCCGCCCTGCCCGCCAGCCCGCCAGCCCGCCAGCCCGTCTGCCGTGGCCGACCCTCTGCCCGGTCCCTTCGCCGCGGTGCCATGCCCGCACTTGCACACGCCGTGACTAAGCAGCTCGCTCGGCGGGACTGCGCGCAGTGGCGCCGACCATGATGAAGTCCGCGCCCGCCCTCGTCATCGTCGCTCGTTTGCTCTTCATCACCTTCGTTGCCATGCTGCGCGCCTCTTCACGCCCCGCGCTGGCCGCCTCGCGCACCACTGCCCCCTTCCTGCGCGCCTCTGCCGCCGCCCATGGCTCCTGCCGCGGCCTGGCCTCCGTGACGGATCTCCAGAAGCTGCCAAAGATCGGATCGCACCTGCACGGCTTCACGCTGCGACGCGCCAAGCACGTCCCCGAACTCGAACTGACAGCCCTCCACCTGCAGCACGACAAGACGGGCGCCGACTACCTGCACGTCGCCAGAGACGACTCGAACAATGTCTTTTCAATTGGCTTCAAGACCAACCCGCCCGACGATACCGGCGTTCCGCATATCCTCGAGCATACTACTCTGTGCGGAAGCGAGAGGTTTGTCGCATGCTCCATGCCCTGGTAGCCGCTGCTGATCCAGCCTAGATACCCTGTCCGTGACCCTTTCTTCAAGATGCTGCCGCGCTCGCTGTCCAATTTCATGAACGCCTTCACCTCGTCAGACCACACCACCTACCCTTTCGCCACCACAAACCCCCAGGACTTTAAGAATTTGATGTCTGTGTATCTGGATGCCACTCTGCACCCTCTGCTGAAGGCGAACGATTTCACCCAGGAAGGCTGGCGTATTGGCCCGGAGAATCCTCTGGAGCCTGCGTCGAAAGACAACCAACTGGCTTTCAAGGGCGTCGTTTACAACGAGATGAAAGGCCAGATGTCGGATGCAGGCTACTTGTACTACATCCGCTTCCAAGACCACTTGTTCCCGGACATCAACAATTCAGGCGGAGACCCGCAGAAGATCACCGACCTGACCCACGAGCAGTTGAAGAAGTTCCACGCGGATCACTACCATCCCAGCAATGCCAAGGTCTTCACATACGGCGACATCCCTCTCGAGGAGCATTTGAAAGACATTGGAGCGCAGCTTGACAAGTTTGGCAAGATCCGTGTGGACACGGACATCAAGCTACCAATTGCTCTCGATGGGCCGATAACCGTCACTGAAAAAGGTCCCATTGACCCCCTAGTACCGGCAGATATGCAGTACAAAACATCGACATCTTGGCTCATGGGTGACTCGTCCAATATATTGGAATCATTCTCCCTTGGACTCCTGTCATCTCTGCTGCTGGACGGTTACGGCTCTCCTCTGTATCGGGGGTTGATTGAGGCAGGGCTGGGCCCAGACTGGAGCCCGAACACTGGGTATGATGGATCCGGAAAGGTCGGAATCTTCTCTATCGGTCTCAACGGCGTCAAGAAGGACGATGTACCCAAGGTCAAGGAGGCTATCTTCAGGACTCTGGCCGAAGCCAAGGAGAATGGCTTCAGTCAGACGAAGATCGACGGCATTCTGCACCAATTGGAGCTGTCTCTCAAGCACAAGACTGCTCACTTCGGCATGGGCCTCATGCAGCGCCTCAAGCCTGGCTGGTTCAACGGCGTCGATCCCTTCGATGCTCTTGCGTGGAACGAGGTTGTCGAAGCCTTCAAGGCTGAGTACGCACGAGGCGGCTACCTGGAAGGCTTGCTGGAGAAGTACCTTCTAAACGACAACACCTTCACGTTCACCATGGAGCCCTCGGAGACCTATGCGCAAGAGATTGCAGAAGAAGAGTCGCAGCGGCTGGCATCTAAAATCCTCGAGACTACTAAGAAATTCGGGACCGAGGAAGAGGCGAAGAAATTTCTGGAACAGCGCGAGCTGGAGCTTCTCGAGGAACAAGAAAACGGCAGAAAACAAGACTTGGGATGTCTTCCCACGGTTCATGTCAAGGACATTCCGCGTCAAAAAGAGAAGAAAGCAGTTAGGCAAAGCCTAGTTGGAGATGTGAAAGTACAGTGGAGGGAAGCGCCTACCAACGGCCTGACCTACTTCCGCGCTGTCAACGTGTTCGAGGATGTCCCGGACGAGCTTCGTGAGATGATTCCCCTCTTTAGCGACGCAATAATGAGGCTCGGCACCAAGGACAAGACTATGGAACAATTGGAAGAGCTGATCAAGCTGAAGACTGGTGGCATCAGTATTGGCTACCACTCGACGACTACGCCCACGAACATTCAGGGATATGAGGAGGGCCTGGTTTTTGCTGGATCTGCACTGGACCGCAACGTTCCAGCGATGTACGATCTGATTCGAACTCTCATCGCGGAGACGAATTTCGATGGCCCGGAGGCCGAGAAGCAGATCCGTCAATTGCTACAAGCTTCTGCCAGTGGCGCTGTCAGCGCAGTGGCCGAGTCTGGCCATGCCTACGCAAGGAGGTATGCTGAGGCTGGCATCACGCCTGCAGCCCGCTTGCGCGAGCAGACTGGTGGCCTGACGCAGGTCCAGTTGACGACCAAGTTGGCATCCAGGTCAAAGTCTGAGTCTTTTGAGGACGTCATCAGCAATCTGAAGACTCTGCAATCACTGGCCATTTCCAACAGCAAGAACTTGCGTGTTGCACTGACATGCGGTCCTGAGAGCTCTGCGTCCAACGAGGAAGCTCTCACTAAATTCTTGTCCTCGATTCCGGCTAACCAGACGGAGATGCCGGCCATCTCCCGTCTGACGGCGTTCCCCCGTAATGCCAAATCGTTCTTCCCTCTCCCTTATCAGGTCTACTATTCTGGCTTGTCAATTCCAACTGTCCCGTACGTCTCGGCCGATGGCGCACCTCTACAGATCCTTGCCCAGCTGCTCACTCACAAGCATCTGCATCATGAGATTCGTGAGAAGGGTGGCGCGTACGGTGGAGGGGCCTACTCCAACGGTCTTGGTGGCATCTTCGGATTCTACAGCTACCGTGACCCGAACCCGCAGAACACGATCAAGATCATCAACGAGTCGGGTGTCTGGGCGCGTGACCGTGAGTGGACGGACAGGGAGCTCGAAGAGGCCAAGCTCAGCGTCTTCCAGAGCCTTGATGCGCCGGAGAGCGTCAGCCAAGAGGGCATGAACAGGTTCCTCAGCGGCGTCGACCAGGAGATGCAACAGACGCGGCGCGAGCAGCTTCTCGATGTAAAGGCCGAGGACGTCAAGCGAGCGGCGCAAGAACTCCTGGTCAATGGAGTGCCGAAGGGCAACCTGGCTGTGCTTGGTGAGAAGAAGGAGTGGGTGAAGGAGGACTGGACAGTCAACGAGCTGCATATGGTTGGGGAGTAAAAGGCGGCTGCGCATAGAGCGGTTTGTATTAATGTATCATAACTCTACTCAGGGATCTCCGGGATGTAAAAAGACCATAGCATAGCGGTATAGGCGGGTAGCGGGACGGTGTTGGTGGACTGATGGACGGAATGTATGAGGTTCGCATGGGGTGGCTCTCCACTCGCTCTGACGGCGGTGACTTTGCGAGCTTGAACGCGCGGACCGGACAGAAACGCAGCGACCTCAGCATAAATCCCATTGCTGGCGGCCGCTGCCGTGCCCTCGGGCACGAGAAGCGCAAGATCAAAAATGCTCTGCCTGGCGTCGACGCAGAACCTCGGCTGCGCAAGCAGTGCGGACGGATCCGTCGATGTTGGGCATTGAGCACCATCACCCAGGTATCAGAACTGCAGGCGCCCGAGATTCGGTCCGGCGGACTAACCTTGGAGGAACAGTCAGACGTAGACGCTTAGAAATGTATGCGGCTTGTTTGGTGGTTGACGACAGGTGCGGGGATCGACATGACGTCGGCCACAAGCGCGTCCTCCGCCGCCGACGCGTAAATTGCTTCGGCGACGCGATTTCTGCCGCGCCCTTGCGAGCAACCACCACCCTTTGCTGTCTCGACGCCGCCCGGCATTGCTCTCGCCATGGCTCCCTCCGCATGTCATGACGACCTTTGTAGCGTTCCATCGTGTGTACACCATACCGTCGACCGGCCTCTTCCGTCTCGCCATTGACCCGATCTTGCAGCTCGAACTCCCGTTTCCCCGTCGCATCGCGAGACGCACCGCCCGCGTACACGTCGCTTGACACATTCGAGCTCCCCAAGGGCGCAGACAGGCACTATGTGCAGCAGTATGCCGATATGTATTACCTGCGACTGGTGCAGCTGAAGCCTGCCGTTGAAAAGAACGCCGCCGAGCAGTGGAACGGCTACACGGTACATGCTGCAGCCCCTCTCCGCCACAACCATACGAGCGCTGACCCGCGCGTTTTGTAGATTGGAGGCGAGAAGGCGCGCCAAGTCGAGCGCGTGCTGGACGTGAGGCAGGGTGAGCTGTGCTGGGTCGTTGGGACCGTCTTCATGGAGATGCCGCTGAAGCCAAGGGTGCTGGACGATATTTCAAAAGAGGTAGTACCCGCTTCCGCAAAGATGTCAAGGCGAGGCCGTTGCTGAAGGCGGTGTAACAGCACTGGATATCCGCGCCCCCGCCTCGCGAAAAATACATATCGCCCGACGGCGGACGTCAGGTCATGCTGGAAGACGAGTCTGGTCGTCTCCGCCTGGCTGGCCGCTGTTTGGAGAATGCATTGCTTGTTACTGGCGCCATCATCGCTGCAATCGGCACCGAGACCTCCGACGGCGTGTTCGATGTTCTGGAAATCAAAGTCGCTGACTTGCCACGCCAGCCTGAGCGCTGGGAGCTGGAGGACAGCGCGAGCGCAGTAGCCGGCACGGTTGAGAGCAGGGATAACCACAAGGGCAGCAAGATCGCCCTCGTCAGTGGCCTTCAGATTAGCGGTGACTACAGCGACGCGCTGCAGCTCGATCTTCTCGCCGATGCACTGACTGGCCAACTTGGCAACTCGGAGTTCCAAGCTGATATGGCGGGAGTATCGCGCTTGATCATCGCTGGCGATTCGCTCGCTAATGCTTGTCCCATTCCCTCGCGCGAAGAGCTCGCAGCCACCAAGAAGGACAGTGGCAAGAAGTACGGGTACGACTCTGCGTCTTACAATGCTGCGCCCACATCCAACCTCGACGACTTCCTGGAATCGATTCTCCCCACCATTGCCATCACCTTGCTGCCCGGCCAGACCGACCCGGCGAATGTGCAGATCCCGCAGCAGCCGATGCATGCTGCGCTCTTCCCCCAAGCAAGGTTATATGCAAAGAGCCCTGCGCATCAGGGCGCGGTCAACGAAGCTCCCAGTCTATTTGACCCAGTGACGAACCCGTGGGAAGGCGAGGTCGAAGGGTGGAGGTTTCTGGGCAATGGCGGACAGCCCGTGAGCGATGTGTTCAAGTACGTGGAGAGCGACGATCGATTGGACATGATGGAAAGCATGCTCAGGTGGAGGTGCAACGCCCCGACCGCGCCGGACACACTGTGTAAGTTTCGCCCTTTTTTTTGTCCATCTTTTCCGTTGCTAAGACTAACGTGGGGGAAATCCAGGGTGCTACCCTTTCCAGGACGATGACCCGCTCCTCATCAAAGAATGCCCGCACGTATACTTTGCAGGTAACCAGCCGTCGTACGGCACCCGGGTCATCGAGGGACCGGCTGGTCAGCTGGTACGGCTCATAGCAGTGCCGAAGTTCAAGGATACGGGGTCGGTGGTGGTGATTGATTCGGAAACGTTGGAAGTGAAGGAATTAAAGGTGGAGATATGAGAGCAGAGGAACGGGTTATTGTTGCGACAGCGCTGATGGCTGATACCCTGGTTATTTTCGTTTATTGCATCGACTCGGCGCTGGAGGGGGGCCAAATCGGGGCGGGTAATTTGTTATCAGAGTGGGATGTTTACACTTTGCTACCCAGGATGAAGGATCAGTCTTGCATGTACGTCCAGACGCAACGGGCAGGGTGCAGGTGCACAGGCAGCCAAGGCACTTGATGTTACACACACTCATCTCGGCGGATATTGCATCAAGCTGGGGTGACGTAGGTGTGATGTCTACCCCGCGTACCGTCGATCGGCAAAGGGGACCACACGACCACACGACCACCGTCGGACAAGCAAGGCGGATATGGCGTGCATCGCGCCCAATGACGTGCTCGGATACTGGCATGCTGGACGTTGAGGATCCGAGAAATGCGGAGTGCATATCGCAGCATCCTATGGCGCCACGCATGTGATGGCCTTTGGCGGGCATAAAGCCAGTCATCAGGCAAGAAGCTGTATTTTGTTTTGACTCCCTTCTTACTTCGGCCAGGCTGTGGCATGGACCCTGTGGTAGCAACTGCTCCTTCCGTCGCCTGCTGAGTGCTGCGCCTCGTTGATCAACGCTCCCATCACCTTCATCGACGCGCGCTCGGAGATTGCTGCTCCACGCATACAACACCCCACGCCTTGCTCGCGACGCAGCCTGCAGATAGTGTCAAGCAGCGAGAAACCACGCTGGGACCGGCCAGTAGGAAGCGAGAAGCTCGTGTCGCATCTCCGCCCCTGCTGTCAGCAACGACAGCCATGGCTGACGGACACGACTCGGGTGGTGTAAGAATCTCTCTCCCCACCCCTGCCTCTTCTCTTCCCCTCTGTGTTTTCTATTGACCCACGCAACGACAGCATGTGGCCGACGTCTCGTCCCACAGCCCCGACCACCATCGTGGCCACGGCCACGGTCATGACGACAACCCGGACCACTCTCTCCATCAGTCCGGGAACTTCCTACCGGCCTTGAACAGCCCCGAGTCGAACCGCAGGTGGAGCCGAAACGGAAACGAGTCTGATGAAGAAGACGGCGACGCCGAAGAGCAACCGCTGCTGACCCGCCGCTCTCGCCGCATCTACTCGCCCGCCCCGATCCTCGCCATTGTAGTCTTGGTCCTGATTGTCGCCGTCATGGGAATCGTCGTCGTCGTGTCCAAGAGCCGGGATGGATATACGGGTGCAAGCTCTTCTTCCCTTTGACTGGACGTTGCCCTCTTTCCAGCCCCATCTCATCCGTCTTCAAAGAGCCTTTTTGATTCCGGCGGTTGTTCTGTAGCTCTTCGATATCCCTGGGTAGTCTCGAGTCAGCCAGGTCGTAATGGTCATGGTTCATTTGGAATCTTCCTTTTCGTATCACGCGTAGGAGCGCACTTGAAATGATATCCCACATGTCAGCTGGGAATAGTCGTTTCTGTGGCTGCTTCCTTCGCTGCAAATCTCCTCTTTTTCTTGCGCGTGGTCTCTTGATGAATTCCCCCCCACACTTCGTAGTTGATGTAAAGGGCTATGTTGGTTTGCAAAGAAGGCCTTCTGCTGATATTCCAAAGTTGCAGTGCTATCGAAGTGGTACCCTCCTTCTGAGGTATTGTGCGAAGCCACGATGAAGACTGGGGCGGTGACGGTAAGCACCCGTTTTGTCATTCGCCTTGCCTGGAACATCCACGATTTACTCAATAAGGTACTGACGAGAACCCGGAATGCAATGCTGGCGAAGGAGCGCAGAAGTCCTCGCCAGCACTGAACAACAGTGGGCCTTACTGTATTACAGAAGAAGTGAGCCCTATAGCCCGCCGAGGATGTCACTGTCTTCCTACGAGAGCAGTTCAAGCAAGCATGTGGGCGCAGTTCCTGCAACATGCTGCGCTGTGTACCTCGAGTCAATTCCATTGAAGCGAATTGTTGGAAAGGACGGTCTCACATTCAGTACTCCAACGAGGTGGCTCTCGTAGACGACCCAAGCCTGCTAACTGACCATCCGCTTCACGGGGGACGTCGGGGCCCTCCGGAAGAAGCGAAGACAAAGCGACGGGGAAGCAGTGCCTGGCTACATCGAAACCGACAGGGGGACACTTCCACGCATCTGCTCGAGAGATTTGAGAAGTGCGAAGCACCGCCCCCGAGGGATGCGATGCAATCCTCAACCAGCACGAGTCTCAAGCTGCTCAATTTCCCGTGGATAATACTTCGCCACATCGCTAAAGAAAAAAAATAGAAACAAATCTACTGGCGCTCCCAATATTCCCCGAGCCCCGATGGTATCGTCAGCTTCAATCAAAAAGAGGAGAGAAGGGGAAAAAAAAATAACAATCATCCGCTCCACCGGCGCCGGCCGTCCATCATGGTATACGAGGCGCCACAAAAAGGCGGCAAAATCTCGCGTGGCTGGATATTAAATCTCCTGACGAGCCACAGCCACCATCCCACCACCCGCAGCCACGAGGGCCAGAGATGCAGAAAATTCACACAGTCCAGCCGGGCAGCACCAGCCAAGCGGCCCCACATACCGCGTCCTTGGGACGCAACACCACGCACGCGGATCCGACCTTCGCGGGCGTCCCGTCCTTGACTCGTGGGGGGGAGGGATTTGGAGGAGAATGAGCTAGCGGCGGGCGGGCGTGCAGAATGTGCAATCCAATGCACGCATTTGCATATTCTGCACGCGTCTCGCTGCTGCTGCTGCTGCTGCCGCTGCCGCTGCTACTGTTAGTCTCTGGACCCTGCGTCAATCGATCCCTGCCCTGTGAGACGTAGATTGGGAGGGAGGAGGGGACTGATCTTCCAGAAGATTTCTCGTACAGATCAAACCTCCATCCAGCCACTAGCCGACAGTCAACAGTGCATCGAGACCCAATGGATGGCAGATTGTGTCAAAAGCAAAGCAAAACGCGATCGAGAATCCACTTTCCGATAGCCACGCGACGGTAGCGCAAGGATCTGGCCGAGGTGGCTCTGGGCTAGCATACGCATGTGGCGGGGCTCGTGCGGGAAAGGAAGAGAGACATGAAAAAAAGCAAAATCATAGGTAGACCCGACTATCGAATCTTTGCCCTGCATAAAGTTCGCGGAGACAGCGCCGCCGCCGCCGCCGCCGCCGCCGTCGCCAAGGCGCCAGCCTCGGACCTTTCAGAAAAAAGCAACGAAGAGGCAAAGAAAGATCCGCGCTCCACGACTGTGGCGCCCAAGGGCACAACTACAGGGAAAACAGGGCGTGCGCTCTTTCTCTGTGCCTACTTGTCATGTCCGCCATTGTCGGGGATAGCGATAAGCCAATGACGCGTGCAATCCAGGCCGAGCGTTTGAGACGAAGTGAGCTCGCGTGGTCCAGACGCGCGCCACGAGGGCAAGACGGGGTGGAAGGATGGCAGATGAGCACGCCATCCAGGCAACTACCGTGACCGTCGTGAGATGTACGACCGAGACCACGCTGGCAGGGCAATTGGAGGGGAGCTGGGGCAACGGGAAGGAAGGACGGCCAAAGTCTATCCGACGACTTGTGCATGCAGGAGGACTCCTAGGGTGCCGTGGCACAACGAGTGGTTGGCTACCGAATCTGGCTGGAAGGGCGAAGGAGTTAGCAGTCTGTTGTTGTTTCTTGCACGGCACACGTGTCAATCGTGAGGCGTCGCTGCGGTCTCCAGTACTCCAGATCTGCAAGATAGCGCTGATGGTGGTTGGATAAGGATAAGCACATGGCGAGACGAACTACTGCAGGGAAATCCTCTAGGTCAGGGTTTTCTCGTGCTTATCCTCATATCTCCCGGGCCTGGAAGACAGATCGGCACGACCGCCATGGTGTGAGAGGGCGATTCTGTTATCGGGCACGGATTCTCATCGGTAATTTGCCAGGTGCGACGGCGCCTCAGCCGTCGTCCAGATCGGGAACGCAGGACAATTTGATCGAAGATGTCGACGCTGTGGCGCCGGGGTGGAGTCGGTGCAGCAGTTCGCAGTCAGCACCAGAAGGGATCTTCCCTGCCGGGCGGCGGCGGCCTGACGGAGCAGCCAGAGGGTAGCAAGAGCTTTGGGCCGCTGCGCACATGCTCGCGGGATGGCGCTCCCGTTCCGTGGACACATCGCAGAGCTTTTCTGGAGCAAGGGCCAGGCGGAAGCATGGGGAAATTGCATGGCCGGACGGATCTGAGAAACTGTGTCGACGAAGGGAAAAGCGCCCGCTTGCCACCGCGCCAACTAAGCTCCGGGCCGACCAGCTCTTGGGGGATTTCCAGTCCGCGCGCCGAAATGTGGTAGGCTACGTCGCGTCGGGCGGAGTCTGTCCGAGCGCGCCGCCGCTGGCTGCAGCTGGTGTGGCTTGTGCCGGATGAAGAAGACCCCCCCAGGCCCCCCCAGGCAAGATCCCGGCGGCAGAGGTGGCAGTGCTGGCCGTGGTACGCTAGCGGGCCCTAACGAACGCCTGCGCTCGTGGGAGCTGTACCATAGTAGTTGCCGATGGCACAATACACGGTCTTGTGGCCGCCGTGCGTTGGTGAAACACCCAGTGGACGGGTGAGCGACGGCTGCCTGCATGCCCTTTCCTTGCACCCAGAGCCAGGGCTTCGGGCGTGCCATCGGCCTGCGTGCCAGCTCGTCAGACCGGCCTTATGAATTGCCAGTCACTTGGCCCGCTCCATCTTGCATCTTGATGATCCGCAGTGGCAGGAGGGTGCCCTCGTCGCCGTTGGCTCCACCCTAGTCCCCAGTCTCCGCGCTCTGTATCATGCCATCAGTAGCCTACCGTCCCCAGGTTCTCCCGGCCACAGAGCAATTGTGCAGCGCTAAGCGGAAATAATGAAAGGCGCCATTGACGCGATCGTCCAGGTGTCGCCGCCATGGCGCCCGTCGCCAGAGCCAGAGACTTCGGTCCCAGAATGACACCACTCCTCCACGCGCGGCGGGTTCAAATGCGGATTCGTCTTTCGGATCTGACCATGGCCTCTGGATGTGCAAGGCGTCCGCGCATGTCGGAATTGAGTGCGGACATGTCCGGATATATTTAGAGTTCATGGCGCCGAATCCGCCATCCTTTGGGCGTATGAAAACTTTTGCAGTGGCAGGTACCTAGACGGCGGCGAGTTCATTGACTGGAGCGAAGAAGAGGAGCGGGACCAAGGGCGGAGAGAGAGAAAGCCGGGTACCTGTCGGCTTATTTTTAGAGCTGCAAGATGTCGTGGAGTGTGGCAGCTCGCGCAGCTGACGTCAGAAAGCACCAGTCTGGGGGAAGAACTGGTGGTGATGGGCGGACCACGTTGCGGCGACGGCCGGGCTGGCCGGGCTGGCCGGGCTGGCCCGTCGGCAGCAAACAGCGCAAACATGCGGGCGGCCGGTTGACTAAGCAGTGCCGACAGCCCAGTTGCAGCCTGAGCTCCAGCTCCAGCTCCAGCTCAAGTCCCCCACCATCCTCGGATACCCCGCCTCTCTACCGCCACCGCAGCCAGCATGTCCAAAACCATCAGCATCGAGTCTCCCGAGCAGTTCAGCTCGTTGCTGTCGTCCTCCCGCATCGTCGTCGTCGATTGTAAGTCCCCGCCTGCGCACCGCGCTCAGCCTAGTCCGCCGGCACTGACCCGTCGCGCGTAGTCTACGCCGACTGGTGCGGTCCCTGCAAGGCGATAGCTCCATTGTACGAGCAGCTGTCCGCCTCGCTCTCGCGCCCCAACATCATCACCTTCACCAAGGTCAACACGGATACCCAGCAGCAGGTGGCGCAGACGTACGGCATCACTGCCATGCCCACCTTCATGATCTTCAAAAACACCCGCGAGGTTTCGAGAATAAGAGGAGCCAACGCCGCCCAGCTTTCCGAGGCTGTCAAGAAGCTCGCCGCCGAGGCTGAGTCTGGTGGTGCCTCGTCCGGCGGCTTTGGAGAGGCCAGCGGCAGCTCCGGCAGCGGCTGGCTTGGCGCTAGCCTTCCGCGTGGCTACGGCGATGCCACGGAGCACGTCGATGTCCGCGGTCTCGATCTATTGAACGCGGATACCGAAGGAGCCGGAGGTGCGCGCGTGCTGTTCGCCACGAACAAGCCGTCGGGCGCGGAGGCGGCAAAGGGCAAGGCCAAGGCGGGTGGCGCGCCGGACTGGGTCGAGAGCGACACCGACGAGCAGCTCATGCTGTACATCCCCTTCCAGTCGACGCTCAAGGTTCACACTATCCACCTCACGTCCTTCCCGCCCCAGCCTTCCGAGGATGCCGACGAGGTCCCCATG